GTGTGGTCACTCTTAAAGGAAACCTCGCACCATAGTTTTGTTTGACAATGTCATACGTGTGGTGTTGTAAGTCAGTGGCACTGTGGCAATATAAAATATGTTCACCGTGCTTTTGTATCTGTTGTTACATAACACGCTTTAATCAACTCGGAAATTCGAGGTGTTACGCATCATTTTAAAGGTCACACTTTGTTCGGGGTTGTACGGGATCTATTTTTGTTGCGAGGCTGTATTGTTCAGCTGCAGGCCTATGTAAAGAAACATCCGAACGACCCGTGCGACATGACCCCACGCATATCTATTTTCGTCCGGAGGGGTTTCCCATTTTGGCTCGGTGCCAATTAATGCGTCATGTGATTATGTGGTTCAGGATGGAAGCTGGGCGCTTACCGAGTCCGGCCGAACTGGTTGTGATAATGACATCGGTTCTTCACTACTTTGTTACGTTGGGATTTCAACGGGGAAAATTCCTGCAGTAAAAAGTACCGGCATTGAAAAATTACCGGAGCCGTATCCTGGAGTTCAGGAGGATATGGTTTGTGCTTGAGTAGGATTTTGAAAGAGTTCATGCAGACTATCTGAGCTATGATAATTAGTTTTATTACTATTAGCGGCTGTTTCAAAATGTACATGTACAAATTGTGCAATGAAACAAAATAGTACAGCCAGTGCAAATGTACACTGCATACTTCCTGGTTTTGTTCAAGTACGTGTATAAACATACAACTGTTTTGTGTTTGACTACTATATTGTATTTCGCTTTCACTCTTGCTGTGTTTAATGTGTTGTAAAAAAATCCAAAGAATTAGGATAACAAGCAAAACAGGAAAACAGTATATGAATGGTACAGTCTTGACTCCATTTAAAAAGAAAATGGAGAACCATGTAACTTTTAAAGCAGATTTGAGGTACATGTACATGTTGACATGAGTGTAAAGTAGTGTATAAAAAGACACTACCGATACTGGTACATGTGGAACAATCGTTGATGATTTTGTTTGAACAAAGCAGTTATCTTTGCGATGTTTATTTGTGTGTTCGTTTGAACCGTGCAGTATAAAACCCAGAAACTAATGTACACAGTATCACCCATATTGGAAGGCCATAAATCAGTTCCTTGGGAGTTTCCATGGTTTGGCACTCAGTGCGTATTTTACACTCTATTTGTGTGAGCCCAACGCCCCTTTACCACCCGGCCTTGTGAGGTCACACCACACATGCTGGCATACAAGCACTAAGGGTCATGTTGGATAAATACATGTCTGATATGAATATGATATGACGCAGACAAGAGGGTTTTAGTTTTTGTTATTTTGTTTGGCTGGGACCGTTGAGCAGGTGTGAAGGAGCCCATTGGTGTGGCAGGTGGGGGTGGGGATGGTGTGGGTCAGCGCAATCGCATATCGATTAAGAGCTGTTTTGGTGTCACATGTTTACACATGTACAAGTACTTGTTTTGACTTGCTCTGACATGCACACATTTGTGTACATGCCTGTACCGTACATGTAGGTGTCAACACTGGTGTAAACCTTCGTGTACAAAAATATGTAAGGTTACATGTACAGTTCTTGTTGACATACAAATTGAACATGCAAACTGTGAATTTCATCGTTCGCACCATGAAGGGACGTGTGTACGAAGTCCATAGACGATCTGTCACTCTGTGGTGCACCCGACTTGAACCACTCTGCCAAGGAAGCTAAAACACCGCTCAACAGTTTTAATTGCAATGGATGATTTGAAAAGATGTTTTTTCAAAGCAAATCACATGAATCGTTTTTCAGAATAGCCTGCTTGCGATTGGCCAGATGATCCTAAACGTGCAAACATGACACTTCCTATTACAAATCTTGGCATGTTTGCATTTCTGTTGGTCTCCAATTGTTGTTGCTTTTTTTTTTATTCATCTGTGCAGTCGTTTGTTGTGGTACTCATGTTTTGGTGATTTCCCACGTCACCCAGTTTACTGGGACTGTCTAGCCAACTCATTATAGCCTGACACTGTGGGGCATTCTCCAGCTACATAAAGGCGTAGTTGAATGGAACTCCCCCCCCCCCCCTACCAAAAAAAAAACCTCCCAGCCTTGCCAACATTGTTGGAGTTTTTATTGGTAGTCGGTGGGGACTGGGGTCACTTGGAGTTTCGTGGGCTGGGCTTTCCCCACTGACATGGTTGACAAGTGTACCAGCAAATGTTGTAGTCGAGTTTCTTCGGAGTCCCAAAATATATATTTCATAATGAAGCTGAAAGGTAATGTACAAACATTGGCAAACATAAAACAACAAAACAACCAATTGTTTTAATCAAATTCACCTGACTGGACCGTAAGTGAAAAATAGTCTCAAGCATCCTGTGAAATCCATTTCTGAAAATTACAGCAAAAGCAAATGTTTAATAATGTTCATTTTTGTCCTTATTGTATTCATAACTTGCGTTATAATGTTAAAGTATATAACAGCCGTCGAAGTAACTTTTGGGCAGCCAGGAGAGAGAAGGATTCTAATAGGGAACAAAATGACGTAAACAGGGCGAGTAAAAAAAATTAAACCCAAATGTTGGGACCATTGTTTTAGTGAAGTTCTGCATGTAGCACTTTCAAAATCTAGGATATGAAAGCCCAATTCATAAGCTTTCTTTTAGTACAAGAATCATTCAAATCACTCATGTACTCTTTAAGTTACAGAATTTTAAACACAACCACCACTTTAAAGTTCTGTCCACGGATTACAAAAAAGTTCAGTGTTCTTTCAGCAAAACGAAAACAAATCACATAGGGATGTGTGTGAATTGTTTTCGTTTTGCTGAAAGAATGCACACCTTTTCTGTGATCCGTGGACAGAACCTTAAAACGGTGGTTGTGTTTAAAATTCTGTAACTTGAAAAGTATGTTAGTGATTTGAATGATTTTTGTACTAAAAGAAACTTATGAATTGGGCTTTCATATCCTAGATTTTGAAAATGCTACATGCAGAACTTCCCTAAAACAATGGTCCCAACATTTGGTGTTTTTTTTTTTTTTTTTTTTACTCACCCTGTACCGGGTGTATCATGTTTTGCAAATAAACTCTTCAAGTGCTCAAACTACACGGTATAGTTTCATATTCCAAGTTTGCAATTCATTTCTTCAGTGAATTCAACACCGAAACCACTGCATATGTTATAAAAAGAGGAGTTGACGCCCATTGTGAAAATGCTTTCACGGTTTGTTGATTTGTTATGCACAAATCATCCCTGCAATTCACAATACTTTACAACCGATGACTGACCTTCAAACTCTGTTGTGACCAGGAAGGAACAGGGAAATTAACGGTGTTCCTTTGCTACCGGACGTGGATTGGTTTCTTGACAGGAAGTTCCTTAATAAACCTGCGCTCAACACTGAAAGATTATTTTCTCTAGTGTAGGCACACACATGCTGTGTTTTCTTTTTACATGGTAAATGAAGGGGAACTCTTGTGTCTTTAGACGGTTTTGAAATTCTTTAAAAAACCAACCTCGGTTATGTTTCCCTGGTTCAGATGATGCTTGATTGTGAGTATGAATGTAGTTGGTAGCTTTTGAAAGAAAAAAGAAAAGTTTTAGATATTCTTGTGTGTGCATTTTCAAAGGTTAGAACTTGTATGTACATGTACATGTACATGTACACTATACATTTACATGTGCATGTACTGTACATGTACATGTACATGTACATGTATGTGGTCCTTGCTCTATGGTAGAATATTTAGCTTCTTTGTTCATTATTCAGGTACATGTACATGTACATGTACATGTACCATGCGTGTACTATTAAATGTGTCATTCCTTAAATTGTGGGTCCAAAAAATGGGACATTTCTGTGTTCCCGTTACACCTGACCTGTGTAATTTGCCTTGCAAGTTTTATTTAAAATGACTTCAAACTATTGGTTTATTTGTTTGGCAAGTACTTTGCTTTACATTATTTATTACTCTTTTAGAAGGCATTAATTAAAGAATATGTCCTGAATTTACACAATGTTACATATCAGATGTAAGAAGGACACGAAAAAAATTGAACCCTAAATTTATGGAACGGCCCAGTTTTATATCCATCTACATTTACTCACTAGAAAACATGGCTCAAGATACATGTCATGGCTTAAAATAATAGCACTACAAAAATGACTGAAGAAAGTTACAACTCTCACCTGCAAGGCATGGGTATAAAATACTTGAAAACTGTGTACCAGAAAATTACACTTCCATGATAACAAAAAATATTGAGGACAACAAAAACTGTACCAAAAATGATGTACATGTAAGTATTAAAAAAACAAATCCTGGAGTTTTATTTTATGACTATTAAATACTTTTGCTTATATTATATTTTACGACAAATATTTTGCTCAGTAGCCTGCAGAGCAGTATGTTATCTTCACATCATGCTTCAGTGAACCAACGTTACTCTCACACACACACACGCACATAAAAATTCCCTGTAAATACCAAGGGTCAAATCAATATATAGAACCACATTAAGCTGATCTGGGAGCGAGTGTGTACAATATGTCCATGTAGCGTGTGCATATTGGCAGCCAGGCATTTTTTATTATTAGTGTGTCCAGGTTCTAATTGCCTTGCCATAACTTGCTGAACGTTATGAGTCAGTGCAGTTATGCTTGAGGCTATGAAACTGTTACAAAATAATAAATTATGCAGGCTTGTCAGTGAAAATTGAAAGTAGTAATGAATTAATTTTAAATAATAAAATTATAACGTAGACTTGTTGATACGATAGGAAGTGTTATATATTGCATTGTGTCAATTTAAAAATCCACAATTTAAAATGATTTGATCCAATGTTGGTAGTTGTGTCCTTTGCAAGACAGACTTAATGCAGTGCCCAAAGTCATTACAGACAAAATATTAAGACAAACGAAAAAATTGTCATACATCTTTTATTAGTTTCCCCGATGAAAAACCATAAAATAAATCATTAAATTTACTCTTTTTTCTTTCTTTATTTTTTCCAATGCAGAATGGCCCGATTGAGAACCACAACTCGCCAACCGCCACCCTTCCCCATCACAACAGTACAGCTCCAGACTTCACCAAATCCGACACTTCCACAAGCGCGCCGCCGCCCCCTCCCAACATGAACTGGGCCCCGCCTCCCCCCATGGTGAACGGGTATAGCAGTACCGAGGGCTACCCAAAGATGAATCACTATCCACCCCCGGTGGAAATGACGAAAGCTGCAGAGAGGGGAGGGGAGGGGTGGAGAGATCAGAATGAGGCGGGGAGCGATGGAATCAAGAAGGAGCAAGGTCTTGGGGAGACGGTAGGCATCCCAGTCCCAGCCCATCACCATCATCATCATCACCCCCATGCCAAGTACGCCTTCGCTGCATCCAGCAAGCCAGACAATGCAACCACCTTAACTTCCTCATCGGCGAAGGGTCCAAGCAGTTACCCAGTGGCACCCATTGCAGCCACCAGCAAGCCCACAGGTAGCCCTTCCCCGCCAACACACGGACAGTACTTTGACAAGAAAGTACAGCTCCCCAGCACTGCTGCCGTCGCTGCCAAGGAAGCACCCATGATGAACAGTAACCACCCCCATGCACGCCCGACCAGCATTCAGTCCTACCCTTCGTTCACCTTCCCAACTCTAGGCTCATCCAAACAGAGTGATCCACCAACACCCACCAACCACACCCATGACAGGGGCACACCTGACCACAAAACCAACATTGCGACGACACCCGCATCTCAATCTCCGTCATCGGAGAGAAAAGCTCTGTCTCCTGTAGACGCTGCAGAATCCCTTCTCTCCCTAAGCTCCTCTATGTCAGCCCGTCACTTCCCGTTCCCACCTGCCCACTTCTCAGGGAATCATGAGCAACGTGCACACGACCAGCGCCCCCATGAACAGCGCCCCCAGGAACAGCGGCCTCACGAAAAGCGTCCACCCCCAGGCTTCCTTAGTAGTGGTCCTTCCTCAGAATCTCCCTCGCCATCCATCTCCGCCGTTCCCTTTCCACCAAAATCTGAACCTTCAGAAAAGAAACCCAAATTGGACAAGCACCACAAGACAGACTCCAAGAGCAAACCCGACCACAAGCTCCCTAAGTCTGAGCTAAATAGGCCAGGTGGGATCACATTACCTCCCATGACCATGACGGGTTTCCCTGGTCTACCAGTACCCGGCGTCATGCCTTCCACCTCTCAGAGTGGTATCTCGGCCTCTGCGGCCATGAAATCCTCTGGGAGGTCCCTCTACCCTCTGCCCAGTCAGACGCTCCTGGCATCCTCGACGAAACACAGCACCAGCTCCGAGATGGGGGAGGGCAAGGCATTGGAAGACAAGGAGCTGACTCCTAGGAAGTTGACCCCAGCAGAGCTTCATCGGAAGATGCTTGAAGAAGACATGAAAGAAGAAATGCCTGATTGTGGATGCTTAGGTGAGTCTAGAAATACTCTGAGGTTTTTCTCCTTCCTTCACTAAAGTCATCTCAATTCATTTGTGAAAACCAGTCTTGGGGAGTTTTCAAAACCATGGATGTGTGTCCAGTTTCAGTTGCAGAAGTTTGACTTGTAGGACTCTGGCTCAATATAGGTCCATATTCTATCGACTTTAGAAATCATGCAGCCCTGTAAAGTGCAACACTATTCAGAAGCCTCTAACATCTGTCTTTGTGAAACCATTTGACTTTGTTCTTAACAACCTCAGTTAAGTATGTGTATGGTTCCCCATGTCATGTTGTTAAACGCATAATTGTTTTGTCCATGTTGCAGAGAATGATCGTGATGAGGCACCGTATTACACCCATCTAGGAGCTGGTCGGTCGGTTGCAGCGGTCAGGGAACTCATGGAGAAAAGGTAACAGAAGTTTGCTAAGCTCAGAAAATATTTGCTTAAAGGGAACATGAAATAAAATTTTGATTGCATTTTTTTTGCTTAAATCAATAAAGGATGATGTTCTTAACAATATTTTGTGTATGGCGGTGTTTATTTTCTAAGATAAATGGGGGAAAATAATTTGTGAACATGTTTGGTCAAACTACTCCGCCCCACAAAGGGAAGCTTCATTAACATAAAACTTCGCGAGGGGTATGACGCAAGCGGAGGCAGAGACTTGCCGCGCTGCGGGTGCACCGGCATTGCGGCGTGCATCATAATACATGTACATATACATTGCGGCACTGAAAGTTTTTCTGGTGTTTCGTTCGGAATCGAGGAGAAATAACACCCGATTTTCGGCCATGCCGACAAGGTGTGTGGCTGCTGGGTGTAGCAAAACTACCAAGGATGGAGTAAGCCTTCATTTGTTTCCAGTAAATCCGAAATATCGGAGCATTTGGAGAGCCAAAGTGAAGGTAAATACCAGAGCAAAGTGGTCCGGGCCCAGTGAGTTCGCTGCCCTCTGCGCTGCACTTTGAGCCGTCGTGCTTTGATGCTGGTCTGTACAGCAACTTGGGCATGCCCCTAAAAAAACATCGAGTCAGTGTCTGAATCATTAGAACTCTGATTCGAATCGGACGAATCTGTACCATTTTCATTGGATTCGCTAAGGAAAGAAGAGGACGGTCTTCGGAACTTTTACGGTCATGACGGTCGTCGTTGTGTTCATTCGACAACGGTGGCACCGTGGCACAGCCACGTGTACTGTACATATCCCATGTAGACACATTCGTACGTGTGCATATAATGCCACGTACGGGTACGCGGCGGCTGCACATACACACAGCACAGTAGCTTCGCTAATCCGTCTCGTACCCAGACGTCATTTACGGGCCCTGGATTTCTCTGCCTTTGTTTATGTCATGAACAGCGCCCTCATTTGGAGTTGCCGCGAAAATCAAAAAGGGGGGGTTCAATTTTGGACGGCAAATTACCACACTAAACGTACACCAGAACCAGTTCTGCTTTTAATTCACATTTAATACACATAAATGAATGTATATATAAAATAAAATACGTTATGAAAATTTTGGACTGCATGTTTCCTTTAAGCCAAACACAATACCTGCCAAAATATAATGCAATTTGTTTTCCTCCAAGTAGTAATTTTGACGGTAATTTTGAATCACCTAAATCCCCAGGTATGGCCAGAAAGGGAACTGCATTCGGTTGGAGAAGCTGGTCTTCTCTGGAAAGGAAGGCAAGAGCTCCATGGGATGCCCCATCGCTAAATGGGTGAGTCCAGACATCAGTCACAAACTGACACCTGTCTTGAGGAACGAAACGCTTTGGAACATTTTACTTTACTAGTGAATAAAAATTGTATGAATATCGACATATCTGGGCACTTGATCACTGTTCACACATGAGACCCCCTTCGATTGAGAAACCACTGTGCATGCTAGTGTACAAATCAACTACCCCGTGACGAATTGTCTGAACAATAGCTAGCACAATGCTTTCGCCATTGAAGGGGGCCTTCATGATAAAAATGATAACGTGCCCTGATTGATCTATAGTATAGGTCTATGAATGAAGTGTGGTACTTATCTTACCATTTGTTCACTCATATTACAAACAAGCCTCATTTTATATATGACTTGAAGCTTTGCATGGCGGATGGGATAAAGTAGAAAGATTGCGGGTAACACCATGTGGAAAGTAATCTCTTCTTGTAAAAAGTGTGGTTATGAAAAGAACCGGTTCTACACTCCACCAACCGGTTCTTTTCAGAACCACACACTTCTTCCAAGAAGAGATTACTTTCCAGATGGTGTAACCCGCAATCTTTCTACTTTAAGCCTCATTTTGTTACTTGACGGGTATCTGGATATCTGCCCATGATGAATTTAGGTTATCTGATGACCAGAGTACCCTTAAATGCACAGCCTTAGGCTGATTCACCTCAGATTACAGTGAGCATTCCGTATAATGAAAAGGTTTTTTCACCCAAAGTATCTGGATGTGTTTGTTTCCCCAGATCTTGAGACGTTCCGGACCAGAAGAGAAGCTCTTGGTTCTGGTACGGAATCGGCCAGGACATCATTGCGAAACGGCCTACATTGTCATAGCAACCGTTGCCTGGGAGGGCTGTCTCCGTAAAGACGCAGACAGCTTGTATGACTTATTGACCAATACGTTACCCTGTGGGGCAATCCCGACGGTACGCAGATGTGCAGTCAACGAAGAGTAAGTGCCAACAAATTTACAACGTTTTAAAGACAACCTATGGGCTCTTTGCTTGTACTGCAGATGGTGCTGTGTGCTGTACTGATGAATGTGGCCCACTCATATCAACCTAATTCGGGCAAATTGACAATGCAGTGCGCCACCAATAGTTTGCCACGGAGAGTTCATTTTTTCCAGTGCATTGTGGGAGATGGTCGACAAATTGGCAGCCCAGGACATTTGAAATTGTTAGTTTTTCCGGTCAGTAGTTTCAAAAGTGTATGATTCGAGTATCTGTTTGCCCTTTTCTTTTTATCAATATTTTGTTTTTTGTAAGACGGCAGAACGCTATGCCTCAATCTGTAACAAATTAGCTCAAGTTGTCTACTGACACTTGTACAAATGGGCCATGTTTTGTCGACCGTAAACTTGAAAAATGGACTCTCCACGGCAAACTCTTGATGGCGAACTACATTTTGAATCGCCCAAATTCCCTTTGCAAATTGGCTAAAAAAATTTCCTTGACTCCCTAAAACCTACCACTTTGCAGGAATCCCATGCTGCAATCTTTGCGCTAAACCCTCCACAGGGCATTAAGCAGAAGTCACTTAACTCTACCTTCCTCAATCCTGGACAATCCGTCAACCAACCTGATGGATTTTGAAGGCACTTGAAGTGTTTAGGGTTAACCTTAAACTAAAACTGATGTGGCTGTTTTAATCCTTTTCAAATTTGCAGAAAGACGTGCGCCTGTCAGGGTTTTGACCCGGAGTCCTGTGGCGCCTCGTTTTCCTTCGGCTGCTCCTGGTCCATGTACTACAACAGCTGCAAGTTTGCTCGCAGCAAAATACCAAAGAAGTTCAAACTGCAGGACAATTCTGACTCGGAAAAGGTAATCTTTACGTGATCGGTCAAGTTTTGTACTGAATTCTAAGTTACACGTGACAGCTCAAAAGTGATGCTAGTTCATGTTTTTTCCAGCAGTTTTCGTGTCTAATATCACTGGCTGGGCTTTTGTTTCTGTTAATGACGCTGTAGTGATCTGTATTGTGATTTGTTGAAAGGAGGAAATGTTGGAGAACAAGTTACAGTGCCTCGCAACGGAAATCTCTCCTCTCTACCGACAGTTGGCGCCGGATTCCTTCAGAAATCAGGTGGGTGCCATCAGCCAATCACAAAGCAGTAAGCTTCAAGTCCGTTAAATCTTCCCCTTTCCATAGCTTCACAGACTGGGAAGTGGAATTGAATTGAATTAAATTGACTTGTCATACTGAGGGACTAAGAATGTAAATTTAAAAAAAAAAACAGCAGAAACTCAAGGGTTTTGATGTTGAGTCAAAATGCGTTCCACAAGTCACTTAACTACAAACTCAAAGACAAACTGGGTAAACTCAGTCCAGTCTAATGTTATTCTGGTTTGTTTTAAATCCTCAGGTTTTGTTTGAGAAGATGGGATCTGAGTGCCGGCTCGGTCGGGGTGAGGGCAGACCGTTTTCTGGCGTTACGGCGTGCATGGACTTCTGTGCTCATGCCCACAGGGACCAACAGAACATGAACAACGGTTGCACAGTGGTAAGTGTCATTAAACTCCAGCCAGCGTTGCGTTGTTGCTAGCTGTAATGATGGAATTATAGCATTTGGGAAATGTAAATTTTCGGAATGGGTTCACTGTTCATCAACGTAATTTGATAAGCACTGTATACTCAGTGATATCAAAGAGCTTGTGAATCAGAAATCACAAGCTTCCTCAGCTCCCTTCCAAGCAGCAGAGAATGATCATCAGGATACAAAGTTGACTTTGTCATAGTTATTACCACTCTGGTGAAACTTAATGAACCTTGCTCTGATTTCCGTACAACAGGTGGTGACTTTAACAAAAGATGAGATTCGTGACCGGGTTCCGGAGCCAGGCGACGAGCAGCTCCACGTCTTGCCCCTCTACTACCTAGACAACACGGATGAGACTGGCAGCGTGGAGGGTCAACAGGAGAAGGTCCGACAGGGCTCCATCGAGGTCCTTACCCACTACCGGCACAAGTCCCGACTCCGTCCCAAACAGGACCCTGTCATCCCAAAGGGGGCACAAGTCCGCACCAGTCGGCATGGTGATAAGAATAGCCCGAGTCGAGGTAAGGCTGCAGCAGCAGCAGCTGCAGCTGCTGCAGCGGCCCGATCAGCGACACCCCAGAGTACCAACCATCATCAAAATAATCATAGTGCAAGTTCTGGTTACACACCGGGGAAAGATTCTGATGCTAAGGTATCATCTAAGAGTAGTAAGGAGCTGCCATCATCTACGAGCTCTACTGCATCGTCGCAATCTCAGGCACAGGCACAAGCACAAGCACAGGCACAGGTCATGCAGATCCCGCCCCACCTGTGGGCCCATTATCAGCAGAGCGTGGAGCAGTTCCGGGCAGCTTGGCCAGGTGTGGAGCTGACACCAAGTGGCTTTGCGGCGGCAGCAGGACTTAGGCCGGAGATGCATAGCCTGCATCCGATGATGTATGAGAGCATGCAACGGGATGCCATGAATGCAGCGGCAGCCGCGCAAGCTGCAGCGTTGCACCCAGACTGGGCCCGCATGTACCCCCACCAGGCCCGGATGTTCCTTCCTCCTTACGCCCACCCAGGCATGGTGGGGATAGCCACCCATGAACAGCTCCAACAGAACCCTGCTCTAGCCCGTTTTATGAGCCAATACGGCAACGATCCGTACATGGCTGGTGTTGCACATGCCTACATGCGGTACCCACACTACCCAGGAATCTCCATGGAAGATGTCAAACCTGATATGAACCAGTTAAGTAACCTGATGAAAGCGTCCGGCAGGACTGAACGGGATGCGCTGTACAGCGCCTACGGTATGAAGTATGGATCGCAGCATCCTGCTGCAGCACCTGCTACTGGCTATGGCAGCTCCCGAAATGACCAAATGGATTTAGGCAGAGACCATCACACACCCAGACCAAGCACCACCTCAACAGAGTCCAAGTACACCCAGAACCTACACCCTAATGGACTGCGGCAGGATCTTAGTCACCATCCACCTGCCAGCCAAAGCGGCCACAAGGATGGTATTTGGCGTCCACCAGTCTTTCAGAACAGCCCATCACGGGAGAGCACCCCATCCCAAGAGCATCTAAGCTACCCCAACCAGGGGACTCCACCTTACGGCTCGGCATTCCACGATCGTGCTAAGACCCAAGGTGATCAAAGGAGTCCCTACCAGCCGGAAGGCAGCCATCAACACAGAGACTATCCCAGCTTCGGTCATCGTGATGGCACCTCTTCCTCTCAGAGCAGACAAGATCCATCAAGGAATTCCTCAGAAGCCAGGCAGTATACCACACACCAACAGCAGCAACCTCACCAGGAGCACAGCGGCGCCCGCCGGGACCTCTCCCAGAGCTATCCAACCCAAGACACCAAACAGTACCCAAGGATTCACGAAGCCTCAAACTCCTCAACTCCCTCCCAGCACCAACAGCAGCAGCAGCAGCATGAAAAGTCCAAAACGATAGCAGAGCATCTCCGCATGATGGAGGCATCGGGGTCCAACCCCAGTACCCCTGTTGCATCAGCCCTACTACCTCAGCCCTCTCCGAAGCCTGAGGAGCCCCAGGAGATTGAGTGCACCTCAGACAGTGAGGAATGCTTCCGAGATCCTACCATCGGAGGGGTGGCCGTCGCGCTCCCTCACGGCTCCATCCTGTTCGAAGCCGCTAAACGGGAGCTCCATGCCACCACATCAGTCCGTAGGCCACATCGACAGAAGCCCACCCGCATCAGCTTAGTTTTCTACCAACATAAGCACATGAACTTCCGTAACCACGGGTTAGAGGAGTACGAGCGCAAGATGCAAGCCAGACAGGATGAAGCAGAAGAGACCGCGAGACTCAACGGGGAAACACCGCCCCCTCCGCGTAAAGGTCGCAAACGACGCCTCTCGGCCAGCGATGACACGGTCATCCCCGACAAAACCAAGGTAAAGTGCAGCTCCGCATCCAAGAAGGTACCGACCAAGCATGCCCAGACACAGGTCACCAACACGGTCACCACTCTGGCGTCAACAGCGTTCCCAACCGTCACGGGGCCGTACCAGAAATGGGTGTAAATCTCTATCATTTCCCAACCAGTTTCAAACCACAAAAATCCATTCCCTGTGCTAACCACTAGAGTAAGAACAAAAGCTGCGTCCAAACTACTTGGCTATGACCGGTGATAACACATGTGCCTATCGAAGCAGCCAAATTTGTTTCAGTAGTTGTAACCAAGTACTTAAGATGCAGCTTAAATAGCCATTAGGGAAGAATGCAAAATTTAACAAGCTCGAGGTTGAACCCTTGAGGTACCCCGTAAAATCCTTTAAAACCTCGCATTCTTCCCTGGAGGTGATCGCAGGAACCCACTAACATTATTTTAACTGAGAACTTTCCATGGTCATCAAAGCCCCATGTAAACAAAAAGTGACTGGGCTCTACATTCCTCATTGCCTCAAATTCTCCAAAAAATCTCCTGGTGAAATTTGAAGGATCTGGAAGATTAGGGTGAACCAGTTTTGTTTTCTACAATGCAATGGGGTAAACGCCGAACCTCAATCATATTGCTTCATCCCTATGCATCCACATGTACTTTACCAATCCCTCTGCTATGCATATTAATTAGCTCTTGCAAGCTCATCCATTTCCAGTTCTTCTAAAATCAGGAATTTTGTCAGTCCTATCCTCACAAACTAGCTGAAATTGTATGCTGTAATCTGGTCATACTGAAGAAAGACATCAAGACTGTCCCAGATTCTTAAGTCCAGATCATTTTTATGTCGGCATTTAATTGAAAATCCATTGTTTTTTTTGCGATGCCAAATATGCAGACTGTTCGCAATGTTTGTACTATAAACACATATTGATTGAAGCTATACTGGTCAAATGTTGCTCTAAGCATCGAGTATCCATTTGAACCTTCCATTGAGAATACCTGTGAATGATGTTATTCCACATTTGCATTTAATCAAATGAAGACAAAATCAGAGACAGATATGCCTGCCTCATTATAGTTTGTTGGTTCCGTGCTAAAGATCAAGTAGGGTTGTCAAAGAATTTCAGAAGTATATAATGCAGCGACCAATTTTAAGCATGTATCATTTTTTTTTAAATATTGCCGTACAATAATGTATGATGCCAGAAAGCTGCTACTCCCTGGCTTCAGACCGAGGCTGCTTATTAACCTTTGACCCACCACCATCTTGGATCCAGTCATCATCACGCTCTGAACGCAACAACCCTGTGTTGTTTTTTTCTTTCTCTTGCTTCTCTCCTCTTAGCTACAGTCAAACCTGCCTTTCTGGCCCGCCCACAGAGAACACCCGCCTGGCTTAATGACGGCGCCGACGAATCCCATAGCGCATGCGCGCATCTCGGATATGGCGGCTGGACCCCCGCAATGGCCGCTGGCCGCGGGCGTCCGCCCCCCACAGGTTTGACTGTAGTGTTGTCACACTCGTACTCGCTCTTTCTCACAGTAACATTGTCCCTACTCAAAGTTTACTCAACTCTCAGCCATGAGCTTCGTACTTCGGTACCCTTTACTCACTCCACAACTCTTACTGATACAATCATAGCCAAGTATTCTTACCTACCATACTTGAGTGTACTAGCTTTTTGTTTGAGTTGAGGTCAAGTCAATCACAAGTCAAGTTACTCGTAACACGGAATGACACAGTTCATTTGCAGAGCTTAGCTCAGTACTGGAGGCTGAATGAATTGTGATGTACTTGCCCTCATCTCTGCTTTTTGCTTGTCGCAATGTGAGTACATGTACTTGAGTATTCATACTCATCGCAGTGTTTTGACTAGCGAATGTTATCACTTTTGATTCGCACGTGAGCCCTTTTCTGACCACATTCACACCTGTTGAACAATACTTTTCTGACCTGCGTTACAAACATTCCAGTACACTCACATAGTTCAGCTTACGCTGTGTTATTAAGGGAACCGTGCAAAGCGAAATGCTGCCGAAGTTATTTTCTGCTGTGGCTTGTGTGTGTGTTTGCCAGCATTTCTGTTCTACTTTAGCCTGAATCAGTGTGTTTTGTTTTGTTTGGACTCTTCTTGATTAGTTTGTGTGTTTTCTGTTTGATGGTCTTGTCATCTGACTAGCAAGAATAATGAGCATTGCATGAACTTTTTTGTTGTTGCAAAGTTTGATCATAAATGTAGCATGTCTGTTACAATTGTGGTAAGCATATGATGACCTAGGGCCCAGACACAAATACAGATCAGTAAGAACCATGTAGAAATCTGGCAGGGACTGTGTAGCAAGTTTTTGTAGGCAGATAAAAAAACCTGTTATCATCAGGAACCTAGCTCAAACTGTTGTACTTCAGTTGCTCAAAGTTGCACAGAAATTATTGTTGGAAGTCTAGGTGTAGTTAATTCTGAAGTGAGGTTTAGAAAAAACTACAGCAAAACAATATCAAAGTAAAGAAATTTGGACTACACAATTGCTTCATTAATTTCGCTCAAATCAAATGTTCCCTTCCATTGTTGTCCCAATAACAATCATTCAAAATCAGGAAAAATTATTAATCATTATTTTATCACAGAACACCTGTAGTTCTTATTAAGTAGAGAATATTTTAGCAGACATTCAGCTAGCCAAATTTTTATATGCATCGATACCTCATGATTACTAAGTACTTTCTAATGGTGCTCGAAGCTGTCGATATTTTCTAAGAACTGTAAAAGTTAGAAAGATATCCAACAAACTGGCTTAACCTCCGGTTTATGAAATAATCATGCCCTTTCAGTATTTTTCATGGAAAGTATGTAGAAACAAAACCAGAAAAATTGTGAATTCCCATTTTTTTTGTCAATTGTGGAATAGTTCCAATTTGTCGTGATTAAGGGCGGGGCTAAATTAAAATTGTAATTTGTACAAATCTACAATTTTGATTTACAAAATAATGAAATTAATTTGAACATAAGTTGAATTGCTTTAATTTGCAACTTTAGAAAGCTTGTCATAAACTTTCATTAGGTTTTGGGATAGGCAGTCTAAAGGATGTACTGGATTTTAAATGAGTACATGTATATTCAATTTTATTTTCATTTTTGAAAATCGCACGTTTGATTTGCATAGTGTCCAAAGAGTTGCAGATGCTCTAGCACTATTGGTCCATTACTGTGAAGTGTTATTCAACTTATGAATATGTATATTTTCAGCTGACCAATGAGCAGCCAGTCAGTCTCCATATGATACAAATGTGCCATTTGATTGGACCAAGGGGTGGTATGTTAATCTGTCTGCTGGGTGTTACATTGTATTTGTTTCTCCCATGTAATTCTGTATTAATTAAAATACAACTGAAATGATCTTGCGAATTATCAATTACAGTAACAATTATTGAATAATAATTTGTGTTTTTGTTTCGTAGAAACACTTGTCAAGATGTACAATATTGGTAATCAAAGTAGGGGCAATTATGACTAAGTTATAGTGTAAAGTGTGTGAGTAGAGATATAGTTTTAAATGTTTGTGCTTTCTTTTTTTAAGTTATTTTTAAAGTTTTGTTTTTAGACTGAAGAAAATTCTGCATTTTATAAAATTTGCATTTGAACATTTCCAGTCAAGTTCTCATCAAGCAAACGACCGGAATTACTTTTAGTAACTCAAAGAGTTTGCAAGGTAAACTACAAGACTTGTTTTTAATGTAGAGAATGTATATATTTTCAAGAAAAAAAATTGAAGTGTTTCAGATGAACTCTTAAAGTTCTGATGTTTGGTAAAATCAGTGGAACTTCTCCATGTTTTAATTCTGTCTCTGAATTTTACATGTAAAATCGAGGAATCAATTCTTTTAGAAAATTTTAATCAATTTTAGAAGGGATACATTAATGTATGAGCGCTCTTTTATGTAAATTGAAGACATTTAGAATATTACATTGTAAATTTGTCCCAGTAGCCTAAATTGTACATATGTAAATTTTTAAAGACAAAAATAATAACTCCAAACCGACGTAATTTGTGGACCGGACTTGGAGAGGAAATATGTATATATTTAAAACAAAAAAAACAAAAAAAAATAATAATTAAACCAATGAATTTGATTCTTGATACATGTGTATAAACTGATTGTCCAGTTCTAGCAAATTGTGTTTGAGACATTTTGAAGAAGTATGTATTGGTCTTGCTGCATTTTCTAATCAATTTGAATGGTTTTAAACTGTATAACATGAACTGTTCAGGCAGTTTGGAGCAAAAGAAAAGTTTGCTGCATAACATGACACAAAGTTTCAACTGATATCTTGTTCCAATTCAAATCTTGATTGTATCGGATTTGCTTTTCAGCAATTGAAAGTTAGTATTACAGGTATAGCTACTGGTAGTACAGTGCTGTACATGAAGAACATTTTTGGAGAAAAAAGATCACTCGCTGTTTACTGTATTCTGTATTGTACAGTGCATACAGTCGGGCATAATCGTCATTGCAAAAGAAACTACTGCAGCAAACTAATGTATATTTTTGTGAGTTTCAAAAATAGAGGAGCCATTTTATTAAAATAATTTCAAACTTATTGAATTCTGAAGAATGAAATTACCAACTTTAAATTGTAAACCAGTGTAAGTGTGTACATTTTTTTTTCCTCATGCAATTTATATAAAAAGAAAATGACTTCTCGTAAGAATTTAGTCACTGGATGAGTTCTTTGGATTTTAGTGCGATTTCATTTTCGCAGTGTGTGGAGATGTGTTTTATAATAATACTTAATGGTATGTGCAAGAGTTTTAGACTACATGTGCCATGGACAGATCGTAGACAAAAATTGGAGGAGTGGTGTATCGTAATTATCTTGTCTTTTTGTACAACGGAAAAGAGAAATATTTCAGTAGTGGCACTTTGGCTGTTGAATGCAAAAAAAAACAAACCAATAGCTATCTTTGTTGACCAAAAACATACTACTTTTCCGAGTAGGTTAAATGGTATTTAGCCTGTGCTTCATCGAAAGTTTTTCACTGAAATGTCTCCGTCTGTTATACGCTTGGGTGAGATTTGTCATCATGCCTGTGGTGTGTGTATAGATATAGAGGGCAGTCTTATGATTTACCCAACTCTGTGATTTTTTTTTTATAGAATTCGCCACAATTTTTTTTTCAGCTGTACAAAATCGAAAATGCTTCTTATTTCTTTGTTATAGGACATGTGAAATCTTGTTCCTTAAATAAAAACAATAATTAGAGATCACAAATGTCTCTAAGATGTCAAAAAATGGACTGATGTGTGGTTATTTGTTTGTGTCAAAGGTCATGGCAAATGCAAAGTTTGTTTGATTTTGTTTTCAAAAGTCAAGAAAGCAAGAAAAGATAAATCCCAAAGTTAATGAATGGAATTATAGCAGGAATAGGCCTAGACAAATATTCACAGTAACGCAATTCAATATCAACCCCCCCCCCTCCCGTGCCCCATCACCCCCCCCCCCCAACTGCCCCGCCCCTCCACTGCCCCACCACCCCGTATATTCAGGTTTGGTCGAAGATGAGAATTTATATCATCTTCAAGATTGTGCACACTTTGAATCGCTCAAAAAAACCTTAGGGTGGGGATGTGGTCACTCTAAAAATAATTTTGTAAATCGGTGGTTTCCAAATTATTGGATTTTAGAGGATAAACAAGAACAATTTGTGAACCTCGTCTCAGTGCAGTTGTCAAAGTTCAAGCCAAGCTCGGGGCGATTCAAGCAAGGAGCTATAAACGGATTCAAGCAAGCCGGCCTATTCAAACATGAGACCACTCAGACGCGTGTTCAGACACTATTCAACTGACCAACATTTGCTAAAAGGCTTCTTTTTTGTTTAATCCCATTGTTTCATACTCGTAAATACTTTTCACCTTCCAACCTCTGCAGTAACCGCAAACATCGAGTATAGTTCTTGCGGGTCGCTGTGCCGGTCACTCGGCCGTAAAATTAAGCCAGGTCACGGCCTTTGTCTTTTGTCCGGACACGGTGGCGTGGTGGGAGACGGGACTGTTCGATATGCCGGCAGGCCACGATGCGGCTTTCCAAGGATAAATTCGTCTATTTACGGACAAAAGTTTATTGACTGTGCACTCGGAACTTCGGAAGTGACTCTAAACACATTATTTTATGACCTTCAATACATTCAATGAGAGGTGTCCATCGACTGTCCGAGGCCCACTATACCCAATAATTCAGATAGAGTCACGTGAGTTAATTTACATGAACATGTCGCTTTTATCATCAATCAATTTTAATATCCATCATGTTGTTCTTGTTACTTGGCGCGGTTTTTTCATCTTTGATTTATGTTCGCGTGAGGGCGCCCTCTCTTCCTCTTCCCTGAACCAAACCCTGCGGGTTAAGCTTTAAGTGGGTGCAACCCCGCCCCAGCCCACTCTGCAACTTTTTTGAAGGGGGGGGGAGCCTAACTACCATGACTAATGTTCGACGTGGCCCACCAAACAGGCACGAATTGTTTTCGCAAGTTTTTCAAAAGTTCGTCACCCGCGTTGGGTACAATGCTTTCAAAAATAGGTCATCGTACTTATGCGTAACCAAGCGAGAAAACATTGTGTTGCACCCTCCAGATTGTCGAACTTTCGATATCACTTCAATATCCAGAAAAACAACTGTCTGGGGAAAAAAAACAGGTTTTGTTGAACTTAGCGCCAACAATCGCTGAGTGGACTTACGTACGATATCAAATATTTTACATTTACCCTTTCAGGCTGACGATTTTTCCTAACAATTCCCTGATTGTGTTCACGGTTGATTTGCGGCTATAGATGCTGATATTTTTTTCCAGACGTGGATGAATCGGTTTCAAATGATGAATGAAGTTGTTTTCGCAAAAAACATCGCACTTGTAGCCGCCCACCGCTGAGCGCAACAACACTCATCCGTTGATGGGGAAATCAGAGCGCAAAGTCCGATCAACACCCACAGGAAATTTCTGGTATCGTCCGTTCCCGTTATCGCCTCCCATAATTCGTGAATGATCGAAAGATATGTGGCATTTCTGATTGGCCGGTATTGATCAGGTCATTGTCATGAAAGGGTTGTTGTCTCTCTATAGTGGTGGCTAAGTTCTCAGCCAATAAATTGGAAGGTAGTGCAAGAGATTGTGAATAATCTCACAATAACAGTTTTTACTGTTCATTTCTGGTGTTTTTTAGCCATGGTTGCCAGTGTCAACCACTATAAAAAAAAAAAAAAATTAAAAAAAATTAAAAGGGGGTTTCTCTTGGGAATTCGAAAAGTTTACCCACTCCTCCCCAATCCCATCCCATCCACGTCTCCCTCATCATTTTGATGCGATGGGTAACTAAGGGTGCTCATCAGCCGGTGGATTAGTTCTCGTTCAGAAATGTCTTGAATTTTTTTTCACAGAGAGAGAGAGACGAAAATTAATTAGAGATGCAAACGATGAACGAGAAGCCGTTGTATTCAAATTTGTTTTGTGAGCTTAAGTAGAAAGCAAACAGCGGTACGACTTGAATAAAAGAACCAACGATTAGACGGCGTACTTTGTTCAGACGGTTAATGTCGTTTATCTTTGGCCGCGCCGAGAGCATTATCAATAACTCGTGACATTGTCAATGTCAAATAACCGACGGCTGTTTATACAGAAATCACACAAACGGAAAAAACAGTGAATGAATGAGTGAATAAAATGAATCAATCTTCCTATTGTGAATGTTATAGTTGTTTATATGGTGATACTGAAGAGACATGCACCGTCCAAAAATATTCCAGGACTTGTCTTTTAACGTAAAAAAAGTGATATCGAGAAATCGGCCGTCACCCTACGGGGAAGAAAAGTTGAATGAACACGTTGGTCATGCAAGTGCAAGCTCTCTCCATGTCAGGAATATAATTATTTTTTTATGAAAATACATGAAACAGTCGTACGACGCTTGCTCGAACTTTGTATGAATGGCCTGTGGCTCGCCGTTATAATCCTCCTCAAACATGTTGCCCTTGTAATCATGAATGCTCCAACAAGTTCAGCCTGATCTGACCGCTCTATGCACGTATACGCCTCCAAAAGTTTCGCAATATCTTTCTGAAGACGCAGTGATGAAGGTCATTCACATCCGACTGCAGCAATAGTTTTCTTGCTATTGTTCAGAACTAATAAGACATTTTAATTATGCGTGCCCTCCCCTTCAACTATGCCAGGACCCACCCCCTTTGGCAAACAATGACTTCTGATGGAGACGGGAAATGTTCTGCATTGGCAAAAAGAGCTCATCACTAAATGTATATGTCAGAGACGGTAGTAAAAACCAAAATGCTAAAAAAAAAAACATTTTGTTTCCCCAACAGCGATTTCGACACAAAATTAAAAACAGTTGTCTTCAAATTAACCACTTGTTTGCATCATTGCACGTGTTTTACAGACGAAATAGCTCCTTTCTGTGAGCGGTGCAACGTGACCAAAAATAAATGAAAATTTCCATTGTTTTCTCCAAACGCAGATTTTTTTCATAATTGTTTAACTACAATTTTTTTCAGTCTGTCCTCAATATACAATACCTTGTGTATGCCAACACTGCCCCTTGTAGTTGTATTGATTGCTGAATCGTACCCCACCTCAAGACAAACTGACCCTTATCTCTCCGCGTGATAAAAGTCTTGCACCTATAGGATCGTGGAAAAACTCATAAAATTAGGGATAGATAATTCGTAAAAAGTTGACCAGTTTGGTCAAAATCACTGCATTATTTGCTGAATCGGTAAACAAATTCGGTGTAACCGTAAGTGTTTGTGGTATAACTGCCCACAGTTGCCTTATCGGGGGCGGGAGGGTCCACTCCAAAAAGGGTCAAAAATTGGCCAACGGGAAATGTAAACGATCTTTCAACTTTGAGTTTGAGGTTACACCCGATAAGTCTGAATGGTGATTATCTTGAAAAAGTGAATATCATTGACACTTTATTTTTACAATCTTATGGGAAAAAGAGGTACTACAGGCATGCAACTTTTCCTCGGATCAGCTGATTTCCTCTTTCTTTTTTTTTTACTTCCCATGTGTGCCATTGAAAATAGAAAAACACTGTACAAAGTCTGGGAAAAATTTGAATTTCCTCTTTTTGTGTGATTTCCCAGTTGCATGCCTGGTACTATTATCTTTCCTTTTATAACAAGAATGGTATTTTCAGACAACAATTAACTGCATGGATGCAGATTGTGAGATTCCACTTCCGTTGGACTATTTTTTTTTGAACAAACGATCATATTCAAAATGGTTTCCCAACAGCCATATGGTCCAACATCTTGGTCCAATTCGTCAGGTCGTTTTCTTGATACATGTACGTCGACTGACCCCATGCACGAGCCCTTGACCATATCAATTATATACCTTAAATTGAACAATAGGTATATCAAAAGGTCAAGTTGGAGTCAGAGTTCATAAAGAACTCGTGTCACATTAGCTGTAACTGTAATTTACAGGGTCTTTTCAGCATGACCAGGTCAGTGTTGACTCACATCTGACCCTTGTTATTATTAAGTTGGTCCCTGCTAAACTGCAATCTAGATTTGAATCAGACGTCAATCGAGTATCAGATACAGTAGTTCCATATAATTTATTCAGTCAAAAACTCTAAATATTATTGAGTCCGAATCATGTTATTTCTACATCTTCTTTTCCACTTTTACGAGTAATTAAAAGTAGGCCTTTATACTTTGTGCAGCGAAACTTCGAACATTCGAGCTCAAAGTCAAGCGAGTTCGCAGAAAAGTGTCACGTAAACAAGTGCACCCATACCCGTTCACCGCCTCGCGCCCAATGCATTAAGTACGAACTTTGCCTTTTTCTTGGTAGTGTATACGTATACTACCCATTGACGTCACACGGTAAACTATTTGACGCATGGTCTAGCCCCAATGGGCACAAACTGCACTTGAACTTCAAGCCTACTTTCTATAGTTTGTGCAATATTCTGTAGTCTGCTCGGAAATTTCTCAGTAATCCTTCTTGAAATGAGAATTTTTCGATCCACTGGAAAGGATTGTTCTTATAGCCAATTACTCCATTTCTGGACTAATGAACTCAATGAACTCGTAGGCCGGATCTTTATGTATTCACAACCGACTTTGACCGTGCCTATTGTCTAACTATTCGTCACTCTGATAATTTATGGAATTGACTTTGAGTACGGCCTTGGTATAAACTTGCAAAATTGCATCATGATTCAAGTCCATCATTAATAATTTGGCGTTTCTTTGGTCTGCCCCCTTCGACCCTATACCGTATATCGTCCAAACTTCCACCAGATATGAGCCTTTTGGTCCCTCCCTCAAAATGCATCCGCGAATAAACTTTGAAAGAGCTCAAAGTGCCAACTGCTAAATATTTTTCTTCAAGTTCAAGATTTAAACGTGTTTTCGAATTTCAAAAAGTACAGGCATAGGTAACATACAAATGAAACAAAAATCCATACTTGGCGCAATTTCACAGAATGCTTGAGATCAACAATAAGGTATTTCATAATAGTAAAGTAAGGTATTTCATAATATTATGTGGTACGGTAGTTTTTTTTTATATTTGCAAAATGTTGTACATTATACCTTTAAGTAACATCTGTTTCTTATATCTGGCATACGCGACTGTCTGAACTAGTAATTCATGCAATATTGCACGTAGACATTATAGGGAAGGGGGCCTTGCACAAAATGTAGCATAATTAATTGTGGACATTTTTGCTGTCTTCGGCACTTTCTGCAGGTTTTCTTCTCTCTCCGTGAACTGATGCTTTCATGATAACGTGACCTGATTACATAATAAACTATATTATTAAAAATATAATATTTAGACTGATTACACTAAATTATTACCTTCCATTAGGCCTAAATTACATAAATTTAAATGCCAGTTCCTTTGTTTTCTTGTTCAAATGCCTATTTTGTGTCACTTATACCAAACTTTCAAAAGGCTCTTTCTTCCAATTTTCAATATTCCCATATGCCACATCTTAATTATTCGTGATGAAATTATTAAGAACAATATCGATAGACTGTACGTATTTCATAATACACAATCCGGGTTTCACAATTATTTACACATTTTGTATGATTATTTGTCACCAGTGATTTCCCAGAAACCGGACAAGGGGCCGCACGCGCCCACGGTCTGCGGGCAGGGTGTTGAACCCACACGGCCGGCCGGTCGCCCAGTCTCCGCTAAATTACTTGCTCAATAATTGCATGTGTTGCGAGTTTTCTTGGAAGTGTCAAGCGGGCCACGCACGTCCACGCGGTATACCTACATGCTGCCAAAGCTCTCGACAACTGAGCTGTTTTGTACTTGAAGATCGTTATTACTCCGAAAGGACATTTTATATTTTATTTTGTTCCAAATGTAGAGCAGGCAAATTGATTGTTTTAGGTCACTGAACTGAAATGGTAGCAAGCACAGCGATGTGTCCTGACTCCGGCCCTGGGTGGGGGCTGGGTTGTTTGTTCGTTTAACTTTCAATATCTACAGTTGCCAAAAAATGAGAAATACTAAAGAAAAAAATAGTTCATATTTTCACGATATTTTGGCTTTTACTAAGTTGGAGATTTTGACGCAAAGCCTGTCTTCGTTGGCACAGGGCGGGGCCAGATGCCCCTCCCCCAATTTCAGCTAAAGAAATATGAGTTGGTTTAATTGTTTCGCTTTTATAATTATATTTAATGGAAGATTTATTAAGTAATTTAATTAGCAAAATAAGTTGTCACTTTTTATACCCCATCCTCCCAACCTGTACCTTCATTACGAGTTTAATTTATTGTTTTAATCACGAATTTTCTTGTTTTAACAAAATGATGAATTTTTTTGCCAGTCCACGAGATCTAGAAAGCTATAAAGCCCAGTGTCTAGACTGAAAACTAGGTCGCCTTATAATCTTGGCTTTTAATGAGCATCAACGGTGACCTCGATTCTCGACTGAAGCTTAACAAAACCACTGAACAAAACATGTTGACGGGAACTATAGAGCAAGCCAAATAAATCGACTATTGAAACAGACCAAAATTTTCCATGAATACAATAGTCTGTCGCTGCATAATCAATCTCAGTACACGTGCATGTAAATACACATGCGACTGAACGCGATGTTAGACACGTAGGCCTTTCATTTTCAAGGTATTCCGATTGGTCCAAATCAGCAGTTGAACTCTGTTCCTTTTTTGCACCCCAGATACGGAAAATTACTGAGCTCTGATTGGCCGGCTTGTGACATTCTATTCTTAATGCACACTCGGCTCCGCCTTTTTTACCAAATAAGGCATAATTGACAGGATGACGTTGCAGGCGGGTATACGTATATAAATGCCACTGCGATTCGAGCAAAATTTGTCGGATCGTGGATCAGCTGGTGAACACGTACGGTGGAGCTTGCTGAAGCACAGTCTAGCAGAATTGCTCAGTTTTTCACTGATTTCCCGCATTCACACCAGACATTTACCAATTACGGCTGCATTTTAGTGCAGAACACACTCAACTCTTCCAAATTATTGAGAAAAGTATCGGCTACCACTCGTTAAAAAAGGTGAAAATCAGCCACATTTTTGTCGTGTCGTCCGCTCTTCTCAGCTGTATGGGGCAATGGCTTTGCCTGTGAACTCGAACTGTCACCAACAAGGAGTCTCTACGATATTGCAGAAAGTTCTCCTGAAATTCGGCGAGAAGATTGAAAGTCGGGACCACGAGAGGTGGCCTGAGCCCAACTACATCATCGAGACGGTACGGGGAAGCTCAGATTGTCATTCAGGTGAGTTTTTTTGTGACAATTTTTGTCCTCGTAAAGTTGGAATTTTTTTGTCCAACGGAAACCCATGTGCGTGTTGAGTAACGGGGGTTGCCGTAGGATTGCCCAATGTGTGGGTGGGCAATGTATGACTCAATCCGGTGTGCATTGTCTCTACGTAAAAGTACCTCTATTTCGCAATCATCCATTCCCTGTTGGGGACAGTGAATTGCGGTCGGTTCTCTTCTCTTTCTTGTTAAAAATAGACTACCGTCAGTTCTCTACTAACCGGCAGTTACGTGTGTTGGCATGTTGGCTTAGTTCTGGCGTAAAATCCTTCCGACGGAAATCCTTGTACTTGTTGTAGGCCTATTTTATTTTTCTTGGCCTACAATCAGAGAAATGAGTTGGCATGGTTGGCAAAGTTCGTCAGTTTCCGTGGTTCCTGTTCCTAAATTTATAAATTGTTCATACGTACGTCCTCACATAGTCATTGATAATTGATTTAACAGACCTATGTTTTTTTTAATTTGTAGAAATAGAATTGTTTGCTTTTAAACAAAATTTTAAACTTTTAATCAATCACAAAGAAAATTGGTGTTTTTTTTTTTCAGGTTAATATAGCAATTGTGGAAATGGATTTCTATGTTAATTCTTACTAGTCAAGTCTTAGTTCTTGAATTAATGTTGAATTGTCAGACTTCCAAAGTCAAAGGCATCCCACCAGTCTGTAAAACCGGCAGAAATTATCTTAAAAACTTTGACCCGGTGGAGTTGAACCTACATGTGTGCACTTAAAAGCTATTGAGCCATGTACGTACTACATCATGTGACCAAAGATCTCTTCGTTTTAGATTACGTGGATGTTCAAGGTCCACAGGCTAAAATCAGTCGGCAGATTTCTCTATGGAGATAATGAAGTCAAGTGGGCCGTGCCCCCGATACGCCCATCCATTGATGCCATTTCAAACTTACTCATTTCACAAAATGTAAAAAGACAAAAAAACTTTACTTTCGGTATTGCAGTTGCACGTTATTTTGGGCATTGAGATATTTAAGCTTCCTAATATTCAATACACCATGCAGAATTCTCAAAGTGTTAGGGAATCAATTTCCACACCCTATTTTTTTTTTAAATGTTGAAAATTTTGATAGTTTCAAAAATCCTTTCAGAACTAATTCAGTTAGACCTTCCCAAACGTAGGATCCCTAAATTTCTTCTTTTTGATTCAAGTACAAATTCATCATCAAACTTTTCACAGAGAAATTAACACAATCTCTTGAACTAAACACAAAAAACTAAACATGTGATATCCAGTAAAATGCATATAGCAATTATACAGTGCAGTTTGTGAACTATCTCAAAACACTTCCACGAAAGAAATAAATATACATTCCACCCTCCAATCCCCAGGGCAAACTAACTCCTAACTTCTCAGTAAATTCCATTATATACCCCACACGGGACTTCTGTACTGATCCCTAAGTCCGTTCCCCCCCCCCCCCTCAACCCCCATTTCCTCCGCACGCTGCAGTTTCCTCCTCATCCCTGGGAATGTACATGTACGTGTGCGTAAATATTAATGATGCCTGGCAGCTAGGGGCTGCTGTGATAGGTCGACATTTACGGATGCTGTTGCTAGGTGCTGCCTATTGGTGAGGGGTCCCTGCTTGTTTCTGTGATGTGAACGTCACTAGCGTCAGCTGCGTGACCTTCCTGGTGTGGCATACCTTAAATGATCAGATCATTTTTATAGTCACGAGTCAGATGAGTGTCGTATATACGCTGTGTGAAACAATCAATAGTTTTAAATTAATAAAACATGTAAAACCAATATTGAAAAGAGTCATTAACATTTTTTTTTAATAAAATGGACTGAATTTTTGTTGAGGTTATTTGCTGGGGGGCCTTAAAATTTAGTTATCAATCTTTTTGGGTGTTGGAGTTTTTAATTCCAATAATACTTTACTGTAGTTGACCTTCAATTTAGTCTTCATGCTTTTATCAAATATTTTTAATAGAAAACGTACACACAATGGGTTGCACATTGAATATGTCAATTCACATTGCATTGTGTGACTTGTGACTCATGCTTCACATAGATGGCCTAATAATCATTCCCGATCATTCTTCATTGAGTTTCCATTTTTCATTTTGAGTTTCAAGAATGTACTAATAGTAAATGGTGAACGTTAACACGTGTTCTGATTGATGTTCTAAAAATTCATCTTCTGAATTCAAAGGACTATTACTTTTCCCCTGGGTTTCTCTGTTTGACCTTTTCCAGGGTCAACAAACTTTTTCCACAATTGGCCCCAGAATAAATCTAACTCTAAAGAGCTTTAAAAATAATTTAGTCTAACCTTTTGTTCATATAGTGTTGATGGAAAAACTAATACCCAATGAGCAGAAGTATTAATTTGTTAAAAATTTGCATGTAAATTTGAGGCCTCATTTATGAACTGAAAAGCATGATTGCACTTTTTCCCTTCAAGCAAGAAAACTGAACAAATTGAATTTAAAAGCATGTAGTCATGTACAATGTACATACACAAGCATTGTACTTCCCTTTTGTACGTGTCAAATCTTGTTCATTGTTCAGTGGCCACACATGTGGGTCACATGCAAACCTTGGGGGTTGTCTGTGGGTTATCCCGTCATGTGACTCTGGTCACATGTGTGGTGGATGATTCACTGGCACCTCACTGGGTTTTTGTGTTAGTTCAGGGCTGTCACTGCGCAATTAAAGTTCATTGTGTGAACCTCTTGCATCAGATCAAGCTGAGTAATACATGTACTAGTGAATGGGTTGTGAAGCATGTGGAGTACACAATTTTTTTATGAATGGTGAAATTCACGATGGGCCACATGTTACACTATTTTGTTTTGTCACGATCGGGTAAGAACGTTGAGCCAATACAAATTTTATTGTCAATTTTCACACTGCTTATTCTTTTCGTTCATCAAAATCTTTCATGAGATTTTAAAGTTTGTTGGAAAAATTAATTGACAATTGCAATTTCTTCTTCTGTGTCTTTAACCTATTCAGATTTCAACATGATGGATCATGATGCATACGGTGAAAACGAGATTGACGACATCAGAGAAGTTAAGATGAGCCAATACGTATCATCTTTGATTCTTGACGGCCTCAAGACACGCGAGAAACAGCAGACCGGCAGGCTTCTATTCCCAAATGACCTCCCCCAGCGAGTTGCCGATGACGTCATGAGGATGTCCCTGGACGAGCCCTGCGGGGTGCGGGGTTGTACCCTCTCTCTCATCTTCGAAGACGGCGAGATCTGCCAGCGTGTCGGCAGGTTCGCCATCGACCCGAGTACGGTCACCACCTTTGAGATCAACTTGGTGTTGACGAAGGAAACTCCCCGTTGGTTAGTCAGCAAGCTACAGACGTATCTCAGAAACTCTTACGACAGGCCCACCGTCATCAAATCCTCTTATAAACTTATCAAGAGAAAACTGTACCGGAGGGAGTCCCACATGTATGTACGGGAGGACTTGTAGTACCTGAGATCGCTCAGTGCAGCGTACATGTATAACTGAAACTTGGCCAAGGATAAGCTTCACCAAGAAAGGACTTCATGTGCATTACATACTTTGAAATCTCGTCTTTGCAGAACCAGAATCAAACTGTCGGTCGAACTGGATAACTTTTGCGAGGATGATCAGGATTGTTCTTCAGAAGAAGACTTTTGCGTTTTGTATTTTTGATAAAGACAGAGGGCGCCCTTTGGATGTGTGCCAAGGCCAGTTTCCATTCTTCATTGTTTGGTGCTGTTTGTTGGTAGGAATGCTTCTCATTTTCATGGGAGGCGAATGTTGCAATATTTTATAAAACACAAAAAATGTCTCACACAGATTACTGCAGGTTGACTCCTGACGGATCTGTTCCATGATCTTGTTTCCTATATTTTGTCATAAAATTTATACCAAGGTTGTGTGTATCATTTCAAATAGAATATTTTGGAAAACAGTTAAATAATGCACCCTTTGCCAATTATGTCAACTCGGTCAATACAGTTCAGTGTATGGACTTAAAAATGTTGTTCAAATGTTGGTCAAAGTCAGCAATTTTACACAATCATCCACATTTGAGATATTGAAAAGAATTCAGTTTTTGTCAACGTTTCCTTATGTATGTTTGCAAGAAGTCATGTTTTTGTTTTACTTTTGAAAAATGCCATTGTTACATTGCCAAACATCATTTATCACTGCATTAGCCCTTCAAAAACAAGGGGAGATTAGGAGCCAAACTGTTGTTTTCTACCCATGGTCAGTTACATTATCAGGTTTTCATGTAAACGTTTGTTATTGAACGCTCATGCCGCGTTTTGGCATTCGCTTCAGCCATTGATGTTTGAACTATCGCCACTGCAATGCAGTTGTAAAGATATTTTGTATTCATCAATGAGCTCAAACCCACAGAGAAGAAGTTTATGATGTATAACAAAGTCCAATATGTCGTGAATAATTACAAGAGTTGCTTTTTCATGTGACCATTATCCAGACCCTTTCTAGAAAGATCTCCTGTGTTATGTAATGTTAGTTAGCCAGGACATGGCATTTGCTGGTCAAATGACATTCTTCCTGTAGACAAACCCAACAGGATCCAAGCCAGGAAACCGTGCAATCAAATTTAGTACCATCCATCATGTATTCTTATATGGCAGCATTTGACTAAAACATTTCAGTTAGTTTAAGTTTTTTTTTTTTTACAAACTTGCACCATTGTTACATTTGCATAAAAAAACTGCAAATAATTTTTTGTCAAGTTAACATAAAAATAGAATAATGAAAAACATTTGCTTGAGTAGTAAATTGGTTTTGTTAATAAGCAGACAGTGAAATTCCTCTTTTAAATTTAAAGCAAAACCAAAGATAGACATTATATTTCTTAAAACTTAAAATAACAAACCTTGGCCAGTATCCATGTGTCAACACTGAATAAGTTGAACTCTTACCTCATATTATTTAGTCACATGCTGCCGATGAGTTTACACAAGTAAATTTCCATGATGTAATCTCGGTAAATAATGTACAAAGATTAAACAGTGTAATCATAGATACTGAAGTTTGGTTCAACCCTGGTCCCTGCCAAATCGTCATGTGACATGCTGTAATTGGACAAACAGCAATGCCTACAAAAAGCAAAAATTGTGAATTAATAAATTGTAAGTTGTTTCTCTGGTGGCAAAGTTGTTAACCAAAAACTAAAGGCATGTCCGCTTTTAATTTATGAAAGCTATTCCTTGTTGGGCATTGGACTTTTCGCAGTGACAATATTTGAGATATTGTTTCAATATTAACGTTGCAAGGTATTTGCTTATTCATAAATGTTGTAATTATTAAAAACAAATGCAAGATTTCTGAAATAACATTGTGTGCAGGAGGTGCTGGCACTTCCAAAATGGTTTTTGTAACAAAACAAACATTGTTGCTAAAACCCGAAAGAAGAAATAAAACCCATCCAGCATAAGGCTGATAAAAAAGCAATCAAAAGTATATTTTAGTTAATTTTCATTTATGTTACTTGTTAATGATATGAGTTGTTAAAACCGTTTGCAAGTTTTCTCCAATAACTGTATGAACTGGCACGTCTGAGCCGCCAATGAACAAATCTAATGTAATTATTGTACCACTTTTCCAATTGGAAATATTCTCATTTTCAGTAATTTTGAACACCTAGTAAAAATGTGATCCCAGTATTATTATTGAGAAGCCAAACCACTGTCTAAGATTGAGAAGTTTATAAATGAGTGATAAATAAAAACAATTTTCACATCAATATAAAAAGTTTTCTTGATAATTTTCTTTTGTTTGTTCTTCGAAGTTGTTGATTTTTAAACAAGGCAATAAGGAACTGAGGCAGCAGAAAATTTTTCAAGATGACATGTCTGTAAACAAAAAAAGTGGACCAAATGTCCAAAATATACAATTTCTGGTGGGTTTGCATCCCTTTAACATTTCTGGAAGTTAATGATATAATTGATGACACTTCCCCATTATAGAAATCTGGAAATCGACATACGTTTGAAACTCAATTTTCAGTGACCCATGGAACATAACTTCCTTGGACATTTTGTACCCCACAATTTTTTAAAGCCCAGAAAACGAGCCGCCCCTCCCCCTCGCCCTCAACGTCACGCCCTTAATCTAATTCCTAGTTGTCGAAAGAGGGCGCTATATAACTTCACTGATCGTGTTTCCAAAAAAAGTTAGAGGGCGTGCTGCATTGGGCACGGGGCATGGGCATGACTTCATAGGTTTAATATCACGCTTTTCATGCTTCTAATTATTTTTGGAGTGGACTCGAAGTTTTATGCAAATTTCAATTGTAAGTTCAAAAGATTTTCGACTTATTCTGTTCTTGTCTTAGTTAATTGTCTAGCTGTTTGTTGAGTCATTCTTTGATATGTAGGTCAACATTCGGTAGATTTCCTGAATTTGACGGACTAAAGCGAGAATAAAACAGGTTGATGACTTGAAAATCATAGTTGACTATCTAAACGGCTTAAATAAAAGCTTAAAGCGCGGAGGTGGAGGGGGGGGGGGCTGGTACTCATCTTCCAAAATCGGGGCGCTCTTCAAAACTGACCATTATATTATGCACCCTACTGGAAAATGTGTGCCGATTTTCACGGGGCAATGCAATGCTTTTGGAGCTTGGTTTTCTCTCTCTCTTTTCATGTCAGAATGTTGAAAAGAGGGCTGTTGAATTTCTTGGAGTAAGTTTGCAGCATTTCAGACAGGTGCCTGGAAAATGTCGATTCATTACTCGTACGACATGACAACTTGCAATGAATATGCACAAAACTGTCCAATGATAATAGTTGTAGCGGGTATTTTTTTTTTCCAAACACTAAATGCAGTGGGGAATTTGTCGTCCACTTTTGAAAATTAGTTTCCATTGATATAAACGTAAAACACTTTAGCACTGGGGGTACCACCGTTTGCAGAGGCCGGGAAACGGGGGTTGGAAAAATTATGAAGCTATTTTTTATCAGTAATGATGAACCATGGAGGAATGGAATGAACCATAGTTATAAGCCAACAAATAATTTCTGAAACGGCTCAAGACATTTCAACATATAAAGTGCCGTGAGACTACACTGAAATAATTAAAATTGTCTAATCGAACGAAATGCATCCTATCATCACAAATTTCAATCATGCCCTTAAAAAGGACATATCAGAAATACCCTTAAATTCTTTTGTTTGGTAACGGGCGTTGCCTGAGCTGATGACGCTTTCCCGGGTATTTCTGTGAATACAAGCGCATCCAGTCGTTTAAGTTTGGAAACAATACTCCGGGAATTTTTTAAGGAAAGCCCAGCTGTTCTGTAGTTTGTCCAAATCTTTTGTCATTAGAATTCTTCATTGCAAAAATGAATGCGTTCTCGTAAAACCCGAACAAAGCCGGACATTCACGAATATTCATGAGCTTGCAATCCCTGTCATCCTATTGGTCGTATACACTCACGTGACAGGGTCATTTTCGCGTTATAAGCGTCTGTTACACTTTACGCGGGTACGCGTTGTATACGGAACGACCGTTGAGAAAGACCAACACAGACAAAGATGGTGAGATAGTTTTCTGAATCTGTCTAAAATACGGCGTAATGTCAAGGCATCCACACGTATTTTTTAGTTTTTAGTATTCATGAATATTTCCTGTAAAAGTGTGTACCTTTATTTTTCGGGTATTTGTGGTAAAATGTATGAAATTTGTTCGATTTTGTTATACAGGCTGGAGGTAAAGCAGGTAAAGATTCCGGAAAGGCTAAGGCGAAGGCTGTTTCACGGTCGGCGAGGGCAGGCCTTCAGGTAGGCCCGAATAATTCTAATTTTTTTCTCGTGTTTCAACCGTCACATTTTGCAGCCCTTAAAATTCGTCGTGTACAGTTATGCACAAGTCATTATTTCGTGAAATTGAGTGTCAAGTTTGATTGGTTTGCCACCGTTTCCGCAGTTCCCGGTCGGCCGTATTCACAGGCATTTGAAGAACCGAACGACTAGCCACGGCCGAGTCGGTGCCACCGCCGCGGTGTACTCTGCTGCTATCTTGGAATACCTCACAGCAGAAGTAAGTATTCTCATTTTTCCACAACTAAAATTCTCAATTTATATTCCAAATGTATGTTTAAATTGGTAAAAATTGTGAAATTCGTCTAGTTTCAAATTCGAATTGAATTTGGCGCGCGTTTTCACGAGTGTCGTTTTTTTGTAATTTTATTGAACGGTTCGTGATTTTTAGTAGCAAAAGTCACTTTTATGATGAAGAATTTAAAACGGCTGCTTACTTCTTAAACCGTTATTCATGGTAAATATTTATTTAAGGCTTTTTAATTGAAAATTTAGGTATCCCGTGTTATTTATTGGCCGGTTTTGTGTTTACAAATTTTGGCGCGAAATTTTGGAAACGGGCGCCATGGTTCGGCCAGAGGTCACCGCTGGTTTTTGTCATTGTTTGAATGTTTGAATATTTAAAGTGAGAATATTTAAATGTTTTGAATATTTAAAAAAAAAAAAACCTTTTTGTGTAGCCTGTTTCAGTATTTCCAATTTTAATGAGAACTTGGTTTTTTAAGAGTATTTTTTTGACAAGATTTTTGGGATAAAATTTTATGAGTTGACATGGTTGAAAAATGTTCTGACCGAACATTACTCCTTTAGGCCTTTTCCAAAACTCACAAAAAACTTTCCAAACTCATGCAGTGCACTTTTTTAAAAACGTTTTCATCCTTTTTTGTGTAAATTATGTCTGCGAGTTTGATAAATTCTGATGGCAATAATGCCCCGTGCTTTCGTTGGTTCAATGTTTATAAATTCATGATCACATGGCATGCATATGGAAATGAATGCAGTGGGCCTATCTTTCCCAATGTTAATGTTTCTCACTTGTATGTTCTAGGCCTAGGCCTATTTTATTTTTAGTCGAACAATGAAAAACAAAAGAAATAAGTCCTAATCAAAATCGAGAAGTATTCAGGTGGTATTGTTCTGAATTAACACTCTAGACCTAATTTTTCTGGCAACCTCACTCTTTTGACATGTTGAAATTGGCACTGGCCGTTATTCGTCTGCTTCTGCAGGGGCTTGAAAACATCGATGAGAACATTACAATTATTTTTTGTTTGCCCTATCCCTTTTCAGGTTTTAGAATTGGCGGGTAACGCTAGTAAAGACTTGAAGGTGAAGCGTATAACGCCGCGTCACTTGCAGTTGGCCATCAGGGGTGATGAAGAGTTAGACTCATTGATCAAGGCAACTATCGCTGGCGGTGGTACGTATTCATTCACCCTCACTATTCATTCGTATTCCCTCATGAATATTTATTCAGCCTCGATTTGAAACATGATTACATATTTGGACGAGTTTTTCCCTGTAAATGAGGCTACATCGGCCCCATTTTTCTGTGAATTTATATAGACCTGACTTGGCCTATGTGCTGTGAGCGCAACTCATAGAGGGCGCCATATCTGCCCAGATGCAGCAATACACAAAAATGCCCCATCACCGCAACCAAAACTTGCTTTTTATTCAAATTTACTGTAAAAAGGGACAGAATGTAGTATCCAGACGCCACTTCTTTGGTTGTGTACAATTTTACAAAGTGTTAAGTGTATGGAGAGTTGAGTGCATTTCCAAAGTATTTCTAACAAAATTGGAAATGTTTCTCAGTCCCAGATTCATGTCTGTTCAACATTTTTGCAGTGACTGACCTTCACCGAGATAATGTATGATGAAAAAAGTGGCGTCAGGATGCAACCTTCTTTCCGTAAAACGTTGAACGCATGCTGATATTTGTTTCCGATGTCACTTATTTACTTGCAGGTGTCATTCCTCACATCCACAAGAGTCTGATTGGCAAGAAGGGATCACAGAAAGCCTCATAAGACACCTCAGCACTATCCAACCAATCAAAACACCTCTTCAACTGCACACACTTGGCCGACCACACCCATGGCCAAGCTGACCACACCCGTTGTGTAGCCGGACACGCCCACAGGCACCAACACCCAAATTGTTGATTTTTCAACAATGTCTTTGTCGGATTCTCTTGTTTGGGTTATGTCACAATTGTAATTTTATTTCTCCTTTTTTTATTTTTGAAATCAACTTTTGGGTCGCCAACTTAGAAATAGTGCTCTCTAGAGAGATTTTTATTTAATGTAAATGAGCATGTGCGAGTCTGTGACATTGGAAAAAAAGTGGGTTTTATCGGCCATTTTGGGATCTTCCCAGCCGGATGTATATAGTGCAACAGACCTCGTTCGTATACACACGTAGTTTGTAGTTCATAACTTGGGTTTAGAAATCTTCATTAGTTTGTATGAAAGTATTGATTTTTAAAGGGTTTTGTTTATTTCTTTGTTTTTTTCTTCACAGCAAGTGTTTTTCCACAAAGATGAGTTACCGTGTAGTTTTCTTGTGTTAAGAACTTCCTGAGATGTAGCTAGCGGAGATTGTACATGTAAATTTGCACTGTGTATTAGTGCGCAAGGACCCAACTGAAGAAAAAACTTTAAAAGATTTTCGAACGAATGACTACTGGAGGCATTCCTTTTTAATTAAAGACAAATATTCTTAAATTTGTATTCTTGTGTAAAAGGCCAAAAAAAAAAGCAAGAAAATGACACTTTGATCTTAAAAATTTCAATAGTGTGTTCAAATTTGTAGGTTTGTGGCTTAATCTCACCAAGTTGGTTTGCTCATCTGAAAAATAATTGGTTTTCCCGTCAACGAAATTGTTGGAAAATTGTTCCGTTGCTTGTGTATTGGCCACTGATTTTTAATCCAATGACAAGTTGTGTATTACTGGAAGTGATTTTTTGTATTTGTTTACTTAGCGTAGGTTGTGATATAAGAATTTGAGTGGGAAATAACAATACTGGAGGGTTCTCCATTTTATACATGAAAAATATTGTCGTTTTATTTATTCCAAGGAAGAACTCGTGCCTGGGATAAGTACACACGTACACTTTATTATTATGCCAGTTATATTTGAGTCTCGTGGAAACTGAAATGAAAAGTGCAAAATGTTTGTAAGTAAATGCATATGAATTTTTTTATTATGACCATGTCTCTTGATATGCCCTGAACTTGAGAAACAATACATTTGTACATGTAAAAGTTACATCCCTTTTTCAGGCATGCAACTTTTCCTAGGATCTGCTGATTTCCTTGTTTTCGACTTCTCACAAACATGTGCCATTACAAAATGGAAATCAATGTACAGTCGTTCTTTGTAAATTCCCTGTTGCATGCCTGCTTTTTAATGACTTGTACTTTTCTGAATTTGTACATTTGTAATACTGCAGTAATAATAGACGTTTATTTTTTTGCGGTTTGTAATCCAGCAACAAAATCATGAAAAGTGAAATACAGTCGACTCTCGTAACAATGTCGACGGGACTAGCCAAATTACCTCTTTATAACAGGAATGTTGTTATAAAAGGACAAAGAAACACAAAGAGAACCTGAGATTTGGGACCTCAGAATTTGCTCTTTATAAGCAGAACCTCTTTATAAAAGTGCTCTTTATAATGAGTCGACTGTAACAGGTTTTTTTCAAAAGAAATCATTTTATTTCATACAGAATCGGGTACAAACTGACAACAGTACATGTACATTGTACTTGTTACACTGATGAAAATCGCCTGATATGTCTGTCCAATTGAAGCAGAGTATATTTGAACGCGTACATACCCTGTGTAATACAGAGATGAAACTTTTCAGATTTTAATCTGAAATCGGATTTTTTTTACTTTTCCAATGAAATTTCAGATTTTTTAGCGATCCAACAAAAATGATTATTTAACGATTTTTCCACAATGTTTTTTTTTTTCATTATAATTTCCAAAAAAAGTTTGTACAAGTGTAAAACACCTAGACCAATGCTGATCAGATCCTTTTCCGGCTGGAGAAAAGGTTAAATACTGACCTATGACATGGAAAAATTCACTGGGTCCCACGATGATGCGCTGCGCTGCGCTGCACTGCGCGACGCTGTGGCAGCTCGGACCCAAGGTTCAATTTCAGAATTTTTTTGCCAAGGCCAGTTTCATCTCTGGTAATAAACCTCATCTATCAGCAGCCATTAGAAATTTAATTTATGAAATAAGGCTTAATATTTGTTTGCATAGTTGATAAGTACATATTTTGTTGTAAATCTAGCATAAAATGTATTCATAGTTAGTTAAAATGTAGTTAAAATTTCGGAATTTTGGAAAGACCATGATTTCACATTTTCACCACAATTTTTGTTTTTCAAATTCCCTAAGATTGCCTCATTTAATAAATTCCTTAAGATTTACATCGAATCATGGAAATGTACAAAGATTAAGAACATATTCCCTCAATCAAATGCAGCACACATTTTCAAAATATTGCCATAATTACATGTAAATTTCAACTCCCAGCAAGTTTTTTTGTGCTGCAGCTTGTGACAATACTAGTCAATTATATTTATAACACAATGTTATATAAGATATCAAATCCATTTATACAAAACAAATTTTGCACACCAGTATAAATTATTTCAGAAAATATCTTTTTGAACTTCATCAACTCAAAGAAATCAACGTGTAATTTTGGAAACGCAATTATTTTTTGGCTTGAAATCAGAAGAAACTTCACACACAAATCCAGAAATCAAGGCCCTTTCATCATCAGGCCCAAAATATCCTTGTAGCAGTAACTTTCAGCGTCGATAGCCCATATAAAATCCAAATGGCCGTAGGTCGGAATTTCTTTGTTGTAGAAAAGGTGTTTAATCTTTGGTATTAATAGCTCTACATCTTTCAAGTCCGCCAGAGTGTCGCGCCCACCGTAGAAAAGGGCCGTCGGTGTTTGCATATTCTCAATGTGGTACACAGGGGGCGTGGTCTATGGAGAAAAAGAAGGCGGGTTTAGGGTACATTTTGGCCAGCTGCATACATCTCAGCAGCTTGCTTTTTTAAATCATCTTGATGGATTTTGAGGGTCTAGGAGGGCTAGAATTATAAAAGTTATAAAACATGTAGACAATTTAGCACTGCAAATTCTAACTTATTTATATAAAGCCGCCTCTAGATTTTCAGTCTTCTGGCAAGACATTTGACAAACCTGATTATAATGCTCCATGTTGCCTTTTGGACCAAAATCATACATGGAACACTTCTTAGATTGCACCATCTGCAATTGACAAAAACAAATCACAGTTATTAAAACATACATGTACAACAAAATTTGAAAAGACCTGTTTGACATTTTAAGGGCCAAAGGTCAAACTGTGGTCAAATGACACTGACTATTGCAAATTACAAGACGCTAATAACATTTCCCTTTGGAGTTCAAGTCTAGTTACCTGAGCCCAGTGGTCCATATTCCACACTGACGTCCCTGCAGGACAGTTGTTCACGTAGACGGGTATCCGACTAGCATTCATGTGGTCCTTACTGTAGCCTCCGAAGGCGCCCAAAATAGCCTCGCAAATGAAAACCGTCTCCGGTTCGCTGCAGACGGTGTCTCCCATAAAATGGAAAAACTCGTTGCTAGGGAAAAAGTCGTAAAGGCCCAGGTCGACGAGAATTTCCTGAGTAAGAATATAAAGTTGTACTGCATATTGAGTTTACTTACAATTAGCTTTGTCTAAAAGTGCCTGTTGGCATCAAAGCCAATTTATTCACAAAAACAACACAGGGGCCATGATGAACTCTTTTGTGGTCAAAAAATATAACACCACAACTCTTTAATCTTTAACTCACCGTCAAAAAGTTGTCAGGGACGTCATCAGCAAGAAACCGGAACAATGTGGAAGTCATGTAGCCGACTGTCGCCACTGGGCCCATAGCAAAAAACATCTTGACCTTCTTAGCGAGTTCCTGGTTGCGGGAGAACTCAGCAAATGCAATCATGGTACCTGTCATGGTAATAAAAAATAGACGGCCTTTAAAACAAATCTTGTTTTCTGATCCTATGGTACCTTGCTTCAGATCCCGTACGTTAGCATTTTTTTTGTCCAATTGAAGTTACAAATCTCTTGATTGGTTGAATTCTAACCACTGTGTTTTATACAATTTGTTTTAAATATGATATATATTTTTTTCTCAGTTACGAGTCGTCTCTCAGCCTCCATACTCTACGTACAGCATAATTGCATGCTGATCTTATCAATTCACGTGTAATTGCCTATATTTTTTTTTAAAGACCTCTACCTTGTGAATGGCCAATGTAGTACATCTCCTTTTGTCCAGTCTTGTTCAGCACGTAGTTCAGGCAGGCTGGTAGGTCATACTTGGCCATCTCATCCCATCTGATGAATTATTCATAACAAGCAAATATAATATGTAAATTAAATGCAAATTATTCTTTTATAGTTAACTCTTTTTGAAGCATCAAACTGAAGTCAACTACTCTTTGTGACAAATGAGCGAATCCATTCTACTTTTAATTAAAGGAGTGTTTTTTATGACTTCAAGAGAATTTCAACATTTTGCAACCGTCCCCAAAATATCTAATTAGCCCCCCCCCCCCCAAAAAAAATAACTGTTTTAAAACAATGTTTCCTGAAATTTCATTTTTATTCAAACACATCTCCAACTTGTCTGATGTTTCCACTTTCTCCAATTAAATCAACAATCCCATAAACTTCTTAGAATAATCCAGCAAGTCCATGAAATTGACTCGTGTTGAATTTTTAGCCCCCCCCCCCCATTTTTATTTTACAATTTTTTAAGTCAAAATATGTTTGGCAGAGGGTTATTCTCACGTCCATTCCCAGAATTTCTGTTGATCTGGTTTGAGCGTCTCATGTTTCCTGCTGTAGGTGTTGCCGCGTGAGTTGCCCATCCAGACATCATACCCAGCATCAGCCAGGAGGTAGGCTAGACTCTGGTTGGGTAGATTGGTCACCCAGTTGGAGGCGGCCGCTAGAAGGCCGTGTTGGAGGAACGCTACTTCCCTGGGTCCTGAAGACATCAAAAAGAAAGAACATCACTAACATTTAACATTAATGTTGGCACAAGAAAACCATTTGGTCCAAAAGTTAAAAAAAAACTGTGGGGATTTCCCCCTTTACTGTTACTGGGAACATTATGTGGACTAGATATATGTTGGACACTTGCAGTCTCCTGCAAGTAAATTCTGTGAACATATTTACTTTTTTGGTGAACTTTTTGGTCTGTACATCAATGTCTAATTGTTTATATTGTACAGGATTTGCATTTCGTACTGAGGCTGTTAAAGTTGTTTTGAGGCCCAAGCAACTTTGTCCCTAATTTTTGATTTTTTTTTTACTCAGCACAACATCTTTGCCAACTGATAACAACTCTATGAAACTGGCCCCTATCAGCAAACAGTTAGTCCGATTTCATAAGACAAATTCAGGGTTTTGATTTGGTCACCTTTGCTTTTGTTCTTCACGCCGTAGGGTATGCGCTGCAGGGTCAGTATAAATCCATCCACTGTGTGAACTTCATGGACTTCAACTGGGTATCCATGGCTCGCGATGAGGCCGCTCTGTTATCACACAAATCAGAAAATTAAGAAGGTTAACTACTAATCCTTATTTCACTGGTGTTTTTTTTTTGGGGGGGGGCTGCTTGATTTAGTTAACAATATTTTTGCATTTGTCCTTGGAAACAAATTTCAACTTCCAACATTTCTCATCCCAACCAAACTTTGTGTATGTAAGAAGAAAATACAACACTGTTGCATTTGTAAAAGTATTATACATTAAGTTAACTACTTTAATATTCGTCATTCTAAAGGTCAAGTGGTGTTTGCACATTTTGGCATGAGGTCAAAATGTTTGCAACCTTTGTTGGCCTAACGGATTAACAGTTGTATGGTTGGCAACAGTAGTAATTGATGTTATCAATTTTATTGAAGGCTGGAGTACAAATTTTATGGATGTTCAATAAAATATTGTAGGTACTACATGTATACGGAAGAATTTGGTGATGTCTGATTTGTGATGATTTCATAACTTTGTCATACCCACCACATTGTACTTGGTATCAGGATCACTCCCCAGTTCTATGTTAGAAGTCTCAAACCGTTGTCGGAGTTTTTTCAACTTTTCCTCAACGTCACGATAGCCATGAGCTCTTAGGAGACCCGGCAGAACTTTCAAAAGTCGATCAATCTGATCAGTCTTGGAGATTTTTACGTCATCGCTCTTCGGCGAGCCCAGGAATTCCTCGACTTGGTCAGAACCCTGCAATGGTAGTTTTTGTGGACTGATGGAAGAGCCGATGCCCCACAAAGGGATCGTTGTGAAGAGGACGAAAAGCCAAATGTTGAGCTTGGAAGAAAGGAAGTGAAGACCCGCAAACATCCGCATAATGACTCGGAAAATCAGTGCAAATTACACACCTGTAACTTCAGAAAACAGAAAAACAATTAGTTAAAATACAAAACAAAGAGAGAAATTTAATGTAAATTGTGCTCGCCTCAAGGCTCAAATGTCAAAGTAAAACTACAGAAAAAGTTGTAATATTAACTCCACCATTTGTCCACCGAGACATGATACTCGGCAACATAATTAACACAAGGCATCGTGTGTATTCATCCTTGCTATGGTATATGTTACTCCCTTCCCACCAACTGCCCCCCCCCTTTCCGATCCCACATGTTGACCACGCCCATATCGTCCTCCATTCACAATTTTAACTTTCAAAAAACAAAATCAGTTTGCCATGATTAAGAAATTAAAATAATGTGAGAGAAAAAGGTACGAAATCTGTGGATCGACTCACCAAGATAGAACACTTCAGATTGCATCACACACTGTCTGGACAAGGAAATAAACTCCACCGAAAGCGTTACACTCACTTCACGGACTTTCGACTTCGTTCGAACCGATTGTTTACATTCATGATTACTAAATCACATGACATGAAATGGGACGATACCAGGCTATCTCTCTCGACGCAATAAACCATGAAAAGGAGACTGGATATCAGACCAGTTTCTCCAAAGGTCACAAAGCTACGGGTCAATCATTTATTTATTACCAACTCTGAAATACTTGCAGTGTTTCTTCTTCAAAACTAGAATTAAGAGATAATGTTATTTTTCAAAAACAAAAATATAACAATGTTTTTGTCCAAAAAGCTTGGTGTAGGCTTAAAAGTATTTTAAGTATTTTTTCAACCCATTTTCTGTTCACTGGTAGCTATACATCAGAGTACCAGTCAGCAAGTGATCTAATGTACGTACGTACGTAACGTGCATATCATGTGTGTTACATTGCAATTCTGACTGTACGTGTACTAAACAGAAAACCATGGAAGGCAATCGGGAAGACAGTATAAAATGCATTAGAATCGCCGAAAACGCAATCGCTACAGGGGATTACGAAAAAGCCAGAAGGTTCCTGAATAAAGCACAGAGATTATATCCTTCACAGAGAGCGAAAGGTGAGATTTTAACCGTTTTTCGGGCAATTTTCCGGTGATTAATTGCCGTCAATTTTTAGCTATCGAATTTACGACTCATGAAAATGAAGGGCGCCCCCATACTGGTACATAATCAAGTGAATCAAAAGGCAATGGTTCTTTTTAGTTAGTTAGTGTTACTAAAAATACATGTAGGTATGTAAAAAAAAATTTCAAACTTAATACACTTAACTGGGAAAAAACGTTGCATTGTAACCTGACGCCACTTCACTTCAGCGGTTGTTGTGTACAAGTCTGTGGAGACTCAAGAAAATGTTCAAAAAATCAAACTATTCAAAGTATAATTTTCAATGATTTTCCTAACAAAATTTGAAATGTTTCTCAGTCGAGTCCCCCCTGACCCAGATTCATGTCTTATCATTTTTGCAAAGACTGACCTTCATTGACATGATTGAGATGATATTATTATGAAGAAAAAAGTGGCGTCAGGTTCAGTGTTGTACATGTAGGTCTCGAGACTATTCACAGCGGCGTCAGGATACTTCGAAAAAATAACTCAAAATATGAATTTTTTTTTTATAACTGTAAATTAGGCCAGTCCCTCTCTTTTACCTCAGCCTCAGTTTTCGACTGTAGCATTAGTCATTGCGGTCTATCTTCTTTTTTTTTCAATAGATCTCCTGCTACACCTGGAGAGCCATGCAGAAGAAAGCAGCTCCTCTTCATCCACAGACTCTGCCGAGCAACCCGACACGAGAGAACGGCAACGCACATCCTCGCAGAGCTCCAACGGACCGACACCCAGACAGAGACACACGTCAGGATCCAGGGAACCAAGGGCCGCTGAGACCAATGGGGGTGCCAACAGAAGTTACACAGACGAACAGCTGAAAGGAGTTAATAGGTATTCAAACGCAGGCCTAATGGAGCCACTGCCAAACATTGGTTTGACAGAGGCCCTCTTGTGACATAATGAAGACAATCAACATCACATGCAGTCTCTAGAATGCCACTTTCAATTTGATGTAAATATGGCAAACAACAACAACAACAAAACAGCGGCATCATGACAATGTTTTTCCCTAAAAATCTCATTTATAGAAATAGTCAAGACTTTTATGAATGGATATTACATGTACCTGACAAACAAGGTTAGCTGACAATTTCATTGTTTGTGCATGTATCAAGTTTTGTCAGATTATTACATTCTTAGCCAATGCACTCTTATCCTTACTGAAAGTAAGAGCTATTATTGCTTTTGTCTGTCTTAACAGAATAAAGAAGTGCAAAGATTTTTATGAAATCCTGGGTGTACCTAAAGATGCAACTGAAGTAGACATCAAAAAGGCTTACAGGAAACTAGCGCTGCAGTTTCACCCCGACAAGAACCATGCCCCAGGCGCTGGGGAAGCATTCAAAGGTAAGTTTTGAGCCACCACCCCTTTCACCTCTCTGCAGAATCAGTACTGTAGGTACATTCCTTGTATTGTAGAGTTACATGTACATCCTTCAATCCTGCAAAATCCTCCACTTGGTGGATTTTGATGGATCAGGGATTACCAAGTTTCAGATGCTCAAAGGGCATTTGTGAAAGCTTGACTTTGTTTCAGGCTTCGGCTTTAGATTTTAAACCTGTGACTTGGGGGACTCTGGCTCAACATAGACTCATTTTTGCTTCAGGAATGTCAACTCCTTAAATGTGAGGCAGACTTTTGGAAGACGTCCATTTGGTTTGGACATTAAAGGCTTTCTTATGATAGTTTTAATGTGTGTTGCTTTAATACATGTAGCACTTTCAACCAAAGGTAGTATTACCCCTGTTCGTCAGGTCATGAGACCACTTGTCTACAGCCGAGTTCAGCGCAAACTGGTCTCTATCCTCATTTATCCTATTGGGTGGAGAGGGGCAATATTATTGTAGTAAAGTGTCTTGCCCAAGAACACAAGCACCATGTTCCCCGTCGTTGGGTAACTATATAGATAAAGCAAGATCTGAAGATGAAGCCACAATTTTTCACCTCTTGTCAAGTCCAAATTTTTTTGAAGTGCTCTAATTTATTTTTCTCACCAGCCATTGGGAAGGCGTTCTCCATCCTCAATGACGAAGAGAAAAGGAAGCGATATGACATGTATGGAGACGAGTCCTCCGAAGTCAATAACGTAAGACGGCGCCATCATCACCACCACCATCACCATGGAGGCTTCTATTACGAAACAAGGGGATTTGATGGTAAGAGTCGGGGTACTATACCAGAACCTGACATTAAGTGTCAACGCATACTTTGTTACGAACTTGTGAAGTCAATAGCACAGTCAATCTTGAGCTGTTTCATACAGATTGGTGGAATTCTTTCACTTATGAAGAATGCACTTTTGACTTCTATATTTGTTTTTGTTCAGACAAAATGCCATGTGTCCAACCCAAATCCAGCCCCGTTTTTATTCTCATGGTATAATCTCAAACTGATACTGATTTTCCAGGAATGCTTAAAAATTATTATTTTTTTTGGAATTAATCTTGTTTCGGTTTTTGTTGTGACTTTTGCAAAACAGATGAAGACTTTTCACCAGAGGATCTCTTCAACATGTTCTTTGGGGGCGGGTTCCCGCAGGGCAACGTAGCCAGACATCGGCGGCAGTTCCGCACTCAGACTCACCACCAGCACCAAACTCGAGAAGAGGTTTGTACCACCAGTAGAGGGCGCTGCCTAGCCTTATGGCTGGATCTGAGGCTGTGTCCGAATCACTTGGCCATGGCTAAAAATAACATACAAGTCTATGGGAAGTTGCTGCAGTGCTAGCCAGAGGTTTTCAAATGGGCACGTGTTATTCCCTGACATAGCTGAGTAGCTCAGATACTTAGTAGTAGTAAAGTCTGTCACAAGCCAATGTGGCCCATCAGGCCGGCGTTTATCTCCAGTTTCAGTAGCATGAAATGACTGAGAATATTCCTACTCCCCCTGGATGGGATGCCAGTCCATCGCAGGTTACTCCCCAGCTAATGCCTGTACCCATTTATACTCCTGGGTGGAGAGAGGCAAGTGATGATGAAGTGGCTTGCCCAAGGACACAACATATTGGCCAGCGGCAGGATTGGAACCCCTGACCCTCTGATCATGAGTCACAAACTCTGACCACTAGGCCACACTCCCCCAGATACTCAATGTGAAGTAAATTCTTAGTATAAGCAGCTGTAAAAGTGAAAATGCAGTTGCTGACTTGCGGTTCACTTGTGCATGGATTTCACTGTGTATGTAGGATTGTTAAATCACCCATTAAAATTCAGTAAAAAAATCCTTGAAAGTAGGATTTGGACCTGGGCCCTCCAGAGTGCAGCACCAACTCACTACCAACTGGGCTATCCAACCCTTTGTTGGCAGTTTCACAATTTGTCAATATCTTTCATTTTGTGAATTTTCCTCCTGTACAGGCACGCTACACATTTCTTCTGCAACTGCTGCCCATCTTTATGCTAGTCATCATATCGCTTTTATCCACGGCGTTCATTCAGGAATCCCCCTATAGTCTCACTAGGACAGGGTAAGAAGAATTTTTCATTTTCTAATAATTAGAAGCTGTTGCCATATATCTTGCTTCCTTAAACACTTCGTCAGAACTTCTTTTGTAAGCTGAGAACTCCACAGTTCCAACACAACATGAAAACGTAACATAATCATTTGTTTTTTTAAGACAGTCCCTCAAAACTAGCCACTTAATCTAGCAACTAAAATTAGAAAACTCTAGAGGCCATGGAGAATTGATCATCTGTTTGTTTGTCTCTTTTTCAGCTCATACGTTCATGAAAGGACTACTCACGAAAATAAGATCAAGTATTTTGTTAAGGTGAGTATATATAAACATTTTGTGCATAATTTGTGCTTGTAAAGATGTTTATTGGTCTTGATGTTACATGCCTTGTATTGACCCTAAATCCATCTGTATTTTTGCTGTTAACCTTCCCGAATCACCCCAAAACTACTCAAGTATAGGAAGCAAAAGGCACATCTCTTGTACCTCAAATTTCAAGAGGCATAAAATTCCATGTCAAGTAAAAGTATCTGTATAGATTTCCTCCAGCAAAACAGCTACAGCCACATCCCGCTAGAGTTGGCGTGGGCCGGCGCTAAGAGAGGACATTGATGTTGCACGAGGGATCAGTGAAGGCATTTTTGAATTGATCCAAACTTTTAGCATTATAATGGCTTGGTACTAAGTACCAGATCCTAAAAAAATCCTCCAAGAGTTCCCCCAGTTTCTATTAATGTCTTCTCAAGTATTGTAATGTTTTTCTCCTTATTTATTTCAGAATACATTTATCAAGGATTACTCTGGTCGTATACATCTCGTCGATGAGCGGGTAGAGGCAGAATATGTAGACAATTTACGAAGTAACTGTTATCGAGAGAGATTAAATAGTAAGTCAGCATTCTTAATTCATTGCTTTTGAACATTTTCCTGATTTATTATTCTTTCTATAATCTTTCTAAGATTTTTCATCAATTATTTTTTTATCAATTTCAAACATTTCATTGTGAAAAGTTTTACATGGCCATGTTTGAGGCTAGGTGCTAAAGATTTAGAAATACCATTTATAAAAATCTTCAAATTTGAAGGCCCCCCTCCCCTCCCCTTTCCCCTACTTCTACCCCTCAGAAGGGTGTTACTTTGAACTTGGAACAATAAATTTACCACCTGCTTTCCTATCTTGTAGAAGAAGCAGCGTTACAACGAGCCCGGTACTTTGGCGACAAAAAAATGCATGAGAGAGCTGTTCGGATGCAGTTAACGTCTTGCGACAAGTATGATGAGTTCAGAAGATTATCATGAGGTACCAGGCCAGTGCCTTTTACACATTTTTTTTATGTGTTATTTTAAAAATAGGTATTTAAATAAAGGAGATTTTTGAGATACAAGTTATGATCAGATATGCCTGTAGAGCAGTAAAGGTAAGGTATGCCTTTAAGTGTAGTCATTTATCTTTACACTACATGTGTGGAAGACGAGATACAATAGAGTAAGGGTTATAACCGTTTTGTTTGCCCCAAACTTGTATCTCAGAAATCTCCCCAGACTTTCGAAATTCTGGAGTATTTAATTCTATCCAGCCTGATGGAATGCGACTCAGAAATGCAATTTGTAAAATTCTTGGCCCCATCTTTCCTAAATTCTCTCATTTTAGCCGTCGGAATACTTATTTGAATATCTGGGACAAAATTGTACACGTGTGACATGTCTTTGAGGACAGTTGTACATGTATTTCCGTGTACGTCAGGAGGCTGCATAGATATGTGATAACCCTAACCCTGTTAAATGCAACAGAAATGCAACAAAGGTAAAAAGTTGTTGCATACTGTTGCATTTAGCTGGCAACTCAAGTCCCCGTGCTTTGTTGCATCTTGTTGCACGTAGCAGGGTAACTGTTCATAGTGCCAAGGCAATACAACAGAATTTACTGTTTTATTTGGTTGCATTTAGCAAGGTAACTGCTGGGTGCCAAGGCTGGTTATGCACGGTGCAACAGAATCCACGGTTGCAATTTGTTGCATATAGCAGGGTTCTATTTCAGCCAGGTTGCATTTTGTTGCATGTGGCAGGGTGCCTTGAGAAAACCTGGTGGGGGTTATGCAAGGACATGCATAGTACAGTTTCCTGATTTTTTTGATGTCCTCACATTACACATACACATCTTAGGTTTTGTATAACACATGCACATAAATGTATACGTCCACAAATGTCATGTCCTGTCGTCAGGTCCATGGATATCTAAGGACCTGTACAAACATTTTTGCAATTTATACATTCACATACACATTGTGAGGACATGTATTCTTCATGTCCTCACAATGTGTATGTGAATGTATAAATTGCAAAGACTTGTGCAAAAATGTTTCACATACACATTGTGAGGACATGAAGAATACATGTACATGAAATGTATTAGGCACCTTTTCACAAAGTGCATATGGGTCATTCCACCGGGTTGGGAAGCAGTGCATGTTACATCCATACATTTGGTTATACATGTATTATTAAAAGTATCAATGTATTCTAAACAATTGCTCAAAATAATATTTGTCTTAGGGTGTTTCAATACTTATGAAAGTTTGAAATCATTTGAATGTACTTTGACAAAAATATGAGCAAAAATGTATTAATTCGGACGTAACATTGACACCGTGTCAATGTTACATCCAAATATTCTTTTATTGCCATTTTTTACACGAATGTAAGATGTTACCCAAACTGACATTACATACATGTGTGTATTTATAACTGGACACCTAATGCACGAAGAAAAGCTTTTGTTTTGGTATAGTCCGGGCTCAAATATAGCAGAAACACCCAGCAACAAACATTATGTAGAGCAACTGCTAGCAAGGCATATGCTTTTAATATGGTTATATTTCACACATTGTTCCCCAATCCGGTGGAATGACCGATGTACATGCACCTGTGTGAGGACGTGTACAAATACCGAGTAGTTTAATAGAAAATATGAAGGACATTCTACCTTCTTAACATTTAAGAATGAGTTTAGAAACTGTCCCAGTAAACATTTGATTATCTCTCCTGGATGCATTGTAAATAAGATTTCATAATTGTAGGCCGCTTGATATGATGAATTTATTTCTATCAAAAACATGTCTTTGAACATGATTTTGGTTGATGTGCTCTTGTCAATGTGGAAATCATGTTTTTTTTAACAAAGTAACATTTAAACTTGAGGTTATATTTAGTATTACCGAAACACGATGCATTTTAGTCAGCTTTAATACTACTGAAAATGCATAACGCATCTCAACTTATAGCGTAGTTTTTCCTGATGTATCTATCTTCATTTTTGTCTGTGTCTTAAAAAAAGTTAAATAAAAATGTCCCCATAAAAGGAATTCAATTAAACAAGGCACAATTTATTTACTATAACTTGTTCATTTTTAAAGTATTCCATCTTCCCTTTTAATTGTTCATGTGACTGTTTCCCACTTTAAAGTAGTAAAGTAGTAAAGTCTGTCATGAGCCAATGTGGCCCATCAGGATGTTTATCTCTGGTTTCAGCGGCATGAAACGACTGAGAATGTTTCTATTCCCCTGGATGGGATGCTAATGCCTTTACAATACTCCTGGATGGAGAGAGAGGGACAAGTGGGGGTGAAGTGGCTTGCCCAAGGACACACATATGCCCAGCAGCTGGATTCGAACCCCTGACCCTCTGATCATGAGTCAAAAACCCTAACCAGTAGCCACGTGATAGCTAATGATATTGCCTGACAGGAATGGCACAGAAATATAAGTTAAGACATAACATACCTCGGTTCTTGTTTTAAATGTTGTTAAAACAATTTCTAATTATTTTCTCTGCTTTAATCGCTTAGCCAAAGGCAACACAATCAGTAATGCTAATAGCCAATTAGCTAAAAATTAAGTGAATGAACATACTGTTGCTGTTTTAACCAACTGAAATCTGGCATCAAATTTTCTTGAAAGTACATGTATTTTAGGTGTTGCTGCACCAAGTAATGCTCCTAAACTTTAACACTGTTGCACATTATTTTTCCTTAAAAATATTGTTTCTTTGCTCCTTAGCACATTAGAGAATTAATTATGGCAAGCAAATTGGCTCTGGATAGTTAACATATGTGATGTGATCAAGTTAAATGAGTCGTATTGCGGGAACTTTCATTTGGAGATTCAGGCCAAAATAGGGCCACTTCATCACATCACTTCATCACATCTCTTGGTGTTCCGACTTCCATAATTTGTGAACTAAAGATGATACCAGCATGTGGTTTTCACATCAGTAATGCTGAGATTGTGCTCTTTTCAAATCTGTCAATTAAAAAAAAATGGCCAGGGTCGACAAACGACTCATTTAGCTTGATCGCATATACAAAACATTATTGTCATGAGTAGTTACATGTAACAAGAAAGATTGGAAGACTGTACAAAGTCTTTATTGTTAGATGCGAAATAAAACCATCACATAAACATCCCCGTAAAACTTGTTATTTTGTTTAGCCCTTTTACCTACTTTCACTTTCAAAAATTAACAGCACATCGGTTTCAGTGACCTTCATCTTACGAAAAAAAAGTCAGCGAAATGAGACTGTAAAGACATGTGCTGAATGTTACTTGAGAGCTAATAATTATACATGTACAAATAATTCACAAGTAATTCATGATTAATTATCACTTGACTATCTCTTGAAACTTGATTACAAAGATGTATACATGTACAAAACAAAGGAATTAATTTAATACACTGTACACACATGTATATCCTGTGTGTCAACAATAAGTTCAGATTTATATGCACAAAAACGTAATTTAATAAACAAATTAGCTCTGTGCTGGTGAGTTAAAACAGTGCTGAGTCTTTAATAAATGTATATATTCATTTAACTGTATAACTCGTATTTTAATGTATTTGTGAAATTGTTATTTTGGATTGTACATGCTTAATTTAAGTATAAATGATGACAGGTTTACATTATGCTTATTATTAAAAACAATAGAGTCATTTGTTTATGATATTATTATCTGTGGCAACTTGTGGATGATGTTTTCCAAGATTAAATTTGGGGAGTTCTTACTGGTGAAGACGACGAATAGATCTTCTCTTTTGTTTATGTTAAAATTGATCTGAAATAACAATGTCAGAGGTCTTTGATATTTCAGGAATGAATTGTATCAGGAGTATGGTAGGGTTAAGATTAGTCAGGATTTTTTCCTGATTTTTCCTGATTTAAGGATATTTTTGTCAGGATTTTTCCCAATATCAAAGAATCCTAAAATCTGGAATTCATGAGTATTAGACTGATCCAGTAAGCCACGCCCACTGCACATCCAGTAAGCCCCGCCCACTGCACACTTGAGTAATAGACTGATCCAGTAAGCCCCGCCCACTGCACATCTAGTAAGCCCCGCCCACTTCGCATGCATTCCCTCGCCAATGCCACACTAGAGGACCACAGTGGCAATACGGTGCTGTTAGTGTCAGTTTTTTTGTGATCCTCGACAGTGCCTCAGATAATCCATTGTATTTCTGTGGTTTTACGGAGGCCAAGTGTCCTGAGAGAAATACGGGTCTACACTTTAGCACGGATGTGCAAGTGCTCTTTTAAAGAAATGTTTACCCCTCACTAATAAATATGACTTTGCTACGCCCCTAGTGTACGCTTGTGCACGCTTGTCGGACTTGTTGAGCAGACACGTCGGACATAAATCACGGCTGTGTGATTGGTCAAAACACGATGGGCGGAGCTTAATTAGTCGGTCTATTACCGTATGCCTGCGCAAAGTAAATGCAAAGCCAAGTCTACTGTGTGTAGCACTCTCAAACGATATTAACCCAACTAGTGACGTTGCCCAACTTCGAATTTTCTACACCCGACACTGTCATTTGTTAATGTCTTTATACACAGGCTCCAAAGAAATCTGACATATGGGTTTGGATTGAAACAAACGCTGGAAGTACAAAATAATATAATTTACGTGTACATCATTGGGCAATTAATTATTATTATAAGCCGCAAATAAGCACTGATCACTACCGTCGTGTGGTAGATATGAAGTGGCCGCTTAGCCCCCTCAGCTCACTATGCGGAACATCTGCATCGGACCATGGATCGCAAGACCGGCCTGAAATGCGGATGCTTAGCGGCATAGATGAGAGGGTTGATGCAGCCGTTAAAGAAAAGGATCAATGCGCCGTATAGGTAATACCGGCTGCTCTTCGTGATTATCATGAGGGCAAACGGAGAGAAACAAACCAAGAAGGCTAAGACTACCACGAAGAGATTCTTGGTGATTGCCAGCTGATCGTTCCTCATGCGGCTCAGATGATCTGAACTCCCGCTTATATGTCTTGGAGACGACTCGACGAGATTCTTATGGGAGATACTGAGGGCGTTATTAGAAAGGTCTGGCTTTGAAGTAGACCCGGATTCCGAGGGTTTGGTTGTTGACTGCAGATTGATGGTGTTATTACGAAGATTCCTGAAGTGTCGCTTGACGTGTCGCCAGATCAGGATGTAAGAGACGATGACAACGAGGAGTGGGACAGGAAAAATGCACGCAAACTGAACCTTGTCGTAGGAAGCTGCCCTTGGGTGGGGGTCCACGTCATTGCAGGTGCGACTTTCTGGATCGAAACCGAGATCTCCGACTCCGCAAAGCGGCGGCACCACGATGGCACAGAAGGGAATGAGCCAGGACACCAAGACCATCAGGGCAATCTTCTTGGGTGTGTACAGCCACTGGTAGGTCTCCTTAGGCCTGGTGATCAGGATGCATCGGTTCAGAGCGATGTTTCCAAGGGTGCTCACGCTGCATCCTACAGCAATTAACAGAAGGCCGCCCGCTGCAACGCACGGACCATCGGACTCCAACGGGTAGCCCGGTGTGGTACTCGCCATACCCGGCACGCTCCAGAGAAAACCAAAACTAGACAAGGTATCAGCCACGCTCAGGTTGACCACGAACACGTTGGTGACGTTTTGGAGTTTCTTGGTACGGACCACGGCAACCAACACCAGGCTGTTACCGCCGATTGCCAGGACTATCAAGATAGAGAACCCAACGGAAAAGAAGATCAACTCGGGGTACGTGTACAATGTCCCGTTGAGATAACTAACCGATGTGTTAGTTGGAAGCTCCATGTTGGGTCGCTTGCTCTTGTGATAACCTGTTGTATTATGGCAGTGCTGCGCAGTTTCTGCAGCCTATTTATAAGCTTTCGCTCTTTTACAAACAATTTGAGGGTCGTTTAAAGACTAAGAAATGACGATGTATCACTTTCATCTTCAAGTTATATCTTGACCAAAGATCCATCTGTGTGAATTTCTTACCGTAAAGCTGAATAAACATTAATCAATTTATTTACATTTTTGACATACTGCAAGGGCAATTTCATGTGAAAGTTTATATTCAGAAAACTTTAAGTGTACACTTCTACAAGTTTCAGTTTCAAAATGGAAAAGCTGTGGGAATTCTTTCTAAAGAATTGAAAGTGAAATCAGCCGACTGATCAGTATACATGCAACTTCGTGCTTCCTGGAACGTGATCAAAGTGGAATATAAACGAAATGTTTGCAATAAGAATGTTTCTATAAAAGACTTTACAACAGCAACATGTTCAAGGTCCAGTGCCACTCCAGCCGATGTTATGAATTCATCTGGGCCCAATTTCATAGCGCTGCTTAACAGCCGACTTTGTGCTTACCGAGCCCCCATCTATTTCATAGGGACCGTTAAGCAGTAAGCACAGCAAAAGCACGCTTAACCCCAGAAGAAAACTTTGCTTAAATCAGTGACGTAACAATAAAAATCTCCATTCGCGCGCAACCGTAAGCATGAAATAGTGCTTAAGCAGCAGCATGATTTTCTGCTATAGTAAGCACAACTTTTCTGCTTACTGTTAAGCAGCCCTATGAAATTGGGCCCTGCTGCCAGGACAATTTTGCTTTCCAACGAAATCGACTCTAGCCAGCCCTGCGCAGTAATTGTGTTGGACTTTTTTTTAAATGCATGTGACACATAAATCACAGTAAGTTGTGATTGGTCGGAACAACATGGGCGGGGTTTAATAGATCGGCCTTATCCGGTTCGTTAGTAAAAACGTCGTATAAACGCGCGCGCGTGCACCACTGATTATTATACAACACCTGAATAAATCCCCGTCATCTGATTGGTGAATTGTAGATCACGTGACATATTATTATTCGGTATAATGCACGGTGCGACCATGCGTTATACCCATGCATTATACCGTTTCACTTTGCGCTTGTTCCATGACGCGGTATTTGCGTGCAAAATGGATGCTGGTGTGCGCGTTCAGCGTAGCGCGTATTGTTCCAAAGAGCCAGCGCTACAGCGTTGGGTTCAAACATTTTCGTGAAGGGGTAGTTCAACATCTTTAAAATCAAAATAAATTGTAGTTTATAATTTACCAATCAAATGACGAGAATTTATTCAGGTGTTGTATAAAACAAATAACGAATGTTTTACGTTCGTGCGATGGAAAAAATAATTTCATTCGGTGACAGATTGAATGTTCTATTCCACTCGGCTTCGCCTCGTGGAATAGAACATTCAACCTGTCACCTCATGAAATTATTCTTACCATCGCACTCACAAACATTCGTTATTTGTATACTAGCGCCCATTGGATATACACTAAAGTTGCGTTAACTTCAGGTTCCAATGGTTTACTACTTAATAGCCAGTGGGCGTGGTTTAAACTGAATTGACGTCACACTAACGAACCGGATACTAAACATTGTTTGTTATGAACAGGTAACAAGAAAGATCGGCAGAGTGTATCAAGTCTTTTTTGTTAACGTTGCCTTTGTTATGTTACATTTAAAGCCCCTTGAACCTACTTTTACTTACAGAAATTAACAGCACATTAGTTTCAATGACCTTTATCGTATGCAAAAAAGTCGAGGAAATTCAAAGACGTGCGTTGACGGAATCTCAATTGAGAGTTTATACATGTAGTTAGACATTATAACCAATAAAATTCATGCATGACTACGATGTTATCGCATTACTGACATTTCTTTCTGTGCACAACAGTTGCCTAAATTGTTAACAAAGATGTTTAAATGTACAAATTAGAGGGAATTAAATACACTGTACACACATGTATTTCCTGTGTCGGTTAAAAATAAAAAGTTCAGATTGATATGCACAGAAACACTAAACTAATTAGCTCTGTGTTGGTGATTTAAACAGTGCTAAGTCTTTAATCAATGTTTAAACCTTTGACTATAATTTGTATTTTTATGTATTTGTGAAACTTGTATTTTGGTTTGCGTATGCTTAATTAACGTCTTTAAGTACGGGCTCCAAAGCAATGTGCCACATTGAATCTGGATAAAACGTTCCAAGTACAAAATAATAAAAAATTACATCATTGGGCGAATATATAAGCCAATATTCAGTGTTGTAGTCGAGTCACCAACGTCGAGTGCGAGTCCGAGTCCCGAGTCACAAACCTCGAGTCTCGAGTCACAAGCCTCGAGTCCGAGTCCGAGTCTCGAAAAATGTGACTCGAGTCCGAGTCCTGGACTCGAGTCCTATCACTGCCAATATTACAAGCACTATGAAACAAATGATCTATGATTGATCACACAGAGTTTATTAACAACATCATCACGATAGATAATTATGAAGTTATTTTATCCCACTCACTCTCTGGAATATCTGCATCTGATCATGGATCGCAAGACTGGCCTGAAATGCGGATGCTTGGCGGCATAAATGACGGGATTGACGCAGCCGCTCGCGAATAGGAACAACCCGCCGTACAGGTGATAACGATGATTGCTGTTTGTAACCACCATGAAGCAAAGGGGAGAAAAACAAACCAAGAAGGCTAAGACTACCACGAAGAGATTCTTGGTGATTGCCAGCTGATCGTTCCTCATGCGGCTAAGATGACGTGAACTCCCGCAATGTCTTGGAGACTCCTCGCGAGGTTTCTGGGAGCTACTGACGGTGGTATCAGAGGCGTCTGGCTTTGAAGTCAAGGGGTTGGTTATTGACTGCAAACTGATTGAGTTATTACGGCGAGTCCTAAAGTGTCGTTTCACGTGTCGCCAGATCAGGATGTAGGACACGATGATCACAAGGAGTGGGACAGGATAAATGAACGCAAACTGAACCTTGTCGTAGGCAGCTGCTCTCGGGTGGGTGTCCACGTCATTGCAGGTGCGACTTTCTGGATCGAAACCGAGATCTCCGACTCCGCAAAGCGGCGGCACCACGGTGGCACAGAAGGGAACGAACCAGGACACCAAGACCCTTAGGGCATTCTTCTTGGGTGTGTACAGCCACTGGTAGGTCTCCTTAGGCCTGGTGATCAGGATGCATCTGTTCAGGGCGATGTTTGCAAGGGTGTTCACACTGCATCCTACAGCAATTAACAGAAGACCGCCCGCTGCAACGCACGGAACATCGGACTCCAACGGGTAGCCCGGTGTGGTACTCGCCATGCCCAGCACACTCCAGGGAAAAACAAAACTGGACAGACAATCAGTCACGCTCAGGTTGACCACGAACACGTTGGTGACGTTCTGGAGTTTCTTGGTACGGGCCACGGCAACCAACACCAGACTGTTACCAATGATTGACAGGACTATCAAGATAGAGAACCCAACGGAAAAGAAGATCAGCTCGGGGTACGTGTACAATGTCCCGTTGAGATAACTAACCGATGTATTAATCGGCAGCTCCATTTTTTCGCCGCCTACTCTTGTAAAGACCTGCTTTATTATGGTAGTGCTGCGCACTTTCTGCAGCCTATGAGGTTTAACTTTTACTAACAAAGGGTCACTACAAAATCACTTTCATTGTTATGACCAAAGATCCCTCCGCATGCATCTGTCTATGTTTTTTTATTTTTGCCATAAACATAAATCAAGTTATTTGTCACTTTTGATAAACTGCAGGAGCAATTTTCTTGCGAAAGTTTATCCTTTGAAAAGTACAGATTGATGTCACTTTTCCCTACAACTTTCGGTTTGAAATGGAAAAGCTGTGGGAACATATAAAAGAATAGAAAGTGAATCAGCGGACTGATCAATATCTGTAGCAACAGAATGTTGCCATCAAAATTAAACGATTGGTAAACAGCCCTGCCTCATTAATCTATATTTCAGCAGCACGATAGTGGTCCATTAAAATGTAGTTGTTGCCACTCCGGCCGATGTCACAATTTCCTTTCCAACGCGAATTCGACTCTCGCCAGCCCTGCGCTGTATAAACGCACATGTTGGACTTTTTGAACCCATGTCTTCTTATGCTCGCTCGCCCCTTGACGGTTACCAGTGAGGCCAATTCGGGCTTCCAAATTTGTGTATTGTACTCGGTCTCGGACTTAGGTACTCGGACAGTGTACCGTTGGACTCGGCCCGAGACTCGGCCCCTACTACTCGGAGTACTCTGTACTCGCATTGGAGGACTCCACTACAGCACTGCTTTATACTTAAATAATGTCTGCTGTTATGGATAGTTAACAAGTAATATTGCAGAGTGTATAAAGTATTGTTAACGTTGCCTTTGTTATGTTAAATTTAGTATAGCCCCTTCAACCTACATGTACTTTCACTTTTAAGATTAACAGCACTGATTAGTTTCAATGACGTTCATCTTATGAAGAAAAAAGTCAAGAAAATTGAACTGCAGAGGCATATAATCAATTGAGAGCTAATAGACATGGACAAACTACGATTTCATCACGTGACTTTTCTTTAAGTACACAACAATCGCTTACATTTTGTCTGCAAAGATGTGTATATACAAGTACAAAAAAAGGAATTAATTTTATACACTAGCACACATGTATTTCCTGAGTGCCAAAATTACTAACAAGTGCAGATTTATATGCACACAAAAATAATCTAATAAACAAATTAACTCTGTGCTGGTGAGTTAAAACAGTGCTGAGTCTTTAATAAATGTATACAAGCATATTCATTTAACAGTATAACCCGTATTTTAATGTATTTGTGAAATGTTATTTTGGATTGTACATGCTTTATTAAAGTATAAATGATTACTAGTTTACATTATGCTTTAATATTATATACATCAGAGTCATTTGTTTAGGATGTAATCGGTGGCAAATTGTGGATGATGTTTTCCAAAATTAAATTTGGGAAGTTCTTACTGGTGAATAAAGGTGACGAATAGGTTTTCGTTTTTGTTAATGTTTAAATTGATCTGAACTGACAATGTCAAAACTCTTGCGTCGTATCCGGGTACAGTTGAGATTTGTCAGGGTTTTCTTCCTGATTTCAGGATTTTTTTTTTTAAGATTTTTTCCCATTTCAGTATTTCAAAGAATCTACATGTATTTTGAAATTTTGAATTCATGAGGTTTTACCGCGAATGTGTTTTTACCTGTAAAAGTTTACTTATGGGTATTTTAGGGGTGCCTTTGGGAAAATACAAACATATATATCACAGACCCTACGTTGCTTTGGGTAACTCGGCGACCCTCAGACCGGTGCCGATTATCTCGTGGATTTTCCTTTTCCCCTATCTCATCCCTATTGTATATACCTCGACCCCTCCCGGAATCATATTTTTACTATACAAACTGATTTCTTTCACTGAATGTAACAAAAATAAAGTACAAAATAATACAATTTACATCATAGGGCAAATAAGCCACAATTACAAGCACTATGAATATGGTCTATGACTGGCACCGAAGTGTTTGTTAACAACTCAAAGGAGGATCCATGGGGGGCCAACGAGGGCCACCCCCCCCCCCAAAAAAACGAACCCATTTTTGTTTTCAAGTGACGTCGCAACAAAGGCAGGCACTGCGTACACCAACATCTTTTCCTCAAACAAATTTGATTAAAATGGTCAGAAATTGCTTCAGATCGCACCACAGAGCATCTAGAATCAAAAAAATTCAGGGCCCTTAAGCGGACCCCGAATGCCGTATTTTGTGGACCGACCTTTTGAGGGACCAAAACATGTTTAAGCCCCCCCCCCCTCAAAAATTGAGTTCTGGACCCTCCCTTGTAACAACTCCGTCATGATAGATATGAAATGGCTGCTTATCCTCCTGCCTCTGTGGAGCATCTGCATCGGACCATGGATCGCAACACCGGCCTGAAATGCGGATGCTTAGCGGCATAAATGAAGGGATTGACGCAGCCGCTCGCGAATAGGAACAACGCGCCGTACAGGTGATAACGATGACTGCTCTTTGTGACTATCATGAAGCAAAGTGGAGAGTAACAAACCAAGAAGGCCACGACTACCACGAAGAGATTCTTGGTGATTGCCAGATGATCGTTCCTCATGCGGCTCAGATGATGTGAACTCCCGCAATGTCTTGGAGACGTCTCGCGAGGTTTCTGGGAGCTGCTAACGTTGGTATCCGTAGCGTCTGGCTTTGGAGTAGACCCGGATTCCAAGGGTTGCATTGTTGACTGCAAATTGATGGTGGTATTACGGCGGTTTGCGAAGTGCTGTTTGACATGTCGCCAGATCAGGATGTAAGAGACGATGATCACAAGGAGTGGCGCAGGATACAGGACCGCAAACTGAACCTTGTCGAAGGCAGCTGCTCCCGGATGGGTGTACACGTCACTGCAGGTGCGGCTTTCTGGATCGAAACCGAGATCTCCGACTCCGCAAAGCGGCGGCACCACGATGGCACAGAAGGGAACGAACCAGGACACCAAGACCATCAGGGCAATCTTCTTGGGTGTGTACAGCCACTGGTAGGTCTCCTTAGGCCTGGTGATCAGGATGCACCGGTTAAGGGCGATGTTTACAAGGGTGTACACGCTGCATCCTACAGATATATACACAAGACCGGCCGCCGCAACGCACAGACCATCGGACTTCAACGGGTAGCCCGGTGTGGTGCTTGCCATACCGGGCACGCTCCAGAGAAAACCAAAACTGGACAGGCAATCAGTCACGCTCAGGTTGACCACGAACACGTTGGTGACGTTCTGGAGTTTCTTGGTACGGGCCACGGCAACCAACACCAGGCTGTTACCAATGATTGCCAGGACTATCAAGATAGAGAACCCAACGGAAAAGAAGATAAACTCGGGATACGTGTACGTGGTCCCGTTGAGATAACTAACCGTTGTATTAATTGGAAACTCCATGTTAGACCGCTTACTCTTGTGATGTCCTGATGTATTTTGGCAGGCCGCCCAATTTCTGCAGCCTATTTATAAGGTTTAATCTTTTACTAATGAAGAGTCATGACAAGACAAAGAAACGACGATATGATATCACTTTCATTGTTATGCGACCAAAGATCCCTCCGTCAAGCTATATGTCACTTTTGATGTACTGCAGGAGCAATTTTCTTGCGAATGTTTATCTTCAGAAAAACTTCAGTACAGATTGATGTCACTCAAGTTCCCCTCAACTTTCGGTTTAAGATGTAAAAGCTGTGGGAATATATACAAGAATAGAAAGTGAATCAACGGACTGATCAATATCTGTAGCGGCAGAATGTTGCCATTAATGTTAACGATTGGTAAACAGCCCTGCCTCATTAATCTAATTTAAGCAGCACGATAGAGGTCCATAAAAATGTAACTATTGCCACCCCGGCCGATGTCACAGTTACCTTTCCGAACGCGAACTCGACTCTAGCCAGCCCTGCACCGTATAAACGCGCCATGTGAGACATTAATCACGGTTGTGATTGGTCAGAACAGCATGGGCGGGGCTTGATGGATCACCTTTATACCAGTGTTGGAGTACTTGTACTCGTACTCGAGTACAACTACGGTACCCGCAAGTGATCGGCCCGTACTCGACTATCGGTACATACTCGAACATTATTTGGACTTGGCCCGTACTCGATTCTGTGTACTCTTTGTACTTTGAACGGACACGATGGTTCGGTACTCGGTGCTCGACTCCAGTACTCGACAACATAAATCGAGTACATTTTTTTTAATCGATTCCATAGCTCAACCTGGAACGCAACGCTAGCGCGGTGGCGCGGTTGCAGTGTGTTATGGTAATACCGCCATATCCCGTGCGCTGGGTACAAGGGATGTTTTTGCTAGTTTTCGCCTCCCCAAAGGCCCAATGCAACTGACATTTGAAGTCGTAGCACTAAGGATTAGTGAATCGGGAGCCAGCCAAACCCATGCTTCCTATGCTCGCTCGCCGCATGACAGTTACCAGTGAGGCCGTTTCGGTATTTTAAAACTGTTTTGTATTGCACTCGGACTTGGACTTAGGTACTCCAGGGGCGGATCCAGGAATTTTCGCAGGGGGGGGGGGGAGGGGAGGGGGGTTCGTCAGCAAAAAAACTGAAAATGTACACAGGTTTTTTTCGCCGGACACTTGGCCTCCGTACAATCAAAAACGGGGGGGGGGGGGGTACCATATTTCAATAGGGGGCGCTGTTCAAATTCGACGATTATTAACACTAGATTACAGAATGATGTACCATATTTTGAACACGCGGACATTATACCAGTATAATTTTTTGGGGGGTGTCGGGGGGGGGGGGGGGGTTCGACTTATTTTTTTTGAATTTGTATGATAATTTTTTTTGGGGGGGGGGACAGAGCTGGGGGTTGACCCCCAAAAACCCCCTCTGGATCCGCGCCTATACTCGGACTCGGCCCAGTACTCGGCCTTGAATGTACTCGTACTCGGTGATTTGGACTCAGACTCGTCACCAGTGTCCTTGGACTCGGCCCCTAAAGTACTTGGTGTACTCTGTACTCGGATTTGAGGACTCCACTCCAGCACTGCTTAATACCAAACAATGTTTGCTGTTATGAATAGGTAACAAGGAAGATTGGCAGAGTGTATCAAGTCTTTATTGTAAACGTTACCTTTGTTATGTTAATTGAGTATAGCCCCTTAAACCTACTTTCACTTTAAAAAAATAACAGCTCATTTAGTTTCAATGACGTTCATCTTATGAAGAAACAAAGTCGAGGAAATGAACTGCAGAGGCAGGTGTTAAATTTCAATTGAAAGCTAATAGTTAGACACTTGATAGGCCGAATAAAAAAAAACATGTTTCTCGTCAGGGTTATTGATAAAAAAAAAAAAAAGGAGGAAGAGGGGCTTTTTATCTTTTACTTTTTATTTTTTTCAAGATGGCCGCCATTTAAAAAAATTCCTGCAACCGTTGGTGTTTCCACTGTTCAAAGACACTTTTAAAATGAAAGACAAGTTGGACAATAGAACTGAACATATTTACAGTGTCATTTAGAGTTGTATTGATATTGGTATTTATTTTCTGATGAATTTGTGAACTTTTCGGTGTTTTTTTACTGCATTTTAAAAAAAAAAAAAAAAAATTAAAAAATCCAGGCGGCCTCCAAAAAGAAAGCGGGCGGGGACGAGAAACAAGTTGTTGTTTTTTAGATCGCCACACCAATATAATTCTTGACTACGATTTCATTACATTACTTTTCTTTAAGTACACAACTATCGCTTACATTTGTTTGCAAAGATGCGTATATACAAGTACAAAAAAGGAATTAATTTTATACACTGTACGCACATGTATTTCTTATGTGTCAAAATTACTAACACGTTCAGCATTGTATGCACACAAAAATAATTTAATAAACATAAAGCTCTGTGCTGGTTAGTTAAAACAGTGCTGAATCTTTAATAAATGTATACATTCATTTTAACTGTATAACTCGTATTTTAATGTATTAGTGAAATGTTATTTTGGATTGAACATGCTTAATTTAAGTATAAACGATGACTGGTTTACATTATGTTTTAATATTATATACATCAGAGTCATTTGTTTAGGATATCTGTGGCACATTGTGTTTCCAAAATTAAATTTGGGGAGTTCTTATTGGCGAATAAAGACGACGAACAGGTCTTCTTTTTTGTTAATGTTTAAATTGATCTGAACTGACAATGTCAAAGCTCTTGCGTCGTATCCGATACGGTCGAGATTTGTCAGGATTTTCTTCCTGATTTCAGGATTGTTTTATTAGGATTTTTTTCCCAATTCAGTATTTTTAAAGAATCTATTTTGAAATCTTGAATTCATGAGGTTTTACCGCAAATGTGTCTTTACCTGTAAAAGTTTACATATGGGTATTTGAGGGTTGCCTTTGGGAAAATACCAACATAATCACAGACCCTACGTTGCTTTGGGTAACTCGGCGACCCTCAAACCGGTGCCGATTATCTCGTGGATTTTTTTCATTTCCCCTATCTCACCCCTATTGTATATACCTCGACCCCTCTCGGCATAATTTTTGTTTTTTGCTATACAAACTGAAAGCTTTCACTGAATGTAATAAAGTACAAAATGATACAACTTACATCATGGGGCAATAAGCCACAATTACAAGCACTATGAAAAGGGTTTATGGTTGGTGCACAGAGTTTATTAACAACATCGTCGTGATAGACGTGAAGTGGCCGCTTATCCCCGGCCTCCTCACTCTCTGGAACATCTGCATCGGACCATGGATCGCAAGACAGGTCTGAAATGAGGATGCTTGGCGGCATAGATGATAGGGTTGATGCAGCCGCTAGCGAAAAGGAACAATGCGCCGTACAGGTGATAACGGTTGCTCTTTGTGACGACCATGGTGAAGATGGGAGTGAAGCAAACGACGAAGGCAAAGACGACCACGAAGAGGTTCTTGGTGATTGCAAACTGCTCGTTCCTCATGCGGCTCAGATGGTGTGAGCTCCCGCTATGTCTTGGAGACGCCTCACCGGGTTTCTGGGAGCTACTGACGTTGGTATGAGAAGCATCTGGCTTTGGAGTAGAATCGGATTTCAAGGGTTTCAGTGACTGCAAATTACTGGTGTTATTACGGCGATTCCTGAAGTGTCGTTTGACGTGTCGCCAGATCAGGATGTAGGACACGATGATCACGAGGAGTGGGGCAGGATACAGGACCGCAAACTGAACCTTGTCGTAGACAGCTGCTCTTGGGTGGGTGTCCACGTCACTGCAGGTGCGGCTTTCTGGGTCGAAACCGAGATCTCCGACTCCGGAAAGCGGCGGCACCACGATGCCACAGAAGGGAATGAGCCAGGACACCAAGACCATCAGGGCAATCTTCTTGGGTGTGTACAGCCACTGGTAGGTCTCCTTAGACCTGGTGATCAGGATGCATCGGTTCAGGGCGATGTTTGCAAGGGTGTACACACTGCATCCTTCAGCTGTAAACACAAGACCGGCCGCCGCAACGCACGGAACATCGGACTCCAACAGGTAGCCCGGTGTGGTACTCGCCATACCCGGCACGCTCCAGAGAAAACCAAAACTAGACAGACAATCAGTCAAGCTCAGGTTGACCACGAACACGTTGGTGACGTTCTGGAGTTTCTTGGTACGGGCCACGGCAACCAGCACCAGGCTGTTACCTATGATTGCCAGGACTATCAAGATAGAGAAGCCAACGGAAAAGAAGATCAACTCGGGATGTGTGTACAAGGTACCGTTGAGATAACTAACCGATGTGTTAGTTGGAAGCTCCATGTTGGGTCGCCTGCTCTCGTGGTAACCTGTTGTATTATGGCAGTGCTGCGCAGTTTCCGCAGCCTATTTATACGATTTTCGGCTCTTTTACTAACAAAGGGTCGTTAACTGAAGACCAAGAAATGACGATATATCAGTTTCATCTTCAACTTATATCTTGGCCAAAGATACTGAGAGCAATTTCCATGTGAAAATTAATCTCCAGGTAGAGACTCACCTCATTTTTCCCTACAAGTTTCAATTTGAACTGGACAAAAGGTCGTGGGGATTTTTATAAGAAGTTGAAAGTGAAATAATCCGGCCGGCTAATGAATTACCTCAAGCAACTTCTTATTTCCTGGAGCGTGATCAAAAATGGAATCGAAACGGATGTTTGCAGGATGGATATTGCTATAAAAGATTGGAGAACAGGCTCTTCTCGAATTAAAGCAGCACGATGGAGGCCTATAAGAATGTCGATGTCACCGTTGCCACTTCGACCGATGTTGTCAATTCATCAGCTGCCAGGACAACGTCATTTCCAACGAACTCGTCTCTTCCTTCGACAGCTGAGTCTATATACACCTACCCAGAGCTGGTCTTCTGTGCCGTGGGTTTCTTCATCCTGGTCGCTGGGACACTCATTGGTAACAGCCTGGTGTTGGTTGCCGTGGCCCGTACCAAGAAACTCCAGAACGTTACCAACGTGTTCGTGGTCAACCTGAGCGTGTCTGATTGTCTCTCTGGGTTCGCTTTCCTGTGGAGCGTACCGGGTATGGTGAGTACCACACCAGGCTACCCGCTGCATACTGATGTTCCCTGTATCATATCGGCTGTTTTCGTTTTAATGGCGGTATCTTGTAGCCTAAACACCCTTGCAAACATCGCCCTGAACAGGTGCATCCTAATCACCAGGTCTGTGGAGACCTACCAGTGGCTATACACACCCAAGAAGATTGCCTTGATGGTCTTGGGCTCCTGGCTCGTCCCTTTGTGTGCCGCCATCATACCTCCATTATCTGGTATCGGCGATCTCGGTTTCGATCCTGAAAGTCGAACTTGTTCTGACATTGACACCCACCCTAAAGGTGCTACCTACGATAAGATTCAGTTTGCATTCTTCTATCCGCTTCCTTTTGCTGTGATCTTCGTCTCCTACGTCCTGATCTGGCGATATGTCAAAAAACATTTCAGGAAGCGCCGGCAACAAATGAGCGAGCGTTTGCAGTCTTCCACAGTCGTGCAGACCGCTCCTTCGTCCATCTCCATGCTTGAGATAGACGACAGCACCTCGAGGCGCACCCGCAACCAGCAGGCATCGCTTCGACGCACCGGGAGTTCCCGTCAGCTGACTAGCAGCAAGCACGACCAACTGGCAATCACCAAGAACCTCTTCGTGGTCGTCTTGGCCTTCGTCGTTTGCTTCACCCCTCTCGCCATCATGGTGGTTACCAAGAGCCAACGTTACCAGCTGTACAGCGCCCTCATCCTTTTCCTGAGTGGCTGCATCAATCCTCTCATCTACGCCGCCAAGCATCCACACTTTTCTCCAGTCTTAAGAGCCATGGTGCGATGCAGATCCTCACCAGAATAGCGACAGAGGTACTACTCCAAATATCGCAAAGTTCCAACGAGACTCTGATAACTAAAATAACCGGGATTAAATTTCCTCCACATTTCTTTTTTTATTCCTCATCACGAACATTTCGTCACCAACACCACGAACTGACACCCTCTGCATCACATGTGTACAAATTTTTTTAAAAATTCAAATTTTTCCCCCCGATATTAGAAGTTTGTATCATGAAATTTAACATGACGAAGTTAAAATTGCTGAAATCATCTAAAATAAGCAAATTTTACTAATGAATTTTCAAGAAATTGGTCAAGTCTGGTGGTTTTTTTTTTTACCACGAAGTGACACTGCATCGGGTGTCAGTTCGTGAAAACAAAAATTTACGTGTTTTTGGAGAGTGCGCGCATGCATGCGCAGTGTGAGCGCGCACTCTCCAAAAACGCGTCAATTTTTGTTTTCACGAACTGACACCCTTCTTGATCATTTAATTGCTATTAACTAAGCATATTTTCACAATATAACGTTTAAATTGAGTAGTTTATAATATAACGTTTATAATTGATATGATTGGTTATAATTGGCTTGTGATTTGAATTAGGACGGACTATAGTCTACATATCTGCTTTATCATGTCGTTTATAACCAAATTAGTCATGGCAATTTGCTTGTACTGAAGTATGTTTGAAAACTAAAAGTGAGAACACTAGTTCACTGCACTTATTTCCTCATATACATTGTACATCGATACTTAAACAAAGCAGCCATCCTCTGAACACGTTATATTAGTTTTGTCCAAACACGTTCGCTGTTTCGATTCCATAGGCTTCCTAGAATTATTATTGCCCATAAATGTAATCTTGCTTTTGAATATAAGAAACTAAATACATACGCATTGTGAATTAAGCTAGTGAGATTTCAGTTTCGTTCTAGGGGTGGTGTTATAGGATCATGTTCAAGACAGTTTTCATTAACATTCGGAATAGTCCCATTTTAAAGGGAATGTACATCATCGGCTTTTGGTGTAATTTTCAGAAATGAACTACTTGAGGGGTTAGTATAATAGATCGAATATTGTTACACTGACATGTTTGAAGTTTTGTGTTCGAAAATGCTGGAAAAACCAAGAAAAACGAAAATGTTCAAGTAGTCTGGTTCCCTGACTCCACTAAGGATAAAATGGATCAATTTATGTATGCCGAAAAATTGTAAGGTAAGGGAACCAGTGTAGCTGGCCTGCACCCGTTCATGAACATGTTACCAATAGCAAACACAATTTGGACTGAAAAAATGGTAAATTTGAAGCAGAAGTTGAAAAATAGTTAGGTTTTTCCAACGGTGATCGGCCTACCACTGTTGAAAATGTATACAAAAATACCAATTGAAAATGACTTCACACCAGGAGCCATAATTTTACAGGATGCTTTTGACTGTCATTTACCAACATCCAAGTAAGGTATTTCGTAAAAACTTGATAGTTTTATTTTTTGATGTTTGCAAATGTTGTATTTTCCCCGTTAACTGACTTTCGTGAGAGACGTGTATAATATTAAACACACCGAGCCGGATTAACCTGAAATGGCGATCATTTATTTCTCCTTTTGGATTGTTCGAAACAGACCCGTTAAGTTGTTTCGTTTCCTGGTATTATATGAGAAGCATACATCACTGCATGGCGTACGGTCAGTTCAGGCTCAGCAGCATATTTGTACTCAAATCGTTTAATTATTTCAAGTTCAGTTTGAGCTCCAAATGTAAAGACACGATTAATGGCGCTTATCCAAGTTCTTGCATTTTTATTAATCGTTGGTTTAACAGTAAATATCCCTAGCCAAGGTCATCAGTGCCCATTTTCTGAAACTGCCTTACTATACCCATGGAACTGTGTTTTATAGCTCCATGCTATACCGTACACCCACCGGACCACCTAACAGGTGTACACAACACACCTGTTCAGTGATTAAACAGCGCCCCCTCTTTATGCACGGTAGTGTACCGCCCTCACTGACTCATTTCCGGTTGTTTCCCAAGAATTAATGGCACTCAAACGCAGTGTTCAAACGTCTATCAACAGCAAAGCGCAAAATGGACGGCAATTACAATGGCACGGCGGACTTGCTTCCAACACCGAGCACGGAGTCACCGTCGACTTTGCAGCCGATATACACCTACCCTGAGTTAGTCTTCTGTGCAGTGGGGTTCTCTATCCTGATAGTCCTGACACTCAGCGGTAACAGCCTGGTGTTGGTTGCCGTGGCCCGCACCAAGAAACTCCAGAACGTTACCAACGTGTTTGTGGTCAACCTGTGCGTGTCTGATTGTCTCTCCGGGTTCGCTTTTCTGTGGAGCGTACCTGGTATGGTGAGCACCACAGCAGGCTACCCGTTACGGTCTGAAGTCCTGTGTGCAATGTGGGCTGCTCTTGTGTACCTGGGAGTTGGAAGTGGACTTTATAGTCTTGGGAACATCGCCCTAAACAGGTGTATTCTAGTTACCAGGCCTATGGAGACCTACCAGTGGCTGTACACACCCAAGAAGACTGCTTTGATGATCCTGGGCTCCTGGCTAGTCCCTCTGTCTGCCACCATCATACCTCCATTATCCGCAGTCGGCGGTCTTGGTTTCGATACAGATAGTCGAACCTGTACTGACATCGACGCTCGCCCTAGGGCTGCCATGTTCGACCGAATCCTCTTCTTTGTGTTCTACCCACTTCCGTTGGTAATGATCGTTGTGTCATACGTCCTGATCTGGCAACACATCCGACGACACTTCAAGACTTACCGAAAGAGCGTTCGACAGAGGATGCAGGCTTCGACAGCTATGCCATCTACCACGACATTGGACATGGACTTGGAGGACAGTTGTCCCGGTACCCCACCCGTGACACCCCGTTTGCGACACGCTGTAAGCTCCCGTCAGTTGACTCGCACCAAGAACGACCAACTTGAAATCACCAAGAACCTCTTCGTGGTCGTCTTGGCCTTCGTGGTTTGCTTCACTCCTCTGGGAGTCATGGTAGTCATCGACAGCAACCGCTATCAACTCTTCGCGGGGATGGTACTATTCGTCAGTGGATGCATCAACCCTATCATCTACGCCACCAAACATCCTCACTTCAGACCGGTGTTACGTTCCATGCTACGGAGACGGTGTCAGACAGAATGACAGAACTTTATCTCAAATGACAGTCAGGTTGGTGTAGTGACCACCTCTGTGACTGACTTCAAATCCCTTCCAGTCTATCCCTGCTGATTCCGTGGGTTATCCTTTTCAGGGACTTGCCTCCCACTTTCTGTGGCCTTTGTGGTTTCGTCATGACTCCGGGTGATAGTGATGTAAATGTTGGGAAATCTTTCGAAGAAAATGACAGACATTTAATAAAACAAACTATTTAAAAATCGATCTTACCTCGGATGATTGAATATTATTGTTCTCGAATATTCAATGACAACATCGTCTAGAATCAGATCCTCATCTCTTTACCACAAATTCCAATATCATTGTAGGGTGTGAGCATAAATTTTGTACGACAAAATAATTCTGAAAGATATTAATTACAAAGTTGTATCATTTGTTTTGTACACTCCGACTTTGACTTGAAATATAATTGCAGTGTTTTAGTCTTGTATACTTATTAATCCGTTTGAAATTGGAGACGGGCGTGATTATTTTATTGTATTGTAACCAGGAAATTTACAACTGAATCGTTTATGACCATCAACCAAAACCTATTTTTCTCACGCAAAAAAGTCCTTGAATGTAAAAAAGGAGGATTATGCAATCCATTAACCCTGGTAACCAAGCCAGGGTAAGGTCTGGTTCCCCAGTCACCGTACTGTTTGTGTATTAAATTGCATGTGGTTTTAGTGTCCATTTTCAAACACACCCGTGCCTGGCACTCTCTTCCCAAACCAAACTGTTTGTTTTTCTCATGTAGGTCTTAAGGAACCCGACCTTCATGACCTTGAGCACTTTTGAGGTGCCCTTGTTTTTTTTTAATATATGGAAATATTGAAATCATTTCATCAAATCAGAATTTAATGTATCTGTATGCCATGGTACTGTACTCAGATATGATTTTACGACGCCAGATAGAGCATTGTACTTAATCACACACGTATCCTAAGACTTATACACAAGTATCACACGGATAAAAGACTTACGCAGAGACAATTATAGCCTTAAACTTTGTACGTATGTATATAATGTAAATTTATTTGATGGAATATTTGTAAGAAAAATAAAAGGACAGATAAAGAAACACGATTTACTCATGTACGTTATTTCTGTGTACTTTTGGCACCTACTTTTTAAAATCATAGTTTTCTTCCGCTTCCAGCGTGCAATGTTTGTAACGATTCTATAGGCCAAGTACTTTTGAGTATATAGCAGGAAGTTAAAAAGCGGCAGAACAGTTATGAGACTGGCTTTGCCATCAGTAGCATGGGTAGTTTATTCTCTAAGAGCGGATTTTCAGTGTTTTTGGCTCGGGAACCATTTTCGCTGGTCTCCAACTTGGTACGAAATGCAGAAGCAGTGCGTTTACAAAGGGCCAGGAAAGTTCTCGACGATATGACCTATTAGCCTATTTGGGAAGCCCTTCTGTGAATTTGAATAATAATGAACAGAAGTACAGCAGGGTTGTGGAGCTATTTCATTATTGTCGAATTCATTTCTAATTCAACACATTTTTTTTTTTAGGAAGGCACAAAATCATGCGCGATCGCTGGTCTTTACTCGTTCATTCTTGCTCTATTCTTGCACCAACCATTTTAATGTAACAGTGAAAACGAAACGTGAATACACAGGTCATCTGAAAGGGCGTTTTTCAATTTGCATCATGAAAAGTCTGATGTGTCGTGCAATCTGTGAAGGCAATATACATGTTGCAGTTTTGCAAGCAAGGACTGAAAGTATTTGTTACGCCAACGCTAAACTGGCACATGAAACGCTACATTTTATTGGCTGAGAGCAAAGTCGCTCTTTGTTATGAATGGACAAGGGAGCCATAGAGAGCGGTCCTTATGTACTACAGACGCTGTGAAAGGGAACGTGGGATTTAAAAGGGAACAATAGGGTAAGGCTAAAGGTATGAAAAGGCTCGATTCATGGTCCACTGGTTTTGGTGCCTATTGCAGGTAGACACTGGCAAGGCACGCTGTACCTGTCAAGCGGGGTTGGGTAAAGGTATTATTGAGATTGTCCCCTTGGCTTTGCTTGTTTTCGTGTAGGTGGATTTTATAAAGGAGCCGGACCTACTGCCGTATATCGTTCTACCTAAAAACCTGTCACCGTGGTAGTTGGGTTGGCCGACTGTCTGGTACGCCGTGGCCTGCCGACCTTGGATAGGGAGAAACGTGTGAATTCCCACGGTCGGGAAAGAGGGTAGGAAGTGGCTCAGCGTCATCGGGGAGATTTTACACAATGATCGGAGATCGGGAGTCATTCAGGACTTGCCCCTGACGGATTTTAAAACAGTTCTGCGTATTTCTGTTCCTTGGATTAAGTATTTTAGTAGAGGCTTCTGAGACTTTGTCTCGGCTCTTCGTGGAGCAACACTGAGACGGTCTACGCATCATCATCATCTAAAAGTTTATAGTCAAGCCCTTGGCTGTATTTCTTACTTGGAGGGGTGTTGTATGCGATACTGTGTCCAGTTGGCGTCAATGTCTAACAGGTGCCTTGAGAGGTCAATTAGGTAAGTTGAAATCGATGAAGCTTGCGTGGCAATTCATCCGTGTACATGTAGTATACCGACGCCACTTTGTTGTCCGTGTACAAAGTCGATGGGGAGTTGCAATTTTTGAAGATTTTGTACTAGAGTGAGACACCATAAATACACAGTAACTGAATTCTGAGAAAAAAAACTCTCCAATCTTGTTAACATGGCACAACCCCTTTTCAGGACTATTGTAAGAGAAGTTATGTGTCATGTAGGTAAATATGTAATGGTCCAAGTTACTATACATTATTGTTCACGCATAGTGTACACGAAACTTAGGTCATTTTTTTACTTAAATTCAACTTGGGCTACATGTACATAGCCCTTGAACTGTTTGTATCAATAATTGATCAGGCGTTTGATTACATAGAGTTGGACATGCAGTTCCCTAATTTCCACTGAAGTTTTATACGATTATAAAGTGGCGTCAGGCTATTGCATTTTCCCGTAGATAATAGTAGATGTCCAAACATGAACAGATAACATTATTTATTACATATTTATTATTCTTCATGTCCTGACTTTTTCTTGAATAAATAACTTGCACCCTGACCTCAAGTTTATGTGACAAAATACCCATGAGAATGTAGTGGTAGACGAAGCGCCACGGAAATGGCATGCAGAAGGCTTTTCGAAGAAATAAGGTTCCTTTTTTCGATGGAAAGTTAGCCATCTTTTTTTTTTAGTTGACATCTATGGGTCAAGAAAGGCTGAATGTGGATTTGGTTGGGGGTGGGGTTCTGAAAACAAAAACTAAAGTTCCCCGTTATATTATTTGCGTAAGAAACGGAGACTGTAGGAGTTAAACATTCCTCGGCTCATTGAAAAAGAAAAAGGAAGTCAATCTGTTGGCTTTCGTCGGAGGTACTTAGCGTGTCTTCCTTTATTTGCGGATTATCAATTGAGCCATAAACAAACTTTTGAGTTCGTCGACTTTCTCTTCCCCCCTTCTTCTTACTTTCACAAGTTGCTGTAGGGTATAGCGGGGTGCTTTCTGTTGAATTGGCGATTATGTAACTTGATGCATTGGATGATTTATGTAGCAGTGATTCCTTAGACAGGCGTTGGACGAAAGAGTTTTATGATTGGGAAGCATATATAAGAAGGCACACCTAAACCGGAACGGTTATCTTTGGCAGTAATCCTAAACATGATAAAACGTTTAGGTGTACCATAGTTTATCTTGATATGTGATATTATACAGCTGATATTATCGTAAGATTATCAGTGGTGCACCCCGTGATTAGGAGATGTCAACGAGACGGATTAAGCACAAAAGATCCTACAATGATGTAAACCTAATCTGAATTTTCAGGAGTTATATTCAACTTAAAAGGCCAGTTTGGGTTTCTAAAATAATCGCTACTTAATATGGAGGGTATTTGTTTCGAGGAGAATTTCTAAACTAGACTAAAGATTTTGGTAGCTATTAGCTAAAAAAAAAAATGAAGTGAAATCGAACATTATAGTACCTGCTTTAGTCTGAACTTTAAAACAAACATCATCCACTTATGACATTGGACCCCAGAGGAATTGTATGCATCGAACAGCAGTAGCCATGATAGTTTTACATGCGTAATACAGAAGCTATGTTACCTGTCTTACGCACCGCCGCGGCTGGACGTGCGTAAGACAGGTAGTCCAGCTTCTGGACTTACGCACGGCATGCAGAGAGCTCGAGACGCACTATCAGCTACTGGGCTTACGCAGGAAGACGCACTTTCTAGTTATGAATGAAAGGGAAGAGGCGTTTTTAATTGAAGGTTGATAATGGTGAAATCACATGAAAGATTTCTTGTGACAACTATTTTATATGTCAACGTCTACCAAGCATACTCTTAAAAATGGTTCTTTTCAACGAAAGAAAGCTCATGCAATATATATTTTTTTTAGTTCATAAAACTTTTACAGAATGACGACAGATCTGGGAGGCACTGCTTAGTGAGCTACAAAAGTTAACACTTTAAAAAATAAAGTACTCCGACAAAATTGGGTTTGTTACCCGCTAGGCTTACCTGTGATTGTACATTTTTTTTTAGTGCCTTTCACAGTTCCTGACTAATAAAAGGTTACTGGCCCTGCCTCCTGCAACAAAACAGAAAACTATATACTCTTTATCGTGTAAAACCCTCCCCTTGAAGGCAAAAGGTGAAGCGCACAAAAGCGTTTCTTTTTTGCGAAATAATTGCATATTTTGGTATCAATGGGCCATTCACACAGTGGCGCTTTTCTCCGGTCATCACTTATATGGCATTGGGAACTATTTTGCTTTCTTTTTGGAATGAAGGTGAAAGGCCTTTTAACTTTTGTGAACACATCAGCGAAATGACCTGTCCGTTGACTCTTACTGTAAATCAAAGTGATTTCGATCTTGTGAAGTGGTTAGAGTAAACAAAATATTGCGAAAGCGCTGTTTTACTCCTTTAGCTGTTTAGTGTAGCTTAACAGTGCTAATGGTGGCACACGCAAATTGTACGGGGGGTGTCAAGCATTTCAAAAGTGTCAAAGGTTTTATTGTTCTCACAAAAAGGATTTAGTTGATAATATTCGTGTGGTGATCGGTTCGCTGGTTGTGAACAGTAACTTTGCTCTGAGCAAAATCTGGGTTGGTCGGTAGCAAATGCTTCACATTCCTGGCGAAGTGCGCTACGCAGTCTACGGTACTTTAGCTTGTTACAATCCAAAGCGCTTTTTGTATTTATTTACTGATGTCAAAAGTTTTCCCAAAAATCCTGAGATCATTTCTTTTCAATTTGTTTCGACAATCCTTAGGGAAACGCTGAAAATTTGCAAACACATCTGGCAGGAAAACCAGTGGTGCGTCTTAAAACGATTTCATGTATATGAATGTGTTGAATTCAACTTCATTTTTCATGACAAGTTGAGTAACTTATCAACATAACGAAATGCACTTATCAAAGCGCCGTTTAAAAACAGTTTTGACTTATCTCACAACTGGGATGTTTCTAGAATTTTAACCTTAAAAAAATTGTTCCTTTTGTGATTCAAATTGTGTTCTAAATAGATACAATGAGTAACAGTTACTGCAAATATTTCAAGGCGCATGACTAACAAAACAAATAAAAGGGGCTGAAACATGCTTCATAAAATAGAGAAAATTTCTACGCAAACACAAGTGAACAAAATGAACAATCTACAAATTCTCACAATCGTTCACTGTATACTGATTTTTTTTATCAAAAGAACGCGTTGTCTAAACATTTTTCGATGCCGGCTTTTGTGTTCCGGCCTTGCGCCGAGTGCCGTGACAGCCAATAAATAATATATTTTTCAAAAGACCTGTCCCTGAAAAGAATTCTTCGGGACAAATTTCTATGACAATGAAGTCAATGTTTACGAGGGTATTTTTTTATGACATTCCGTTGGGCGCCTTTCGTTTTCACCGTTGACAACCAAAGGACATATAGAGCCTCTATATCGGCCATTTTGTTTTCGTAAGAAAAAAAAAGTTGTTTCGGTGGAAATTCGGTGTTATCATAAGTGCCTGAATACATTAAATGACTAAGACTTAGTTCACATTTCCGGGACTTGTTGAATTTGTGGGTCGTTGCTACTGGTAATGATTGGTGTTTTTTTTATTTTGTCATCACAGTGAATAAGAAAAGAGAATGGCAATTTTAGCAGCCACAGCTACACTTTTCACAATGTCACTTTATAAAACAACCGACAGACAAGAACAAAACATCCAAGCAACACAATGCTAATATCCGGTCCAAGTTGTCAGTCACTTTCTTTTTGATTTCGCTAGGCTGCATTATGTATCAAACAATAGCTATGATTTCGTAATTGCCCCTCTTTTTATGCCTATTTATTTTCTCCTTTGTTCTCCGTGCAGTTTGATGGTGTAAATCCGCCATCATGTCAGTGAGTCGACTACGCATCCCGTTGACATGGCTGCTAGCAGCCTCACTTCTTGCCATTCTCGGTCACGTGACTGCTCAAACAAATCGTAAGAATACAGTTCACTCATCCGGCAGAATTATTGTTACATTTTTACTCCAAGAAAAACAATTCAGAGCAAAATCTTTCGTTTTTAATTTGGTGGCATTTATGTTGAGTAAGTTTTTCGCTTCAATTTTCAATTCTCGTTCTCTTTCATTGTTTTCGATTTGAAAGTAACCCATGATTTCAAAATCTTCGAAATACAACAGCATTTATTGGTTGAAATTTATTACACAGCCTATCAAATAAAAAAAGTGGTACTATAAGATTTTAAAGTATTTTATAACAAGAATAGAAGACGGTGTATAAAAAATTAGAAAGTTAGCTCAGGTCAACATTTAGATAACTAAAGAAATTGAAGGAGAATTAAAATACTTTCTCTTGTACTTTAAGAGGTAATTTTTTATGAACTGAAATTTGAGACAAGGGGCCAAACAAAATTGCTATATTTATTTCTGGTCTCCCCAAATGTAACAATCAGATCAGATATTAAAAAAAAACGCCACTTAATTCAAATGAAGATTCGTTGATAATCATATTGCCGACGCACTGTAGTTCGTAAGGGAACTATTTGAGAATCGGATGAAGGAAATCGCTTAGTTTCAGATGAGGGAGGCATTACAATGGTATTCTTGAGAAAAAAATAATGAAATCCCGCAGTGACTAAAACTAGTCATCCGGCTACGTAGGATTCGCACCCGGGCCAGAGGTGAAGTCGGGTAAAATCTTTGACAACTCGACCACAACCGGGTTTTTTTTATACCGTATTTCCTTTACTCAGCTTGCCAACAACAACTGTGTGTCAACGGTGGCATCTGTCGCCGGGCCTATCTACAACCCGGCTACATCTGCGAGTGCACGGGCGACTGGCAGGGACAGAACTGCGAGCAGAGGTTCCCCGGAACATCTCCAGCAATGCGTAAGAATCTTTCGTCCATGCTCTTTTAGTCCCCCCCCCCCCCTCCCCCGCCACACCCCACTCCCGTTCCATATTCTTTCAGGATTCTTCAAGGAGACAATACTCGGCACAGGATACTTGTCACTTTTAATAATGAATAAGTCAGGAAAGAATGAACTAGTAACTTGAATAAAAGTACAACTTTGTGATGCAATAAAACTGCAATATTCTCTTTCCCCAGCCAAACAGTGTGGTGTCAACTCCTACGGTGAATCGGGAACCATCACATCGCCCAACTATCCACAGCTGGAGCCGCATAATCAAAACTGCTACTACCTCGTTCGGATCCCCTCGGCCTTGTCCATTTCTTTTCAGTTCAGGGCGTTCAGCTCCGAACCATTCAAGGACGAACTTTACATCATTCCTGGCACGTTGGTGGATACAAACTCGCCTAGTGTTCGGTGAGTGTCGGGCCTATGGACCATTTCTCAAACGATAGCTCCCTTTATCAAGCTACGGCGTCGTCCGAGGATCCAGTACCAATGGCTTAATCATGAAACTCCATGTTGTAAAATAGTGGAAAGCAAAATCGGCCCCTGTAATTTTTTTTTAAATGCCCCGCATTTGCTTTCCCCCTAGGCAGAGACCATTTTTGCAACTTGTCAACTTTCCGAGTGCAAGATTTTTTTTACAAATAATTTTTTTTAGTTACTCTGAACGAGAAAAAAAGTGCTTAAATAAAACGCTTTACTCGATTGGATCCGATTTAATTTTTTTTTTAAATTGAGGAAGAACTGAATAAATTTGGGGCAAATAATTGAGATTTAATTATTTAAAATTGTTTTTTTTTTACTCATCCGTTACTGTGATGATTGCAGGATATACAACGGGACACTACCTGCAGATCTGCCGGTGCAGGTCTTCCAGACCAACCAGCTGGTTCTGTATTGGCTTACAGACCACAACGTGCAGAGTCCAGGTTTCTCCATTGATTATTCCATCGGTAAGACCACCCTCTGTGCGGGGTGCACGACTCTTTTAAAATCGGAGCAGAACCTATTTGATCTAATCCATTAAACATTACCACAAATTTCTCAAGTAAAAGTGGGATTTGTGCTCTGTGGATGTATCGGGCATTCAGACTTCTGGAGGAAATGTTGGGCCATATTCGTCAGGATGCTCCGAATAGCAGAAGTAAAAATGACTGGAAAAACTAGGTTAACCCCCCCCCCCCCCAAAAAAAAATAACCAACGAAAATGCAAAACTACGTTTAGTAACTGAAAGTGGGCGTGGTGCCTTGTTTGTTGTATTTTGTTTTTATTTTGTGACACTTGGTGGCGCTATTGATGTCAACCGTAAGATTAAGAGAAAGTACACGTGCGGCGGTCAGGATTTGATTATGCAGTTAATTTAGTGAAGGAGCAACTCTGGTCTTAATTTCTTCGCAAAGGCACAGTATTTGAGACTGAAATCATGGGAAGTTTACAATGCTGGTCAACCCTTCTGCAGTGAGTTTTGCAGAGAAGGTTCAACAATAATGTTCTTGTTGAACACACGTACCTTTTTTCCCCTCAACATGCTGAGGCTCAATATTATTTTTTAGTTTAAACAGTTCCGTTGGGTCGTTGGTGGGTCGAGTTCAGTAGGAAAGAATCCTGATGGCACTTCATTGGTTGTGTACAAAGAAAGTCTATGGAGGGTTAAGTGTATATTCAAAGTATTTTCTAACAAATTGGGAATGTTTATCAGTCCCAGATTCATGTCTTTTCAACATTTTTTGCAATGACTGACCTTTGCTTTAATCATTGAGGTAATGATGAAAAAAGTATTAGAGCTGGAGTTACTCACGCATGCATCATGCAGGATGCAACATATTTTCCGTTCAGCATGTTCAGTAGCCTATGCCAAGTTGTACGCAACTTATTCCACCTGTTCTAGTTCTAGTGATAGTGATAGCCTTGTACAATTTTACTGGGGGAAATATTAATTATAAACTCACCAAATCACAAGGAAAGTTTCTTCAAAATGGAGTGACCGAGGTTGAACAAACACACTTGCTTGACATACAAAATGACATATGACCTGCTGGTGACTAACCTTTGTTAAAAGTAAAGCAGGGGAAGTGGAAGTGAATTTTGACAGCTGTATAGTTAGCAGGAGGGTTCAAGGCCTACATAAGGCTTATCTAAAAAAACAAATTGAAATTTTCGTTTTTTGTATTTTAAAATAATTTTAATATTAAAGGAGCCTGCATTTTATTTTTAACAAATAAATTATTACGTAATTTATACTTTTCACTTGAAGATAGCAAGTAAGACTTTTCGCTTTTATTTTCTAGATCCGGACCCATGTTGGGTGAATCCATGTCAGAATGGGGGAGCATGTACGACCATTGGGAGGGACTACTCCTGCACTTGTTTGCCAGACTTCACTGGAAACGATTGTCAAACAGGTACTAAATATACTCTTAAAGTAAACTGCTTTATTGATTCTGCATTAGGCCTAAGTGTTTTGAAAATAGGAATGTGCTTCGAAAGATGAGGAAAACCAGGGATTTCCCTCAAATCTCTTTAAAGCCGTTTGTATTTTTTTCATTATTTTTTTCTAGGAAACGACATTCTTGTGGTAAAACGTTCTATGATAAAACAAACTTTTCCTGGCATTGTCACAATAAAGCAAACTTTTTGTCACAAATTTGTTAGGAAATTTCCAAAAAGGTTTTTCTGCAGTTTTCCCACGATGTTTCCTGAAAAGGTCAATTTTTGTATATATATTTCCAAAACATTTGACATTTTCTGAAAAAGAATAATCCCCTCCCCATTTTAAAAAGTATTTTTTGTATCCACACCCGATAAAAGATAATAGCAATATCCTAATTTGTGTATATAAAAGTTCCAATTTCTAAACTTTTCCGCTCATATTACACTTCACACTTTATTTTCCTAGGTACCGTTATCGTTTCCCAGACGAGCATCAGCATCAGTGTAGGGAACACGCTTTCCGAGGGGCGCATCAGTCATACTTTGACCTTTGACCTGACATTCACCCCTGGGCAAACTCTCTTCAGCCTGACGGGAACCGGTCTGTGGAGTGTCACACTGTTTCTGACGGACGGCGGTACAAACAGAGTAGCTTCACAGGTAACACGGGCATCTTTCTCGGGACTTTATGCAAAATGATCAACAAAGATTCGGCAGTTTATCTTTGAATAAAATTTTCTTCCAGAATTTCTGCACAGCGTTACTTTGATGTCAAATATTCCTCTCCCAGTTTGAGGCCAAATCTTTAAAAAAATGCGATGATGTCACCAATTAAATTACCCTCTATCTCTATACTGTCTTTTACAATTGAGCTAAGGTCTCTTGCGATTTGTTCATATGATTTTCTTCCGTTGATTTTTCGAATGTAGGTCGTACCTCTGAGCAGCCAGCAAAGCAACGTTGCATGGTCACCGCCTTCAAGTTCCATCATACGCACCATACAAACCACGGTCAATCTGAATGCGCTATCCTGCCCCCAGATGCGCTCTGTCTGCGCTATGATAGGTCAGGGTTCGAATCCCGCCCCGCCCTTCTTAATGAGGGGCACACCTAACGAGAATGCCCTGATTGGCTGCACACAGGTGCAATGTCGAGGTGAGTTGATTTTATTCCAACCCAAAACCCAATTTTTTTTTATCCAAAGCCAAAAATAAAGGGAGCAATCTGAGCTATTCAATGACAGATTTTCTCGAAATTTTGTATTCCCATTATGACATCTATGCTTAGTGCATTTACAAAGTTTAAGCTTAATTGAGCAAAGAAGTTTGTAATTATCGTCTTAATTAATTCCTTCAATTAATATTCCATGAATGCACACTTTTTTCTGTACAAATTCTACTATTGATTTGCCTGTGCATTTAGAACATTAAGGTATGGTTTCAGAAAACTTAAAGTTTTTGTTTTGACTTCTTGGCAGGTGTGGAAGCAACCAGTGTCACTTTTGGTGGTACCCTTAATGATTTACGTGAGGGCGTCAGCTCCCAGGCTCTTAGCTTCGACATGACCATGTCCACCAACCCTCAAGCCGGTTCGGTCTCCGGCTCTAACCTCTGGAAGATCACTCTGTACGGCAGCACCCAGGCTAATGGGTTAGGAACCCAGGTCTTGAGGACCCAGCTCACCCTGAACCCATCCCAGGCCGGGGCTAGCACGGATCTGAGCGGTAATGTGCAATTCTTCAGCCTCCAGACCGCGCTAAGCCTCGTGGGATTGGTCTGCTCCCAGGTGCGCTATATCTGTGTCACGATTGAAAAGAGCGAGAACCCAACGCCTCAGTTCACGCTAACTGGGATGCCATCCGACGCTGTGCTCACTGCATGCCAAGCCACGACCTGCAATGGTTTGTACACATTTCCTCATAAAAGTCCTGTCGCTGTTCAATACTAGCTTGCAGAAAAACAATTGGCACAAGTTAAGGTCACTTTATAAACCACTTATAGCAACCAAGCCAGGGCCCAATTTCATGGCGTTGATAAGTACTCAATTTTCTGCTAACAGAGCCTCCTTATTCCATGGAGACCGTAAGCAGTAAGCGCAGTAACAGCACGCTTAATTAACCCCGGAGGAAAAAGTTGCTAAAATTTGTGATAGAAATTTCCATGCACGTTCAACCGTTAGCACATCCACGCCACAATATAGTACTGAAGGTTAGCATAATTTTCTGCAAAATGTTAGCACAACTTTTCTAGTAACTGTTAAGCAGCATTATGAAATTGAGCCCAGGACAAAACTTGCTCCTTTCCTCCCCCCTTCCAGGAGTTCAAGTAACTAGTACCTCGATTTCAATTACCTCTGGCACTCCTGTCATCGAGCGACGCTCCAACACTCTCGCCTTCAGTCTGTCCATCCAGACCAACTCTGACGGGGGTAGCGTCAGCGGACAAAACCTCTTCAGCATACAGACCTTTGGCAGTAACAGCTTGACGGGTACCAGTGTCAGGATCTCAGAACGGCGAATCCAGGTAAGGTTTGTTGGGTACCAATGAAAAATACTGTTGAGATCCTTCCCGGTTCAGATAAATCTTAAGCCAAAGTTTGTGGTTCGTGAACGAATAAGGTTTGAAATCTTGTGCACAACCTGTTTTTTTTCTTCCAGGGAAGTACCGGTATTACGGCCGGACGTTTAGCCACCATACCCAACCTGTCGACCACTATGGATCTCAGTGGCAGACTCTGTCAGGATATCGTCGCGCTGTGCACAGAACTGGCCAAGAATGCGCAGGCTAACCCGGACTTCACCTTGGATCCCATTCCTAACAGTGGCGTGCTGCAGGAATGCATTAACATCGAATGCAGAGGTGAGTGTAACATGGATGAAATTACTGGCAAAATTGTAGATAGGCCATTTTTTGAACCACTTTCCATTATTTGTTCCAAACAACAGTGGATGTTTACCATGGCATTTTGTGCTGTGGAAGCAGTGGTGGAATTCGACGCTATGCATGTGAGAGCAACGTTATTATGTTTGAGCAGGTTGTGTGTTCTGATTTCCCTGGGTGGGCGTCGCCAGAAGGGAGGGGTGAGGTGGGTGGCACACCCATGGCCGCTCCCTGTTTATCGTTCTCACTGGTGTTCACATGTCACTTGCAACAAAAACTGAAAAGGGGAATAAGGAGGAAAAGGGAAACATCTTAGCCACTGTTTGAAACGTGAATTTGAAGTGTTCAACTTCAGGGAAAAGGGATTGAAACAGTAGATATGTAGGCTTGCAAGTATGCATAAACGTTTTTGACACCCCGAAAATAAAGTTTGTCCAGCTGAAGCTGGACGTGGTTCAGGATGAGGTTTATTTAACAGCTTAATAAAGTCTTCTGTGTACCTTTGTTTCGCCCCATGCATCTAGGTGTCTTCATCCAGACCATGGATGTTGTAGTCACTAGTGGCGTGCCGGTTCTCTATGGCAACCGCAACCAAATGTTGACCTTTAACCTTCGCGTCCAGGCCAACACTCCTAGCGCCAGCATCTCTGGGTTCAACCTGTGGAGACTGATTGTCTATGCCAACAACCGGCTGGATGGCTCGGGCCCCAGGATTGGTCAAGTCCAGGTCACGCTGTCCTCGGCTCAACAGAACACTGCGATCAGCGCGGGGCAGGCGGTGAACCTCAACAACTTGGACGTGAGTTTGTGGGTGACAAAAATAGGCTTGGTTGATTTGGTAGAATAAGTCAAAATGAGAACATTGATCTATATATGTTTCATAAAAAAAAGTTGTATTGGCCTGATGATCAGGGGTAATAATGATATTTACAATTGTTTATAAATTGGATTACAAAATGCACTTGAAGAAAATTAGCTTTTGGATTTTTGACTTTTTTTTCTGATATGAATGTTCAGTTGACAATGGACCTGAGTTCAGTCACCAGCTGCGCTGACATTGCCTACCTGTGTGTGGAGTTACAGAAGAGTTCGAACCCAAGCCCAGCTTTCACACTGCAAGGCAGCACGACAAGATGCATACAGGTCCAATGTGCAAGTGAGTCATTCACAGATATGGACCATTCCTGGCTGTCAATCAAACACTAAGCATTGACCAATCAGATCACAGCTTTCTGTCAGGTAACCACAGTAGCTGTGTCAAACTCATTCACGGGCACTTTAAAAATGTCCACAAAATAAAAAGTGGGAGGGGCTTGACAGTGCAAATTGACCAATTAGATCATGACTTTCTGTCAGGTGACCATGGTAGCTGAGTCAAACTCATTCACAGGCACTTTGAAAATGTACACAAACATCAGGTGGGAGGGGCTTATTGCTGATTCATTCGAAGGGAAACATCCATGAAGCAGGTGGATTGTTTCTTTTCATTGGACACGGAATTTATTCAAATGTTTTACAATAATTAACAAGTAAATACCACTTAATGATTATACAAAATTTAAAGCATGGAGGTATTTTCGAGAAGGTAAATCTTGCATGCTAGAAATGCCCTGTGAAAAATGTTTTAGAGAATGATAAAATGATTTGTTTTTCCAATTGTGCCCCTCAGTGTTCAACCCTTGTGGATCTAACCCATGCCAGAATGGTGGAGCCTGCAGTAATGTTGGAAGTGCATTCACCTGCAGCTGTGCCAATGGATGGACTGGTCCATTGTGCCAACAGGGTAAGTCCTAATCTACTTTAATAAAAAAAAAAATGAAACCAACTTGAAAAAGATAAATCATTGAATTGAACCTGATGATCCATACATAAGCATTTTTTTCTGATGTTCTGATGTCTTGACAGAGATTTGACTAAAACAATCCAATGCTGTGTCACATATTCACCCAATTTAAAAACCAAATTTTGGTGACTCATTAGGCAACCCATGGAGACCATGCGTTATTCCAGCTTTGCATCACCTCTCTGGAACTCCTTGCCGGACGAGTTGAGGGCAGCTTAGGAACCCGTCTGTCTTCAAACCTATCGTAGAACTCGCCTCTTTCATTAATTGTCCTTATAGACAAAGTAACTTTTTCAGGTACTATAGTGGGGCAGATAGGGGGATTATTTGGGGGAATTGTGGTGTCTTTGATGATAAAAGCATGGCATTTGGCACAGGGCTATAGGACCATCGCAGATTTGTCCTTTGAAAAAATGTAGGGTAGAATAACAAGCAATTTTCACAATTTTCAAAATGGCTGCCATTGCTTGTTTTCTACCTATACATTTTCAAAGGACAAATCTGCAATGGCCCAATAGCCATATATCTTTCTCATGACATACTCTGTTTGCCAAATTCCATGCTTGTATCATCAAAGGCACACCCCGTCATAACGGCCACCTTATGTTGATTTTGACGTTCAGATTCTGTGTGGTTATTGTTACAGCTGTGAATGCATGCAATGGCATTGTCTGTCGCAATGGTGGAGTGTGCATAGACAGTCAGTTCTCATATGTATGTCGCTGTACACTGGGATGGCAAGGACAGTTCTGTGAGCTTGTAGATAATGGTAAGAAGTCAAATATAAAAATAAGTCTGTCTCTAGTTAATATGGTTCATCAGGCCGACGTTTATCTCTGGTTACCTTGGCATGAAACGACTGGGAAAATTATCTATCCCCCCTGGACAGGATGCCAGTCCATTGCTCCCCAGCTAATGCCGATACCCATTTATGCTCCTGGGTGGAGAGAGGCAAGTGGGGGTAAAGTGGCTTTCCCATGGAAATAACATGACCAGCAGCTGGATTCGAACCCCTGACCCTCTGATCAAGAGTCACAAACCTGCCACCCCCAGAACACCCTAACAGTGCTCGACCAACTGAGCTACCTAGCCTAATATATTTGGAATCGTACTCAGTCAGTGTCTTGTCTCAAGTGGTTTATTGTATATATATTTTTTTTATTAAACTTTATTTTTGTTTGTTAGGTATCCAAATTACCACCACGACTCTGAGTCTGACGTCGGGCACCATCCGTGAGAACACCGCCCAGAACAGGCTAACGTTGTCTGTTGTCCTCACCAACAGTCAGTCTGGTTCCACCTTGCCCACTGGAAGTGGCTACTGGCAGGTAAAAAAGACAGGGACAAAATAATTGTCCAAACACCTTCTTCCCCCCCCCCCCCCCTTAAAAAAAAGGGGGGAATATTGCATTTCTTACAGCTAACATATTAAGTTGGAATTTGTTACAACTAGGCAAAATGTCCTTGAATTTTTCCTTACATTCCCCAACTTTTTCACAAATTGTCTATTTACTTTTATTTACTTTTATTTCATAAAACTTTCGTAAGACTTTCCCTTATTTCAAAGAAATTCTCAGAAATGTTCAAAACAACCGGGAAAAAAAAACCCCACAATAACACTAGCCACATTGAGCAACGATAACAACAGGCACATATAAAAACACCTATAAACAAGCAAGCAAAGAAAGGGACAAGTAAAATGAATGACGTACAGCTCATTACAGACTGACTTGACAAACAAAAAGCAAACAATCCAACGTAACAGAAACTTGATCTCCTACAATCCTCAGGTCAACTTCTTCACCAGCTTGCAAGCCAATGGCCAGGGCCAGCGCTTCAACCAACAAAGCCTGAACCTAGACGCCTTGCAATCGGGCCTTGGAATCACCTCGGGTGGGGTTCTAACCCTGTCCGGCGTTCAAAGTATCCTGAACCTTCAAGGACAATCGTGCAGCAGCGTGCCGTATGTCTGCGTGGAGATACAGAAGGGCAATAACCCGTCGCCAGATTTCCTTTTGAGCGGTTCGCTGATTGCGTGCCAGGAGACCAACTGCATAGGTAAGGTTTTGTGGGGTGTGAGTCGAGGTACCAGACACTGACTAGTCTGGCTACAGACTCAGCTGTGTTGGTCCTGTGGGACTGATTGCTTTGTGGTTGACAGACAATGGGTGTTTGTTTTTGGTTTTTAAGTGTGGAAGTCAAGTTACCAGACAAAAGCTAGTCTGGTCTCAGAATCTTTGTCACTCTTTACCATTCCCTCTTGTGACTTTCTGTTGACCAACTGCGCAGGTAGTTATTTGAGTCTTCAAGTCAAGGTACTAGACACTGACTAATCTACACAGACCCTTTCGTTTGTCTTAGATACCGCCCAGCATTTATTTTTTTGTCTGCGAAATTATGGTCAGGATAAGTTTGTAAGCATCCATAAATAAAGCAACCATGAAAAAGCTCCATCTAGTTTCAGATGGTGTATATCCTCTGCCCCCCCCCCCCAAAAAATAACACCCGCCAGCAATTTTCGGTCACCCCCACTCCCCTCCCTAGCAAAGGCGGTTAATCAAACAGTGAACATTAACAGTAAACATTACAATTGTTCTTTCATGAAGGTGTGCAAGTGATTCAGGTGACAGGGAGCATCACCAGCGGACAGACACTCCTGATTGGTCAGAATAGCCACACTATTAACATGAACATCATTGTCCGTGCATCAAGTAATGGGGCTAGCATCAGTGGATCCAATCTATGGTGAGTGTCAAAAACAAAAATCTGGAACAGCAATTTATCAAAAATTTTACTTTTGATTTCTTTTGATCATCATCAAAAATATTAGTAAATCTATAAAAATGCACTGTTCGTGCTTTTCAACAAGTTAGATTTTTCTCTTCAATAAATTTTATTTTTAATTTTGTAATCATATTTTAATATTTTCTGTTTCTTTTTCTATTTTGGGCCTTTGCATAAAGGGCTTTGTTTTGGGTTGTGTTGAGCTTACAAACAGATCTGCCCTGTGAGTAGACCGGTTCCAGTCCCCACATTATCCATTCTGATAGGGTAGTGGGAACCAGTCTACACAAGAACTTAATTATTGTCTGGCCGCAAACAATTCAACATTTATAAAGAAATTATTCCATAATCGAACGTGGGCCAATTTTTTGTTGTTCCATGTTTCCTTCAAAAAGAAATAACCTTAAATATCCATTGATACTGTAATCTATACGCAGGACGGCACAGGTTTTCACTAACACATTACAGAGCGGCGCAGGCACTACCGTACTGCAGCAAAACGCCGTACTGTCCAATCAGGCGGTGAGCTTGGATCTCATTGCTGGGGGCAGTATTACCCTGAGTGGGGCAACGGTGACCTTTGACCTGTCCACAGTGACCTCGTGTCAACAGGTGAGTGGTTGAACATCAAATTCCCCCCAAATATCAATATGGAAGCTTTCTACATTTTGTCCATGAAATGGATCACCGCATTACCAAGAAACAAGCTCAATTTGGAAAAATAAATAAGTTAGTTTTGAAAGCCCATGGGCACTTACATGTGGCATTATAATGTAATAAAATGTGGTGCTTCTATAGCGCGCCTTATACCTAAGGTGTCAGAGCGCTTTACATTTATTACCCCTGCTCATCAGGAATGAGACCATTTTTCTGCAGTAGCTCCAGATCAGTGCAGTTTAGTCTCCACCCTCACAGGTACCTTATATTCCTGGGTGGAGAGAGGCAATTGTAGTAAAGTGCCTTACCCAAACGCACAAGCACCATGTTCCCCGTCAGGATTCGAACCCATGTACCTCGGCACACGAGATGAACACTGTAACCATTGGACCAGAGTGTATCACATTGAGTAAATATATTTCAAATTAGGTTTTGCCCTTCACCGACGTATAAACACTATATACTCAGTGTGTTAATATATTTGTCTGTTTTTTTCTTGACTAGGTGTCCTTTCTGTGTGTCCGACTTGGAAAGAACCCCCTAGCTTCCCCAGATTTCACTCTGACTGGAGTTCCGGACAATTTCATTCTGACACACTGCCAAACAGCATTATGTCAAGGTAATCTGGAAGAAGAAACGCATACTCTGCCATATCGAAAGGACTGTTATTTTAGAATATTTTCAAAATGTTCTAGATAAATTATTTGTTTTGTTGGAGGGTGGGGGGGGGAGGATTGGAACATGCAAACTTAGATGTAAGGTTATTACTTTTAGAGATTTTCAAAATTATTCAAGCATAAAACTTTGAAATCCATCATTTAAACGAGTTTCACAGGTAATTAAATTGAATTGCAATTTTTGTTTTTATTCCGTGCAATGTGTCTCGTTCACAGTGCCATCTCCATGTGATTCACACAACTGTCAGAACGGTGCAGTATGTCAAGTGACGGGAACCAGCTATATTTGTGTATGTGCTAACGGCTGGGGAGGAGACCGGTGCACACAAGGTAAGTATTGAATAGGGTGGCTATGGCTGGTTGTAACACGTGTCAATGTGAAGTGGCTACAGCGGCTTCAATACACACATGTGTAATTGAAAGTCGTAGCCAAGTAATTCAGACACGGACTTAGTCTTTCTTTCAAGTCTGCAAAACATTGTTTCTCCTTTTTTTTTACAATTTGTAAGCTTGACAATTTATACACGTTTTAAATTTTTTTTAAAAATTTGCCTAGGTGTCCAAATCGTTAACATCAATTTAAGAGTGGTATCCACCAACGATGTCAGAGAGCGCAACACAAACAATCCCTTGACCCTTGACCTCACCATCACCACCAATCCCAACGGCGGTAGCGTATCCGGCACTCGGCTCTGGCGCTTGACCGCGTTCCTCAGTACGCAACCTGACGGCTCGGGACCGGAGTACTCCACTACCACAATACAGCTCTCCGATGCCCAAGCCAGTACCGGTCTCCAAGCGGGAGTGACCGCCACCATTTCGTCCCTCCAGACCAACGCCAACACGGCTCAGAGTAACCTCATGTGCGGTCAGTTTGGCTACATCTGTGTCCGACTGGAACGAGGGCCCAATCCATCTGTGAATTTCCAGTTAGGTGACGGCAGCCAGTCTTACGTGGCTTGTGCTCCTGCCAACTGTCGAGGTAGGACATTATTTCTATAACAAGACCAACGTTTACAAAACTACACCTAAACCAGTGCTGTACCCCAAGCCCTACCCCCAATTGTCTTCTAATTTTTTTGTCTTTTTTTTTTAGGAGTTGAGATCACAGACGTCGTGGCTACCATCGTGTCCGGCGAGCCGGTCAACACAGAAACCACCAGCAACAATCTTGTCTTCAATGTCCAGGTTTCCTCGTCCCCCTCTGGAGCCAGCGTGAGCGGCTCCAATCTCTGGCAAGTTATCGTCTTCTCAGACACCCAGGTGAGATCTTTTGAGGAATTAGGGCGAATCTGGACCAAGCCTTAGCCTTTGGGCTTGAAATCTTACTATCGCCACTTCCCTACTACCTTACCATAGACCTGCTACCAATCATTGAAGCCAGGTTACCAGACAGCAAGGCAGGGCTCACCCAGTTTGATTTGTATTTATGGCTGCTGTTCAGGTTTAATTCAAGGTTCTAACACCTGGTTCTCAGGATGACTTGAGTTTGACCAAACTCCAAGGAGCCACAGTCAACTCAAAAGTGTCAAAAGTTTTAATGATCCTGTTCCTTTAAAATGACTGCACTGGCTCTTTCATTGAGTCTGTATTTCGAGTCATGACTATTTGGCATAAACCAGTTGTGTATTCCAACTGCATGTGGAAACAAAACGCATTGCAATTTTTTTCACGTCGAGATAAACTGTGTTTCTGGTGGGTAAATGAAGGGTAATAGTATTGATTACAAATTATGTCAAACAAAAAATGTCCAATTATCTCTCAGTTGAACGGTCAAGGCCAAACGGTCATCCAAGCTCAGGCCACTCTCCCAGGCAACACTGCCAGTACCTTCCTACAAGCCGGAGTGGACATGGTCCTGCGGTCAGTCCAAGTCAACCTAGACCTGACCCAGATATCCTGCAATCAGATCCCGTACATCTGCGTCCGGTTCCTGAAAGCGACAAACCCCGGCCCTAATCCCGACTACACCTTCACTGCTGTACCCTCGGATGATGTCTTGCTGCACTGCCAAGCACTTGACTGCATGGGTGTGTTGATAGAGCTTTAAATTCAGCCCCAGCTTGGTCCGGGGAAAATAAAATGTTCAGTGGATCTCCCAGTCAATATTTGCAGTCAATATTTGTGTAGACTGCTTTCACTCATGGTACCGGTACAGTAAAACTATCCTCCCTCGGTGATCTGTGGAGCTTTCTATTCACCCTCGGCTTGGTCCGGGGAAAATAGAATGCTCAATGGATCACCAAGGCTAATTTTAGTATGTCCCTTGAAGCAGGCAATATTTGTAAACCATACCACGTCAATTCAAGGTACACCGTTCAGACGTTAAAAAGGACACAACGGAAACACTGACTGCGACAAAACAATGTCTTTATAAATTACAGTTATTAAATAGTTCGAATATTTCATTATTAAAAAATAAATGGCCTTACAGCGACAGTTCAGAAATCACAAAAGTAAAAGTTTGTGTTGATGATTTTTTGGTGTTTGATATTTTACAGACCCCTCGTCTTGCATTGGTCATCTGTGTGAGAACGGCGGACAGTGCATGGACCTAGGTTCCGGTAGTTATAGGTGTCTGTGTACACCGGGCTGGACAGGGCTGTACTGTAGCGTAGGTAAGTACACGCTAAGCATTAACAATATCTGCTTAATGCATACGGGATACCGGCCAGAGTGTCATGCGATGCATATGGCTTGTTACTGGTTCCTAGCCGACTTTTGCTCAATGTATTCATTTGCTAAGTTTCCCTATTTTACTGCTTGGTAAATCTGTGACTTTCGGCCATGGTTTGAAAACGTTGAGGTGTTCGGCAGAAAATATTACTTGGTACTTTGGTACTTGGTTAGTTTCCTCCTGAAACATCTTCTAGGGATCTTGACTAGGAGGTCACGGGGAGGTGTCGGCATCTAGGGTCTCAGTCATGATGTGGTTGTAGTAGTTGTCCCTAAAGGTCTTGTGCGTCATAGAGCCAGTAATGTGTTGGGGCATGTCATTCCATAATTTAATGGTCCTTAGAAAAAATGAGTTCTTGAATGCAGTTGAGGATGTTTGTACTATGTTGAATTGGTTGTTGTTCCCCCTCCTGGATCTCTGTATTTTTGGTTGAAGATAGCCTGAAGCAGACTCATTGAATAAATTTACTTGAGAAAAGTTGGTTTTAAAAGTGTGGCAAGTTGAAAGGGAACTCCACTGTGATGCTTAATGAAAGATATTGTTCATAAAATGTTATGCATTGAAAGTTGTCGGAAATGCTCTGCGAGAGGTCATTTTGATAAATATTTGTATTAGTCTGTGCATGGTGTATATGGGTCTATTGGCTCTGCACATGAAAAGACGAGGGCGCCCTTAATACTAGTAATGCAGGTGAAGGACAGTCGCGTGCCATTGTGCTTATACACTATAGTTGGCGAGTAACTTTAATACAGGTATTACATGGTATCTGTTGCAGCACAATGGAACCAATTTAATTGCCCAATGCAAACCCACATGCTTGGTGCTTAGCCATAGTCCCTTTGCTTAACCATAGCCCAATTGCTTAGCCATAGCCCCAGTGCATAGCCACAGTACTAATTAGTAATAAACCCTCCATTCTACGCGTGCACATTGCACAAAGACTCACAGTCACACCCCTTTTTTCTTAATACCATCCACCTTTTTGCAGTTGCGGACTATTGTCTGACCACGCAAACACCTTGCTTTAATGGCGGGCAGTGCATCAACCTAGCGGATCGCTACCAGTGTAACTGCCAACAGGACTGGGTCGGCCCGCGCTGCCGAATAGGTACTGATAACATCTCTCTAAAGGGATGCATGGCCATGACATTGTTAGTTTCGTCATTCCATTCCATCATTGCAGTTTTTCGATTTCATCATTTTTGGTGTCCTCTTTTTGCCCTTATTTTTTTCCTGAGTTTCCACTGGTAATGCTATAAAAAAAAACTAGCTCATAAAAGAGACTTTCTTTCACATGCTATCACCACAAATTATCACTTCATTATTTCATCATGGCAGTTTTCCATTTCATCATTACATAATTTCCACTTTCCTCTGATTTTCCATTTCATCATTTTGGTTTTTCCATTTCCTAATTCCAGTTTTCCATTCCCTTACTCCAATTTTCATTCCCTCATTCAGTCATTCCAATATTCCCTCATTCCAGTTTTCCTTTCCTTCATTCCAGTCTTCCGTTCCTTCATTCCTGTTTTCCATTCCCTCATTCCATTTTTTTCATTCCCTCATTTAGGTTTTCCATTTTGTCATTCAGGTTTACCATTCCATTCCAGCCGGTTTCCTTTTCCATCATTTCATTGTTCCCATTCTTTCATTTTAGTTTTCCCTCTGCTATTCCAGTTTACACTCCCCGCAATGCAGTTTTCCATTAAATCATATTCGTTTTCCATTATCGGGGTTTTGTTTGCATCAAGTGAAATGTGAAAACTTGGCATCTGTTTTCTCATCACATGACACGTTTGTTTCGTAGATAACCCCTGCTTGCCAACCAACCCCTGCATCAACGGCGGAACATGCTTTTCCGATCAGTCTGGGATCTACACGTGCAACTGCCCGCCTGGATACAGCGGTAACAACTGCCAAATCACACCAGGTAACGTGCCTGTGTTTTTGTGGGTATTTTTTGCATTTTTGATGGCTCAAAGCTAATCTTGCCTTCTGTATATTTTTTGGTTGTAATTCTTTCTTGTAAGTCAATAGGCACTGTAGCTTGTAAGCCTGAACAGACAACAAAACAAGATGATAAAGAAATGTTTGGTATGAAAAGCGGGAAAATAAAAAAACTTGTAGTCTGTGGAGGGGTAGCCTTGCTTTTAATCATTTACAAAGTTGTGTCAATCTTAAGATAATTTCTCCAACAAAGCCTTCTTCTGTAGCTTTACAATAGTTTGTGTAAAATTTATAGTAACGTTATTCTTATGTTTCAGCATGTGCTTGTGATAAATCAACCAATCATTACAACAAAAATGATGGTGCCTTTTTTAATTTGTTCTGCATTACAAATTCCTTTTCTTTGCTTTTTCCTCTATTTTTCTGTGCTGTTTGTTCTTCTCTGTCCTTCCCGCTTGTAGATCCGTGTATATCAGACCTTTGTCAAAACGGTGCCAGGTGTGAACGGATCGGAACAGGGTCGGACTACCAGTGTTTTTGTCAGAATGGCTTTGCGGGAAGATACTGTAACATTACGCTAGGTTTGTGGACCCTTGAATGCTTGACCAATCAGACGGCTCATAGTGTATCACATGATCCCTGTACACCCAATCAAATTTTACATGGCTTTTCATAAATTTCTAATATGTGTCTGCTTACCAATTTTACATGGGATATTTCTGAAAATTGAGTAAAAATCTTTTTAAATAAAATTCATTCATCAGAGTTTCAAAAGACAGTGAAAGATTATCTCAAATACAAAATAAATATCAGTTTTGTACTACCAAGTACTCACACATAATAACCATGATTTCTTTTGAGACAGTGAGTCTTTGTTTTAATAACCTAAATTCCATTAAATGTAGAGTAAGGCAAAGCAACTTGCAAACTTGTAAGACTTTGAAGCAACTTTTATTCCTTTTTTCCCCTATTTCTTTCTTCTCGGTATGTTTTCCTCTTTTTCTTTCGCTCCTTGCGTTCCTTTCCTTTCGTAGATCCCTGCGATAGTAGCCCGTGTTTTAATGGAGGCACCTGTAGCCGTGTGGGTACGCTGTATGTCTATCAGTGTCAGTGCCCCAACGAATATACGGGAACCAACTGCCAAACGTTGAGGGGTAAAATATATTTGCCTGCGTTCCGTTGACTTCTGTCATCCACATTTCATTCCATTTTCACCACCCATCTGTGTGCGTGTTTGTTCCTACATTCGTCACCTTATATTTTCATTGTGTTCACGTTCTGTGCATCCATGTGTGTATATAATATTTGTGTCGAGCACTACAAGTTGACTGCTGTGATATGGATGTGGCGTTTTTTGTAGCCCCCCCCCCCCCAGGGCTGGACATTATCTGGCACTAGGGGGTGCTCTTTAAGACAGAGCTGGATAACATCTAACTTTAGGTGTCGCTGTTCATTACCCCTCAGCCGAGAGGCTCGAGGGGTATTGTTTTCTTTCTTTTGGTGACGGATACTTGATTTCACTGCCAATGATTTTTCACTCAAAAAAATGAAAACACACGCCATTTTCTGTCATTTAACCTGGTTGCGGGAACTAAAGGGTGTGACATGTTACCCAGGATGCATCAGTTGTCTTGAGTATGAACCTGACGTCTACTGTAAAATAACGTTGTTTTGTACTTCATTTGTCCATATTTTGTTTATTCATTTGTCCATTGTCTTTCAGATGTTCGGCAGTTTGTCAAATTCTTTGTCCGTTCATCATCTGTTGGATCATCGACCTTTTAACCATGCATTCACTTTCCACCCTCCGTCCATATGCACACCCCATATAACAAATTTGAACCATCATATCACCCATCAAACTGCACATGCACTGATTAAAAATTAACCTTAACCCTTTCAAACCCCTGAAAATCCACCAGGGCGTTTTCAAGGCTTTTGCAGGTTTGAGGAGGGAGCAGTCCAGCCATTTCAAATGGTTTGAATCTCTTGAAAGTTTAAGAACAAAGGTTTTGTTATGTGGTTCCCTGCACATTGGTGGATTTTGTAGGGTCTAGGAAGGTTCTTCACATATTCTAAGAGAGTTCCATGCATTTTGTAAAGTATATATGCCAGGCATCAGTTGGTTTGATGCTTTAACAAGAATTGTCTGTAGATTCTGTACATCCAACGTCCAGTAGGACTGCTCTGGACTGGTTCCCGCACACTGTGCATTGTGTGTTTATGTAATCTATGTACACCAGTGGTGGCAGGTAGACTGGTTCCCAATGCCTTCATTATCATCCCCCAATTGTGGTGGTGGGAACCAGCCAGCGGCCTACAGCCGTGCATGGTTAATGCTGAATGTAATATTGAAATGGCCTCTCTGTTTTGCAAAGAGACAAAAGTAAACATTGGATGATTATTGATTATGCCTTCCACGATGCAGGCTCGTCCTTCACAGATAAAATGGTATGCCCACAGTGTCCTTCACACTGCTCTCTATTTCACCATAGAGGGCGCACCTGTACACGGTGTTCATAGCCACAATCTGTTGTCTATTACAGATCCGTGTGCTACTAATCCCTGCTTGAATGGCGGCATCTGCTCAAGGCAGGGGTCGACAAACTTTGTGTGTCAGTGCTCTTTGGGTTACACTGGTACCACATGTAACATCAGGCAAGGTGGGTCAAGAACTCCTCATCATTTCTTGATTTTGCCGGTCCCAGAGGGCCAGCCTACTGTCCTCTTTGTACGACTGAATGTCATTTGTGAATCGGGCAGTGCTATTGTATAGGATTACCCAGTAACAAATAAAAAAAGGTTACACTGCTGAAATTGATTTTCTTACATTCTTAATATAAACAATATTTCTTGTTCGAAGAAATATTTTCTTGTCTCACTCCCTACAATTTTTTTCTAAGGAGTGAGACAAAAAAAAATTTCTTGAAATAAATTTTTTTCTATAGTTTTAGGAATACCAATTTTAGCAGTGTAACTCCAGCCCATTGTGTGGACTAGATACATGAAAAGACTTTCGTGAAAAGCCATAATTCTCAATCAGTTGGATGGATTTTTGTGCCTTACCTTTTTCCGCTTTGTTTAGATCCCTGCGCCAGCAATCCATGCCGGAACAATGGCGTCTGCTCAAGGGTGGGAACCAGCTTTGTCTATCAGTGCCAGTGCGTACAGGGCTACACGGGTACCAACTGCGAAATACCAAGTGAGTTTCTCCGTTCTTTCCGTGATTTGTGATTTCCGTGATTTTTTTCTTGGGCATTCGGAGAAAAAAGTCAACTCCAAGCACTTGGGATTTTTTAATCGTTTTTTGATGATGTTCTCATCTGCTCAAATGTATCATTTTGGTGTTTTTCTTTGAAACAGATGCTTGCGTTAGTAATCCGTGCCAAAACGGAGGTCAATGTAGCCAGCAAGGTGCGGGTTACCAGTGTCAATGTCAACCGGGATGGGGCGGCCCCACCTGCAACATCAGACAGAGTAAGTGCATGAATACAGTTTATAAAAACGCGAAGTATAAACCTACTCAGTGCACACTTCAGTACGCTTGCTGTCTGCTGCCTAGGTTTTTGCCCTAGCTGGTGCTGAGGATTTCCGCTCTCCCTATCTCAAGATTTCATCCCCTTGGGGGAGTTTATTACCACATGAATGCACCCTCCAACCGCAGGAAACAATTATGATCACTTGACGGAAAGACTTAGCTAGGTTTTCCTAAAAACCAGCTGCCTAAAACAAACACAGATTTGAATTAATATAATATCGAGTGTAATAGTTGTTTGTGACCGGTAATGAAGACATCGTGTTGGATATTTTGGCCGCCTTTGTAATTTTTTTCCTCTTTGTTTAGATCCCTGTGCCAGCAATCCATGTCAGAACAATGGCGGCTGCTTATGGGGGGGAACCAGCTTTGTCTATCAGTGCCAGTGCTTGCAGGGCTACACGGGTACCAACTGCGAAATACCAAGTGAGTTACTGAGTCGCTTCGATGATTTGTGTCGACACAAATCATTATTTTCTTTGACATCTAGGGAAACTCTTTCCACTTGAGGATTTTGTACCCTTCGAGTTCTCATGTCTTTGAATGTGTCATTGTTTTAAACAGATGCTTGCGTCAGTAACCCGTGCCAAAACGGAGGTCAGTGTAACCAGCTAGGTGCCGGGTACCAGTGTCAATGTCAACCAGGATGGGGCGGCCCCACCTGCAACATCAGACAGAGTAAGTGCATGAATACAGTTTATAAAAACGCGAAGTATAAACCTACTCAGTGCACACTTCAGTACGCTTGCTGTCTGCTGCCTAGGTTTTTGCCCTAGCTGGTGCTGAGGATTTCCGCTCTCCCTATCTCAAGATTTCATCCCTTTGGGGGAGTTTATTACCACATGAATGCACCCTCCAACCGCAGGAAACAATTATGATCACTTGACGGAAAGACTTAGCTAGGTTTTTCTAAAAACCAGCGGCCTAAAACAAACACAGATTTGAATTAATATAATATCAAGTTCAATATTTGTGTATGAACGGTAATGAAGCCACAGTGTTGGATATTTTGGCCGCCTTAGTAATTTTGTTTCCTCTTTGTTTAGATCCCTGTGCCAGCAATCCATGCCTGAACAATGGCGGCTGCTTATGGGGGGGAACCATCTTTGTCTATCAGTGCCAGTGCGTGCAGGGCTATACGGGTACCAACTGCGAAATACCAAGTGAGTTACTGAGTCGCTTCGATGATTTGTGTCCATCTAGGGACATCTAGACATCTAGGGAAACTCTTTCCACTTTCCACTTCTTCGAGTTCTCATGTGTTTGATTTTGTCATCATTTTAAACAGATGCTTGCGTAAGTAATCCGTGCCAAAACGGAGGTCAGTGTAACCAGCTAGGTGCCGGGTACCAGTGTCAATGTCAACCAGGATGGGGCGGCCCCACCTGCAACATCAGACAGAGTAAGTGCATGAATACAGTTTATAAAAACGCGAAGTATAAACCTACTCAGTGCACACTTCAGTACGCTTGCTGTCTGCTGCCTAGGTTTTTGCCCTAGCTGGTGCTGAGGATTTCCGCTCTCCCTATCTCAAGATTTCATCCCCTTGGGGGAGTTTATTACCACATGAATGCACCCTCCAACCGCAGGAAACAATTATGATCACTTGACGGAAAGACTTAGCTAGGTTTTTCTAAAAACCAGCGGCCTAAAACAAACACAGATTTGAATTAATATAATATCAAGTTCAATATTTGTGTATGAACGGTAATGAAGCCACAGTGTTGGATATTTTGGCCGCCTTAGTAATTTTGTTTCCTCTTTGTTTAGATCCCTGTGCCAGCAATCCATGCCTGAACAATGGCGGCTGCTTATGGGGGGGAACCATCTTTGTCTATCAGTGCCAGTGCGTGCAGGGCTATACGGGTACCAACTGCGAAATACCAAGTGAGTTACTGAGTCGCTTCGATGATTTGTGTCCATCTAGGGACATCTAGACATCTAGGGAAACTCTTTCCACTTTCCACTTCTTCGAGTTCTCATGTGTTTGATTTTGTCATCATTTTAAACAGATGCTTGCGTAAGTAATCCGTGCCAAAACGGAGGTCAGTGTAACCAGCTAGGTGCCGGGTACCAGTGTCAATGTCAACCGGGATGGAGCGGTCCCACCTGCACTATCATACTGAGTAAGTGCATGCAAGTACAGTTGTAAAAATGCAAAGCCTAAACCCCCATCAATGCAGTATCATTGCTGCCTGTGGTATATGATGCCTCCTACGATAGCTCTTATCGGTAGATCAAACAGCGGCCCCTATTGTCATGCACTGAACCAATAACTTTCTGATGCCCACACTTTCTCCCCAGATCCCTGTGTCAGTACCCCGTGTCTGAATGGAGCCACATGCAGCCAATCCGGTACCGACTTCACTTGCCAGTGTGCAGCAGGCTACACCGGCACAAACTGCGGAGTCATACAGAGTAAGTTAATTTTACCATATCAGCAAATTGTGAAGTTTCATTTTTTGCCTTGTTTTTGTAAAGTTTATTCAATACTGCATTCTCTGGCACAGCAGCAGTGGCGCTGCCAGGATTTCTTTCAGTGGGGGAAAGAGGTCCAGGGAGGGGCACTAAGGGTGGTGAATGCCTTCTGGAGAGATCATATCAGTCACATGGATCTTTATGGAGGCCTTCCACACATCTCAGACAAGATCAGGGAGAGGAGGATGGCTCTGGCAGGCCATTGCATCCACCACCCAGAGCTAGCAGCCCACAACACCATCCTGTGGGAGCCGACTCATGGAACTGCCAGGAGGGGGCGGAGACGAGCCACGTACATCGACACGCTGCGACGGGATGTTGGTCTCAGTGACACAGGGGAGCTGAGGACCCTAATGCTGGACAGGGATGAGTGGAGGGCAGCAACCAAGTCCCGAGTTGGTGTAGGCTAGGCTGCACCCTCGTATCGCAAGGGCAGACCCAACAACATCATTTTTTCAAAATTTCCTGAGCACCGACTTCAAATTCAAAAAGTATGGGAGGGGGGACTGAAATGGTGTTGAATTGCTGTATTGTCTCAGTGCACAATTACCCCCTCAACAGTCACAAAGGGAGAGTTGGAGGAGACCACTGGGAGAGATATTCAAACGCATTGCCAACGACGCTACAGTTTTGTCCTCATTCGGAATAAAACTGAGTCATGCTTGCGAATCAGTGCATGCACGTGGTATACCGTGTAGCACAGGCGCTAATAGGTGTCTAGGCATGTAGTCAATAAACGGTTTTGTTTTTCTGTTCTTGTTTGACAGACCCGTGTAACAACAACCCATGTCAAAATGGCGGCTTTTGCAGCTGGCAGGGTCAGGTCTTAATCTATCAGTGTCAGTGCCAGACAGGTTACGGCGGCAACAACTGCCAAATAATCACTAGTAAGTCCATCGCCCGATTCCTTTTATGTACTCAACATGCAATAACAAATGACTAAAGCCAATATCTGTACAGTTTGACTACAGTGATTTGTTTTTTTTCATTTTTTGTTGAATTTTGTTTTTTTAATCTGCCAGATCCCTGTGTTAATACCCCGTGTCTGAATGGAGCCACATGCAGCCAATCCGGTAGTGACTTCACTTGCCAGTGTGCAGCAGGCTACACCGGCACAAACTGCGGAGTCGTACAGAGTAAGCTCATTTTAACCCCATCAACAAATTGTGAAGTTTCATTTGTTTCTTTTTTTAACTAGTCGGGTAAGTTGTGATGTTGAAATGCTGTGTTGCTATCACTATAGACTCGGTGCGCAAGTACCCCCTCAACGGTTATAAGGTCGAGTTGGGGGAGACAACCAAGAGGGACATTTGAATGTACTGCCATTGGCGCCCGATGCTCATGGGAAGACACTTTGAATTTGAGCTTATTCAGGAAAAAAAACGAGTTGTGCTTTCGCGCCAGTAGATGCACTTGGTGTGATGCCATGGTTTGATGTGTCTAGGGAAGTAGTCAATAAACCATTTCGTTTTTCTGTTCTTGTTTGATAGATCCGTGTAACAACAACCCGTGTCAAAATGGCGGCGTCTGCAGCTGGCAGGGTCAGGCCTTAGTCTATCAGTGTCAGTGCCAGCCAGGTTACAGCGGCAACAACTGCCAAATAATCACTAGTAAGTCCATCGCCCGATTCCTTTTATGTACTCGACATGCAACAACAAATGACTAAAGCCAATATCTGTACAGTTTGACTACAGTGATTTGTTTTTTTTTTCATTTTTTGTTGAATTTTGTTTTTTTAATCTGCCAGATCCCTGTGTTAATACCCCGTGTCTGAATGGAGCCACATGCAGCCAATCGGGTAGTGACTTCACTTGCCAGTGTGCAGCAGGCTACACCGGCACAAACTGCGGAGTCATACAGAGTAAGCTCATTTTAACCACATCAACAAATTATGAAGTTTCATTTGTTTCTTTTTTTAACTAGTCGGGTAAGTTGTGATGTTGAAATGCTGTGTTGCTATCACTATAGACTCTGTGCGCAAGTACCCCCTCAATGGTTAAGAAGGGAGAGTTGGGGAGACAACCAGGAGGGACATTTGAACGTACTGCCATTGGCGCCTGATGCTCGTGCAAAGACACTTTGAATTTGAGCTTATTCGAAGAAAAAAAAATGAGTTGTGCTTTTGCGCCAGTTGATGCACATGATGTAATGCCCTGGGTTGATGTGTCTAGGGAGGTAGTCAGTAAACGGTTTTGTTTTTCTGTTCTTGTTTGACAGACCCGTGTAACAACAACCCGTGTCAAAATGGCGGCTTCTGCAGCTGGCAGGGTCAGGCCTTAGTCTATCAGTGTCAGTGCCTGCCAGGTTACAGCGGCAACAACTGCCAAATAATCACAAGTACGTCAATTGTCAGGTTCCTTTTATGTACTCAACAAGCAATAACAATTGACTAAAGAAAATCTTTGAAAATTGAAATATGATTGCTATTCATTTTTCGTTGGATCATTATTTGAATCTTGTGTCTTAATTGTGGTAAACTGTCGTGTTGAAATACTCATTTGACTCCGTGCATAAGCAACTCCTGAACGGTTACGAAGCGAGCATTGGGGGACACCACTCGGAGGGACAGTCGAACGCATTGCTGATGGTGCCTGACGCTCACGCGAAAACACTGCTGTTTTGTGCTCATTCAGGAAAAATGTAAATGCTTGCAAACCAGTACAGACGCAAACGGGTTAATGTGTCCTGGCATGTATTTAATAAATGACTCTTTTTTTTACTTTTTTTGACAACAAATTCAATTTTGTCTTTTTTGTCAGACCCGTGTGACAACAACCCGTGTCAAAATGGTGGCTTTTGCAGCTGGCAGGGTCAAGCCTTAATCTATCAGTGTCAGTGCCAGCCAGGTTACAGCGGCAACAACTGCCAAATAGTCACTAGTAAGTCCATCGCCCGGCTCCTTTTATGTAATCAACAAGCAATAACAATTGACTAAAGAAAATCTTTGAAAATTGAAATATGATTGTTATTCATTTTTCATTGGATCATTAATTGAATCTTGTGCATGTTTTTAAAAAATGATGACTTTTCTTTTGTCAGACCCGTGTGACAACAACCCATGTCAAAATGGCGGCTTCTGCAGCTGGCAGGGTCAAGCCTTGATCTATCAGTGTCAGTGCCTGCCAGGTTACGGCGGCAACAACTGCCAAATAATCACAAGTATGTCCATCGTTGATTCCTTTTATGTACTCAACATGCAATAACAAATGACTAAAGCCAATATCTGTAAAGTTTGACTACAGTGATTTTTTTTCTTCATTTTTTGTTGAATTTTGTTTTTTTAATCTGCCAGATCCCTGTGTTAATACCCCGTGTCTGAATGGAGCCACATGCAGCCAATCCGGTACTGACTTCACTTGCCAGTGTGCAGCAGGCTATACAGGCACAAACTGTGGAGTCGTACAGAGTAAGTACAGAATTTCTGGTTAATTATTGAAGTGGTTGGTGTAAGGGAAAATGTCTTCATCTTTAGTAGAGCAAAGATTGACTGGAGTGGGGCTTGAACCTGTGACCTCCGGATCACCATTCCGATGCTCTACCAACTGAGCTATCAACCCTATGATGGCGGTTCATCAGAGTGTCAATGTCTGTTCAACGGGTGCTAGTCAGAAGCCAGAAACCTGTAAAGTTCTGATGCTACTAAAAGTAGCAATGCTGCAAACCTGGAAAATGGCGAACAGGGTAACTCAAATAAAATGCAGCAATCCTTCTTAATTGTAATAGGAATTATGTATCCGCATTTCAAGTCCTTTTGTTTTTCTATTTGTTCAGATCCATGTACTCTTAGCCCATGTCAGAACGGCGGCACGTGTCAATGGTTTGGACAAGTGTCGACCTATCAGTGTTTATGCCTGCAAGGATACAACGGCAACAACTGCCAAATCATACAAGGTAAAATTCTAGTTCCCCTCTTTCTTTCTAAATTTTGTTCTTACTCTGCCATCTCATGAACGCCATTTCTGCATTTCGCACAACACCCATGCATAGACGCTAGACTTGTCACAGTCCCTTATACGTTTTATGCCATCTTTCCTCATAGATCCGTGCAACAGCAACCCGTGTCTGAACAACGGACTCTGCCAGTGGCCTGGTACAAGTTTCACTTACTCCTGCCAGTGCACCTTGGGGTACACCGGAGTAAATTGTGGCACAGCTCAGAGTAAGTATCGTCAATTAGACTAAATGGCCACAGCCATTTTCTGTGGGGGCGGCGGACTCGCGCGAGTCACACTCAGTAATACGCACACACTCCAGGCTTCTTCCACCAATAGGTTACCAAAATGCGCACGTGCCTCGTCTTTAAGACGCGGCTAGCCCGCGAGCATGGCACCACCTCAGAAATCATCATGCGAGAGGTCGTCTTCAACCGACGCCTTCTCGGGAGACTCTGATGGTCGCATTCCATGCATCCGGTCCAGCATCAGCGTCTTCAGCTCAGCAGTGTCTTGTTGCGCTGCGTCCCTCTTCAACTGGTCGACGAAAGAGAGTCTCCTCCTGCCCCTGCCGCTAGCTCCATCGACAGGTTCCCACAGCACTAGCTGGCTCACAGCTAGCTCTGGATGCACAGTGGCCTGCAAGCCTCATCCTACGCTCCCTGACCTTAGCAGAAACTCTGGGCAGGGTGTTGTAGAGCTGGAGCATTCGGGTGTAGGCGCCGTCTAGTGCTCTCTCGTGCTTGGCTGTCATCGTCCACGTCTCAAAAATGCCTTCTAAATTCTAATGCCTTCAAATTTTGTTCGGCGAAATACACCAGAATGCTCCAAATCAAATTGAAAAAAAAAATTAAATGTAATAACTAATTAATAATCCTCTTTTTTTTGAAGATCCGTGCGACAGTAACCCTTGTGTCAATGGAGGGGCATGCAGTTGGCAGATTCCTAACTACCGTTACGTGTGTCAGTGCCCATCGACGCATACCGGTATCAACTGTCAAACCCCTCTGGGTAAGTCAGTTTGTCCAGTCATTTGTTTATTTGATCTTATTAATGACCAAAATAATAATGGAACTGGAGCATAGAAATTGCAAAAATCTTACGTGGCTGTATGGCATATGCTAGCTTTTGGTTTCCGATTAGTGCTCTTGAACAAAAATATTGATAAAATTTGGGAACCGTCAACATAGGGCTGGATAGTTCAGTTGGTAGAGCACCGGAACGGCAATCCGGAGGTTGGAGCTTCAAACGCGATTCCACTCAATTTCTTCATTCAATCTATTAATATGTTTCCTCCTGGTCAACCTCCCTCCCTGGTTTTTTGGTTAAAAGACTGAAATTTAAGTGATTGGAAAAAAAATATTGAGGTTTGGAAAGATTGGCACATCTTGGGAGAAATGGACTCAACTTGGTCCCGAAATCTTTGCTTTTTAGGTTCTTGCTTCTCCAGCCCATGCCAGAATGGTGGAACGTGTTTCAATTTGGACCAGGGGGTGGGATACTTCTGTAGCTGTTTCTCCAACTACAAAGGACCAAACTGCCAATATCCCGGTAAGAAATTGAAAGAAAATCTCTTTTTGTACAGCTATATAGAAAAAAAAATCAATGTGTATCATTATTATACTCCTGAAGGGAATGGATTCTTTGTTTGACTTAACCAATCTGGACACACAATCACTGTGCACTCGTAGAGGCCCCCTTTAATGGCGACAGCATTGTACAAAGCAACTGCCCTGTGACAGATTATCTGAACATAGCTTGCACAATGCGTACGCCATTAAAGGGGGCCTCCGTGTATGAACAGTAATGGGCTGTTCAAATTGGTTTATATGGACCTAATGTTTGTATTTCGTCCTGGACACGTTCCAAGGGAAATTTTCGCTAGCAACTGCTTGACTCGGCAATACTGATGCCTTCATTGCGGGAAGACAGCGGGAAGTTGTTCAGAAACCTGCAACTTATACCCGAAACAGTGTCCGGAACTCGATATAAATTGAGATGGGCCCTTAAGCCAATGTTAGTTGGTATCTAGATAATTTTAGGGTAACCCATGATGTAGAATGTCTCCGTATTCGTGACTTTGTGTTTATTTTCTGGTTTTATTCGTGTGTGTGCTTTGTAGACCCTTGCTCATCCTTCCCGTGTCAAAACAGTGGAGCGTGCTCATCGAACCAAGTTGGCTCAATCTACACCTGCAGTTGCTTGGCAAACTTCCAAGGAATCAACTGTCAATATCCAAGTAAGTCACAGAGCTGTAGAAGACACAGGAAGGACCAACTTGGTAGATTGACTGAGCACCGAAAATATGCTAAGCGGAGAAAATATCCGCTTGAAATTTCATCTCCTGCGCTCTTCAACAAGTTAGATTTTTTTCCCCTAGATGTTTTGAACCCCTACAACTCCTCTTTTTATTTTTGCTGCGTCTGCAACCCTCTGAAAAAAAGTTTTTATTTTGTCCACAAAAAATGCCACCTTACAAGCAGACTGGTTCCCGGTACATACACTATTTATATTGATTATGGGGTGGGAACCTGCCTACCCAGAAAGGATGGGATTATTATCAGGCCCCAAGTATTTCCAAATTTGTAATAATTCAATAACTCAACATGGGCGAATATCTTTTGGTTGTTGCCTCATTTCAAAAGTGAGTAACACACAGGGCGGTTTGGGGCGATACAGGGACTACCAGGTTAACCAGGCATTCAGGTTTTTGAGTTGTTGCAGAAGTGAAGAAGATTATTTTATTTCTATGACTCCAGATCCTTGCAGCTCGCAGCCCTGTCAGAACTCGGGGGTATGTGTACCAAATAGCCTTGGCTCCTCCTACACCTGCAACTGTAACCCAGGCTTCATCGGTGTTCACTGCCAGTTTTCAAGTAAGAAAAGAACCTCTTGACATTGAAAAAAAAAAGTGTAGATTTTGCAAAACACCAGAAAATTGTACATAAACACCAGAAAAAAATGCTTGTAACAGTTGCGTGTTGCCTTTTAACAGTTGCCTGTTCAAACCTCCATGGCATTTTACTACTGCCTATACTATCACATATTGTTTCTTCAAAGTATGGACCTCAATAGGATTCGAACCTCGGACCTCATGGTTGTTTTCACTACATGTTTGTGCGCTTATGCCAGAATGTCAGTGGGATGGTACATCACACCTCATAATTATTATCATCAAAGATACCCAAAGGTAGTAGGTTTTGAACCTCGGACCTCACGATTGTTTACATGCATCTCATTATATAGATATTTTGGAAGAATTCAAACCTCGACTTCATTATTTTCATCACTGATAAAAAAATATTGGTGAGATGGGAACCTCAGACCTCACAAATCTTTTCATTTTCCTATAGATCCCTGTTTCTCGAATCCATGCTTCAATAATGGACAGTGTGCGACAGACAACATCGGCTCTAGATACACATGCAATTGCCTGGCGGGCTACGTCGGCGACCACTGCCAACTCAATGGTAAATAACAAATGTGAAATCTTTGTTTTCAGTTTTTGGTAAGAATTCTGTTCATAATCTTGTATAGCAGGAGAAAATATGCAAAGTAATGGCGAGAGGAAACATGGTACGAATCACTTCAAAGAAAATACTGCATTTTGCGAGGTTTTGTGTTCATGTCTATTACCAATTGTTAACAAGATTAAATGTTTACTTTAGTTCCTGTCTACGAAAAAATTATCTTGTCGTTGGTCATAATTTTTGTTTATTTTCAATTTGTAGATCCGTGCTTGCCAAATCCATGTCAGAATGGGGCCATATGTTCCCTGGCGAACGGCGGACTGAGCTACGAATGTAGCTGCCTCAATGGCTTCTTTGGGACAAACTGCCAAATACCAGGTAAAAAACTTTGAAATTTTGAAAAGTTCTTTATTCTTATGTAATCATAATTGTTTTAGAATCATTTATAGCGTTCATCGAATATTTTTTGTCTTTTTGTAGCCTTGTACATGAATTTTTGACGACTGTTTTTCAGATCCTTGTAATACTCGTCCTTGTCTTAACGACGGTACATGCACGGCCATCAACGGTGGGCTGAACTTCGCCTGCATTTGCCAGCAACAGTACATGGGAAACACCTGCCAATACCCAAGTAAGAATCATATCATCACAAGTCCTCACAATATCTCACAAGTTCTCACAAGTCCTCACAAGTCCTCACGTATCCTCACAGGTCATCACAGGTCCTCACGAGTCCATCACAAGTCCTCATATGTCCTCACAAGTCCTCACAAGTCCATCACAATCTTGAGACGGAGCTGTTGCAAGAACGTGTGATTTACTTTGTAGCGGCGTGTAAATGGACTTAGCTCTGAGGAGCAAGTTCAGGCGAGGTGTATGGTTAACCATAATTCAGCTAACCTCACTCGACCGCAGGATGGGTGGACTACTCTCGTCTACTATTTGGAACCAGAGCCTAGGGCACGGTTCCTTCACTGGTTAATACCAATAGCTGCGCGCATCACAATGCACAGTACGGTGCCAGGACCAAAACGTTTTGTGATAACATTTTGACCATCGTTTGACGAGAGGCGTTCCAACCTTGGTATTAGTAGGCGTACCTTACGTCACAACTCAAGCCCTTCCTGTTGACTAATGATCCTTGCTTGAACTTACCGGAGGCTGTCAGTCCTCATGCTAATTTAAATTTATCTATTAGGACAAACGTTTACACCCAGAATTCTTGCTTGCACGATTACATTCCTTTCTCTTTCAGATCCGTGCTACTCTTTCCCCTGTCAAAACAGCGGGACCTGCGAACCCCACCCCCTGGGGACCAGTTATACCTGTGTTTGTCCGCCTGACTTCCAAGGCCAAAGATGCGAGAACAGAAGTAAGTGTTGACCACCTCAAAGAATGAAATTTCATAGATTTGCAGCATTGCTCATGTTGCTAGCGTGGTCACTTTGTGGTATGATCCCTGGCTACATGGCAAAGGATGGTTTCTGACTAACGCCCCTTGAACAAAGATATAGATCAAATGGGGAACCGCCAACATAGGGTGGATAGCTCAGTTGGTAGAACACCGGAACGGTTATCTGGAAGTCAGAGGTTCAAACCCCGCTCCAGTCAATTTCTTTCTTCAACTTTGAAAAAAATAATATAATACACCCAATCAGTTTCCCTTCGTGGTTTATTTGAAATAATAAACTTGTTCTTGTTTACTGTCCCTAGATCCCTGTTCCTCTAACCCTTGTCTGAATAATGGTGCATGCCAAGTCGGTATCGGAGGTACGTCCTTCTTCTGTAACTGCCCTTCACAGTTCTTGGGACCGCGCTGCCAAAATCTCGGTGAGTATTTCTCTTCAATAAGGCATTTGTGATATGGAATCCATGTCACCAAATTTGTATTTATCCTAAAAAAAAAAATTGTGATGCTCTTTGTGTCAAGTTGTTCACGTCTAATCTCTGTCTTGCCATTGTCTTGCTGTTTTGGGACTTTTTAAATTTCTATGCAAATATAATATACATATTCATGAGAAAGTAGTGATGTCGTACATAGAAAGTTCAGTGTAGCTGCTTTTTGACTATGAATGTATTGTGAAAATTATTATTTTTCATTCAATGAAATCTTGTCCGTTAATAATAAATTATAGCCAGTCCGGGAGGAAACGATGCTAAAATTGCTACAGTGAGCTTCACAAAAGTTGGTAATTTCCACACAGTTTTGTAGAATTGTGAGCGATTGTCTTTAAAATCAACATCACGGCAACCTGTTCGTTAGAAAGATACACTATTTTCCAGTTTTTAATTGTTTTTCCTGTTTATGTTTTTTATCTCAGATCCCTGTCTCTCCACTCCGTGTCTTAATGGAGGTGTCTGCACGTATCAAGCGCAGGGTCTGCTCTACTCCTGTACCTGCCCACCTCATTATTTTGGCATGAACTGTGAAATCCTCGGTGAGCGTCTGATCATGAATCACAAAACCTAACCACTAGGCCACACTCCCCCACACAAATTTGAAACTTTTCTTTAAATTGCCGAAAACCCCCTTGTTGGCTGATTTTGACTGTGTTCCTCTGTGTCACGTCAGAAGGTAGTCAAAATCAGCCAACACCTCTGGATCAGTAGATTTTGGCACTGCTTCCTCTCAAAATTGCACTTGTTTAACAAAACACCTGTTGCACGCTTAGCTCAGTGCATATAAGCCAATCAATTACTAGTAGTGTCATTTGTATAGATAGTGATAGCCTATTTTTTTAATTCTTCACCATTACAGATGCTTGTAGCTCCAACCCCTGTCTGAATGGTGGCATCTGTAACCCATCCTCATTCGGTTTCACTTGCACCTGTGCACCGGGCTATACTGGTACCACCTGCACTATTAGCGGTAGGTTGCAACGTTTTTTGTAGTCCCACTATTTGACCGTGGGGATATGTATGTGGCCTATTTTTTATTGTTAGGCAAATTAGGACTCAGTTATGGGACTTTCTGCTGTCCCCACAGCGTCTTCGGTCCCCATAGTACCATGGGACAACACGTGTGTAGTGTTTATGTCCTGTTTGTTTTCTTTGCTACTTTTTTTAGAGCCTTGCGGCCGCTTGCCGTGCCTTAACGGGGGCACGTGCTACGACAGCACAGGTCCTACTGGCTTCTTCTGCCGATGTACCTCCAGCTTCATCGGTGATACCTGCCAAATTCCTGGTAACGTAGACTCATATCCAGCCGCCTCTAGGTAGCGCTTGCAAAGAGACTTAGTCTGTTATTAGTCGTCTCACAGATAGTTACAAATTGAGACTTGAGGTTAGGTCGCTTGCCTGTATTAGACTCCTTAGACGGATTTATGTTGTTGTTTTGATTTAGTTTTGAAGAGTGCAATTTATAAGTTAAGTTTTATTGAGCTTTGTAGTTTTCTTAAGCACAATCTTTGTTTTAGATATTTGCTGCTGCTTATTATGGATTTAACAAGTTAGTGATATATATATAGTGTTAGTTTATTGCTGAATTTTATGAGATAGTAATCTTCAAATTAGAAAATGTTCATAGATTCAGTCACGTTAATTGTCTGGTGCCTCTGGCATGATGACAGAAATCATGCATTCCAGTGCCTTTTTGTTTAGCGTCATCAAGGAATCAGACCAAGATGGCAGCACTTATGTAAATAGACTCAATGAGATTAATAGTCTGGTACCTCTGTCATAGTAATGTCACCTTGTGCCATTGTGTCGAGTGACAAGCCCGAGATGACTGCAGCAATATGAATAGATGTAGTTATAGAGTTGACATTAACCGCTGTTTTATTCACTTCTGACAGACTTATGCAGCTTTAGCCCCTGTCTGAACGGGGGGACGTGTAGCAACATCCCCGCAGCCAACGATTTTCGCTGTGCGTGCCCATTTGGGCACTCAGGAAAGAGATGTGAAATGTTTAGTAAGTCGCTAGGCACCTTGCTGGTGCTGTATAGAGCATGTGCCGTGGTCATTTAAAATGGTTTTTGGTCCATTGGCAATTTCCTTTTTTCAGTAAAATTTGTCTGAAATGTAATTAGTCAGTGGACCAAACCATTTTAATTTTCCATGGCTCTGTGTTGTGTGCTTAAAGCCATTCCTATCTTTTGGTCTTGTTTTGTTTTTTGTGGTAACATCTGTGACTGTTTGTTTTGCTTCCTCAATGTTGAGTCCGAGCTTCCATAGGGGCTGTAGATGATATGACCCTCGAACTTTGACCCCATGTGACCTCATTTGACTTTATTTGACCTCATGCGGTGATAACCATTAGGCACAGCAGCGATTATTCTCCTGTTGCGGAATACACAGCTACCGCTACTTATTAACAAACAAGGGTCATATCATCTCACTTCCAACTTCCGTTCGCAATGAGCTTTATACGTAGATTGCATTCATTAAAATGAAGCCAGCTATTTTACGAAACATTATTTGTAGTTTTGGAAATTTTGACAAAGGTAAGTTGTCACATGGTAAGTTGGCTTTTCATCTTGACCTCATATCAGAAGGCTGTTGACTTCTTGTTGAAAACTGGCAAAATTGTAATTATATAGTAACAATAACCCTAACGTCCAAGCCATTGTTGTCACAGTTTTTCCATTTCTTGATTGTATATTGCATTTTGAACTGCTTCTAAGTGACAGCATTGGCAAATGTGATAGCCTCACCTTGACTGCCCCCCCCCCAAAAAAAAACCAGATTTGAAATGACTACAAACTCATGTCAACCCTGTCCATTTCATTCAAATTTCACATAATAAAACCTCAAGAAAAAGCCCGGTTTTACTTCCTCAGAACTCAGATCTCTGTTTCATGAAACAATCTTTCGTTTGTCCGTACACCAGACCCCTGCAGCTCCAATCCGTGTCAGAACGGCGGCACCTGTAACAGGGATAGTCTCGGTACGATCTACAACTGTAACTGTGTTGTCGGCTATGATGGTACAAACTGCGAGTTCGGTAAGCAAAACTGTCCAGAAATAAAACTTTAAATAGGGTTGGATCATAGTTAAAGCAAAAGTGAAACTACTTCATGAGCAAAATAGTTGTAGTACTATTGTGACGTGCATGGTTTGTCAAAGTAAACTTCAAGGGACCAGTTATTGTGCACTATTTTCCCAAATAAGCCACTTTTTTTTATTACAACTCATACATATTAACTTCATTATTGCATGATGAAAAAAAAAAAGTTAATAAATTTGTTGAAATAAATCTGTCACACTTCCATGGAATATTACTTTAGTAGACCATTACAAGTAGTGTGTTTGGCTGCTTAATATTCGGTATGAAATATTACACAAATATAACATGGTTTAGGAGTGAATAGTCAATATTAGCTCCCTGAGGTATTGAAAGTTCACAAACTACTTCCTGTGCGATAGTCTACTATGAATGCGTATTTATCCTATGCATAAATCCTCGTGGCTAGACAAAAACTAGTGGCTGACATGTGACGGTGAATGGACCAGTGAGAATTTGAGTCTCGATCATGAATATGTATGAGTTATAGTAATATGACACATGATATCAACTAACAGTCACATAGTCGCCTTTTCAGAGTTATCTGCAGCAACTGTATAACACTAGACTTCAATTTTGTTTTGGTTTTCAGGACCAGGTTGTTTTAGCAGCACCTATTTCCACTGTGTGAGTGGTGAGTGCGTTCCAAGCTCTCGTCAGTGCGATCAGAGTTTCGACTGCCAGGACGGTTCAGATGAAGCTTCCTGTCAACGCCAATGCACCAATCAGGAGTTCCGATGCACAGGCGGGACCTGTATTAACATTCAGCTGGTTTGTAACGGCATCAACGATTGCACGGATGGATTGGACGAACAAAACTGCCGTGAGTACTCATCGATCTTTGTTCATTTTCAAACCTTGCTTGAAAAGTTTTTCATGGAATACCATAGAAGTTTGGCCAGGTGGCAAGGTGGCCTAAGGCATAATTTTTAAAAATGCGATTTTCACAGTGTGTTTTTATTTTTTTTATTTTTTTCAACAACATAAAGAATGGTCTTTCAGTACATTGAAATTGGATTCCTGCCTTTCCCTGTCTCTCACAGAGATTTTTTTGGGGTATTGTTCAGACATTTAGTTGAATTTCAACAATCAGGAATCGGTGAAGAAAAGTATTTTTTTGTGTCAGCTAAAATGCGAAGTGGATTTTTATTTATTCCATTTCTTTACCCAGGGTATGCCCAAACTGTTTAAAACTGGTTTCCATTGGGGCCCTGCATACAATAAATAATGACTACAAACATGTATAATTATACAATACATTACAAATACAATAAAATTCAATACAGTGAGATAAATTATTATCATGATGTAAGCAAACGTGGCAGGGTGATTAGAATTTTTATTAAACCTGGCTGTAAAACTAGCGCTGGACGGCATTAAAACTCAGCAGGGCAGCGTACCCTCAGAAGAACCCCTGATTTCATTTTTCTGTCCTGCTTTACATTATTTGTTCATTTATTTCTTATTTGTTTTCCTCAATTAATTGTTTTGCTTTCTTTAACTATAAAAATAGAGAGAGCCTGCTCGTTATTAGTGTAGTGGGAGCATAATTTCTCAATCTTGTCTATGTGCAATGAATATACCATTTGCATCGCTGTGTTGGATTTTGCCAAATTTATTAAGGTTTCTAGAAAATTTCTTGGAGATATTAATTTAATATCGATCAGAATACACTTATAGTGAATACACTTACAATACAATGATGTGAATTTGTGTCCTTGTAGCGGTGAATTTTACCCCAGCGATTCTGTTTCCAAAGGAAACAATGTCATTATTTAAGAGAAACAATCTAGTCAAATCTGTGTGAATAATCCTTTCAAAACTTCCACATATCTACAAAAATGTGGAAAGCAATTTTTGTCAGTGGTGAAAAGAACAAGTAAATCTTTAGAAGTCAATAATTTTCTTTGAAATCATTGAAATTACTGCCCTTTGGCAGGAACTGAATAAAGTTATAATAAAAGCAGATCCAAGGGAAACAAATAATGACCATGGGAAACGTTTCTGTTAAAAACTTTAAGCTCTGCAAATTAGGTTGTTGTAAAATATTTTGAATTACTAATTAAGATCAGCTGTTCTTGTGGGTTTTTTTTCACAAAGCTGGTAAAAAGACCTCACTAGTTTACTGAAATTGATTTTATTTTAAGTGGTTTTAATTTTTGTGGTGCTTTCTTGTTTAATTTCTGGTGTAGTTTTTGTTTCAGACTTTTTTTCTCTAACTTAAAATTTTTGTAACTTGGGAAATACTGAAACATGCACACCTTAAAAAAATGCCAGACAAAAGCGTGATTTGAAATAAAAGCTTCGTGTGCAATTCTGATTAATTAACTCACAAAGTCAATTTTGACCCAAACTTTTAAATAATTTGCAGAGCATTTCTAAAGAAGCGACTTGTTTTAACTTTCATTCTGCTAAGCCACAAAAAGTGAAGCACCCCCTCAGGAGAAACAGCCGTACTTCTTATGAATCAACTTTTACTGATAAGTTTACTCAAAGGCTAGTTTAGTGTTCCACTGCTTACATACAGCTCAGTTTACTGAGCTGTTTTCAATTGCCTTTCACTGGCCTCCAACCCATATTATATCCCTCATTTAAATATCAAAAGGTCACAGGCTGTGGAGAGGGTACATATTAAAGTTTAGGTTTCAGGAGTCAATCCCCCTTCAAAACTCAAATGGTATGATCTGTCTTTGTTACAGCATACAGCTAACTATGAAGAAAAGGGGTGGTTGGAGCACAATACATTCACCCCGTGGGGGTGTTTTTAAGGATGGGAACACAAGTAAAGTTTTGATTGTTCGTGCATGTATGCCTTTTGGAAATGAAAAAGCTTAGCGCTTCAGTAATCATCAAAGGTTTTGTCAAGGACTGTGGCCGAGTGTCGTTATATCAACTTTTCCTTCTGGCTCGTGTTTGTACTACAAACCGTGGGAATCAGGAGACCTGTTCCACTGTCTGCACTGAATGAAAAGTTAATACTCGGAAGAATAACAAGAAAAAACAAAGACTACAATCATGTAATGGATGTATCATCAGAGGAGAAGCGGAACCGTTGCTTAAAGATTAAACACTGAGTCATACAATTGTATTGATTAGTTGGCGAGAAGTGTAGCATGCTTGTCGGAAGTTTTTAAACCTAAACCAGAAACACATGTAGTGCTGTTGGCATGCATGATACATGTACCGTACTGTGACTCCAGCGAAGCACTGCATGCATTCGTCATGGTGAGCAAAACTGCAGCATCTCGTGGGGCACCAGTTTTATGACGGTGACAGTCCTCTGCTAGCCATGCCTCCGTTCGGTCTGTTTGTCCATCTCTGTGTCATTTATTCCCTGTGTGTTACTTTGATCGTAGCGTCGGCCTGCGATTCATCACCGTGTCTAAATGGCGGCGTGTGCGAAAATGCCGGGACTATCTACATCTGCACCTGTGCCCAAGGATGGACTGGAACAACATGCAGTCAAGGTAAGTGGCAGAATAAAAACTCTTAGTAAATAAATAAAATCATTATTTTCACTAGCCGTACATAATGGTACACTTTGCCAATAAAAATTGTACAAATAGTGTGAAATTCTCCACACTTGTTGATTAAAAAGAATTCTGAAAAATAATTTCCACATATATATTTCCCCAAACCTTTCCTGTTTGATGAAATATTATCTGTAAAAGTTTCTCGAATCGTTTTTAAGGAATTTTTTTCTATTGATCTATCAACAATAGAGATTTTCAGTGGTTGGTACATCTCCGTGATTTGAGTGCAGAGTTTACGGTTGATCAGCTATGCACACAGTCAAGAATAGTCATTTGTTGAATTGGGATTCACGGCTGATTTAAACTTAACTTTGACCAGAATTTACTAAATGTGCAATCAACTTGTACTCATGCATTGTTGTATGCAGGTGCTTCGCATGCTGTAAACCTCTATAGTGGATATAGTGAAAACTTTGAAATTATTTTATTTTTGTTAATAATAACAGTGATAAAAACAGTCAAGCTTCAGACTCTTGCAAAAACTTCTGAAGTACTCTGGAAAGAATCACAAAAAGATTTTTGAATAGCATACATGTATGTTCTTTTGAGCTGAGTTATTTGCGAAGAGAGTATTGAGTTGAAATTGTTGTAACGCATACTGCTTATGGGCAACAGAAATCTGTGGTAATATCCGGCACAGTCATTTATTCCAAACAGCTTCCAAGAATTTAAAGAAGATATAAAACAAAACCTTATTAAAATAACATAAACACTTGATATGGGGGGAAAAAAATTGAAATTATTGTAAACAGTATTGCCTATGGACATCACAGTATGTACACGTAAGCCAATCTTGAGCATCAACCACAGTCAATGGCAGCACCGTGCATGACTCAAAATTTCATCATTTTCTTTTGTTCCTCTAGTGTTTGTAAGTATTGCCAAGATCTACAACACAACTCAAATTGGATTTTCACTGTGTGGGTAACCATGTGTGTTTTGCCCCGGGGCGATTTTTCCTATCGAACCTCTACCAAGAAAAATCCATATACCCAGACGTTTTCATTGAGAAAATCTGCCTGAGTCTATAGAGGACGTTGTATGTATATTGTGACTTGACTGCTTCCTATTGCGACAGTAATTGCTTCATTGTATTCTTTTGTAAGAGCCTAGTGTAACTCGATAAATTGTTGTTTTTGAGGTGTTTTTAATTGTTTCTTTTCTCCCGCAAAACTAGGCCTTTTTGGCAAAAGAGCCTGTTGCAAAAGTTGTCCATTTTTTTTAAAATTGGGATTGAAGTCCATTTTTTGTTAAGAACAGAGAATGCTCACTAGTTTAAAGTTACAACACAATGTTAAACTTTAATAAGCAGATTCAGAAAAGTTCCTAGCAAAATGTATTTAATTTAAAGAAAATCTTCTTTTCATTTCATCAGGATTTTTTTTATTCAGTCTTCATTCTAGAAAAGAGTTACATAATCCAAAATATAAACTGTTTTTGAAAATAGGTAACAAATAAAAAAAAGCCAGACTATCCGAACACATTTCTACAATTGCTACGTCATTACAACTTACAAGCAAGGGTGGGGTCTGTCTGTGTCTTACCAAACAGACTTCAGCACACGTACCTATTGTAAAGGCAAACAATGCAACATACCGGCTCCATTACATGTTAACATCATAAATGTTTGATTTTTAATGAGTCGGATGTGCACAAGGGATTATCATTTTACTTGCTATCAAACACACTGCGCAGGGCACTATTTTAAGAAACAGTATGACCATTACTTGGAGGATAGGTCAGGAAATGTAAAAAACCAGAAAGTGTTTCCAAGGATGAATGAATATATCACAATTCAAATGAAAAAAACCAGAATAGATGAATTACTTTCTAGTGTCCCTTGTATACATTTCATTGTAAAAAAAAACCCTTTGGGGCCATAAAACAATTGTTCATATGTACAGATTTGAGGTACTTCTTCCCCCAACCTCCTTTTTAAATAATTTTTTCTATGGCAAGCCAGAAAAAGTCAAGATAGTTTAACATTAAAAAAAGCTCTCCAATGAAAAGAATTCTCGCTGAACTATTGATGAAAGTCAACACTACATAAATTGATTGGACTACCTAAACCCTGCCTCTCCAACCTACAAAGGCCGTACATACACACCATTATCATGTTACCCCACATGCATTGATTACTCTTTTCAACGTTTCATCCTTGAAAACCAGAACAGGATCCTTAATAAACCTCCTCGGTGTTTTTTGATAAAGAAAAGTTCGCCAGAAATCAATTTTTAATTCTCCCTTGTCCTCGTATGTGTCATCACACCGTGTTAAATATGCTCGTTTATGATTAAACATTTATAACGCTTATGGTGTGCGTGCTGTCTTCAATATAAATAAATATTGGGTTACTGTTTACCAATAGTGGGGCAGATAGGGGAAGTATTTGGGGGAATTGTGCCTTTGCATGGCATTTGGCACAAGGTATGTCTTTAAGAAGGATATTTGCCTATAGGGCCATTGCAGATTTGTCCTTTGAAAAAGTATAGGTAGAATAACAAACAATTTCCAAAAATAGCTGCCATTGCTTGTTATTCGACCTAATTTTTTTCAAAGGACAAATCTGCGACGGCCCTATATTCAAATATCTTTCTCATGACATACTCTGACTGTGTGCCAAATTCCATGCTTCCTTTACTACAACTAAAATGGTGAATTCTGTTTTGAAAGGAAAATGCGCTATTTCTGTTGTCTGCTCAAGCACTATTAAAGGTGTGTAACTTAAGGTATCTGATACAGCATGTACAGTGAATGTACGCATGCAGAGTTTATGCCCATTAAAAACTGTAAAGCTGTAAAGCTTAAGTTTGGATAATTTCTGGATATTTCCTTCATTCGGCAAAAAATGTCCCTTCCTATATCCCTTGCATTTCATTATGTTTAATCCTGCACAACAATCATCCCATTAAAGGCAGTGTTCAAAAGAAACTCTTTTTGAAAAGTACGTGTAGGGCATCTAGTTGACAGCTCATACTGCTTTCGGTTTTAATAGTGAACAGATGTTTGGGGTTAAAGCCCTTGTTGCTGTATTCAGGAACTAACCATTGAATTACTAATCCTGGGCATAGACATGGCCTAGACCATCCATCAAACTGGGCATTCAATGGTCCATGGCATGATTTCTGCTTGTGGGGCCTACCTATTGAAAATCTGAAAAGGCTTGTTTATTACAACTTTGGTGAACTTTTAATCCAAAAAAATAAAGGGCACGTAAACTGAAAATGAAAACTAAACTTTTCTTTAACAGCAAACTTGTTTTGGGAAACATGACGGAAAATAAATTCTTCTTTGGGGATGGAGTGAAGAACAGATGTAATAAGTTGGCAGTGTTGGATTTTTAAAAACTATTTACATGTAAAAATATAATTTCTAAAAACAATTCTGTCCCTGCTTTTTCCGTTAGCATTTGCCACATGAAAAATACATAATAAATGGGAAACATTTGTTTTAACTTGGAAGTGCTTAGGTTTAGAATGTAATAAATTTCGGAAATGGATATTAGACCTTTTTGAAAGAGAAAGAACACTGGCGTTATGAGTTCGGATCTGTTGTTGAAGAATTGTCTATGCTATGATTAATAGTTTTACAACCAGCACATGGTATGTAGAAATCAAAATACTTGAACTGAAGAATATATATAACAAAATGTGAAGTGTTCGGACTTCATGTAACCCTGTCCACATATTTGTCATTCTGTTGACGGTTTATACCCCCAATGCGCTTAATCAATAATGAGGTTTTTGAATGATAACAAGTTACAGCATTTGGTGTGGTCCCAATAATCCTGATGATGCCGTGCATGGATCAATAGAACTGTGCATTCCTGCTGAGTTTCAGTAATGGGCAACAATGTTATCGGGATGGTATATAGCTCAGCTGAATTTCCTGAGCTGCTTAAGCAGAAAATATTATTAAAGGAAAAAATAATGCGAGCAAAATTCTGCTGCTTACTGGTCATAAACAATGTGTATAAATTATATGACATTTTGTGCAATATGGTTTTTTGCTTAGCAGATTTTTGAGGATTTTTTTTTTTTTTTTTATATTTTGTTATTGCTTTTATCCCAAAAGGAGTTAAGCTCATAAAGTGGAAGCTTGCTTGCTTACTGTAACTTGTAAAGTTACATTGTCCTTTTTAAAAATGAAATTACAAACCTTTCATAAAAGCAGAATCTCAGTATTGAGAAACCTCTGCTCTACTGGCCACAGCCTTCGACAAACACCAATTTATATTCATGAATTGACTTTTCATATCTTGAAATCTTTGTACTCAAAGTGTTTGCTTGCTAAACACGGAAAATCACCAAGACAAACTCTTCACAGTTTCACCGCCCGGCACGAAAGGCATCCATCCTGCTCAATTTGCCTTTCAAAACACAAGGCCCACGCAACAATGGAGGATCAAACAAGAAATCTATATATTGCTCTTGCTACACAAGAGTCTTTTGTTACACTGAAGATCTCCTATATAGCCCTAGCTTCATAATTGGTTTCTTAAAAGTGAAGTGCCAAGTGATTAGGTTTTGGTAACAACACCAGTTCTTGTAAGCTCTTGTATTTTACAGTATAGTAATGGTTATAATGTCATCTATCTGTAGTGCATCGCAACTCGAACATTTTGAAAACTGAAAGAAAGTCACACAGATGATATAACAGGACTTCAAATCCCACTAGATTGCTAGTGCTTTCTCTGACCGAACCAGACTAGGGGTTTACTTTTTGTTATTCCACAAGACTGGTCATTTATATTAACAATATGTCAAACGCTCTCATGGGCGTCGCCAGGATTTTTTTCCGGGGGGGGGGGGGGGCAAAGCAAATTTTTCCCAAACACTCCTTAACTTTTTCATTATATTCTCAATTTATCATTTTTCTTTTTTCTGAGCATGAGCAGGGGAGCATTTGCCCTACCCCCCCCCCCCCCCATCAAATTAACAGCAATATGGCTTCGCACCTCTTTTACCCTTTTTTCCCCTTTTTCCTTTTTTTCCCTTTTTTTCCTCCATTTTCAAGGGGGGGGGGGCAAGCGCCTCCCCTTGCCCCCCCCCCCCCCCCCCGCAACGCCCATGAATGCTTTGTTTCAAGTTGTATTGGACTAGAAAAAAAACGTTCATTCATGTTTGTTGTCTTTTCAAGTTTAATTTCCCTATATTGTATATTACTTGATTGGCACCTGTCACAAAAACATCTTTTTTTTTAACCAGTTTGCACTGGGATTATTTGACATGAGCGAACCCAGGTGCGGGATTATTTTTACAGACCTCGATGCCAAACCATTTCTTAATGGCTGTGTTGTGTTTGTTTGTTTTTTGTTTCAGTGGTGAGCAGTTCAAACGATCCGCCATCTTTCGTAAATCAAGTGATATCGATTGAAATCCGGGAGGACACTGTGGCAGGTAAGTTTAGTCAAGATATATTTGTAAACTTTCCTTCTTGTGAACTGCATTACAAAATACACGCTGAAAATTAAAATCATCAAGTACACAATAAAAATCCACTACTTGGTACATCAGTAACCAATCAGAGTTGAGATAGCCTTGAACCATCCCAGGGTGGGGTTGACCCTGGGAATGAGGTTGACACTCCCTGGCATTCAAACAACTCAGGTGTGTGAAATCTCAGCTTTTTAGCTGATTTCAGCTTTTTTTCTTTTGGATTTCAGCTTTTTCCCCTCACTTACTGTGTACAAAAGTATAGGAGATTTCCAAAGTTCAGCTTTTTTACACCTTTTTCAGCTGTTTTCAGCTATTTTTATCAGTGGTCACTCACACCCCTGACCACTGTAGCTTTCTTACTTTTTAAAACTGTCCTCATACCTTCAGGTACCACTCTTGTTGAACTCCGTGCCACTGACCCTGACAGCGACACTTTGACCTTTGGCCTGTACGACTTCACCGCCCAGCAGCTCTTTGTAATTGTTCCAAACCCAAACGACCCCAAGTCTGCGTTTTTGACCCTGAAGGGGTCGCTAGATAGAGAGGTATGCGTTATTTAATTTTTTCAATTGTTTGTGTCTTTCAAGATGGCTTTTCATAAACCAAAACAAAAATTAGATAAACTGTTTACAGAAATATAATATTTGCTTTCTGAAGTCTTGATAAATAACTGAAACATAAAATATACTCCCAAATCTTGTTATCTTTTATATTCATCATTTTTTCAGAACTGTTTATTTCATTTTTGAAGACTGACTCCGAAAAGAGAGGTTACATTAGAATTTACTAAACTCCTGATGCTGTGACATTTTACTGTTGACATTGTCACCAAACTCACTTTCAGTACAGTAGTAATTTTCCACTTTTGGTGGATTTCTCTATCTTTTTCATAGCTGTGCACATTTACTTTTTTCATTTTAGGTTCAATCCGACTACACTTTTGTAGTTTCAGTTACTGATGATGGAGGAAACGAGGTAGGGTCTGTTTTCTGTTGCATTAATAAAATAAGAGTGATTCCCAAATAAGAATAAATTAAAAATACATTTTATCTTAATGCTAAACTGACGGTTGTTCAGGAAATGATTTGTTACATGTATAACTGCACTTGGTCAAATTGATTTCCCCTTGTACAAAACTGGTGAATTTTTGCCGTTCACCAAACTTCGTTATCACCTCTAGCTCTGCCTACCAGAATCGTTTCAAGTTGTTTACCATTAGAACCAAACAAAAATAGTCCAGAGCGTTATTTTCACATAAGACGATTTGTTGTTTCTTTTGAAGATGAAAACGAAGGTTTTAAAAGCATGTTTTGTACTCTCGGCTCTGTATTGTATTTTTCTTATACAGGTTATTCACAGTGGCACGTTGCTTTTGTCTGATGTTAACGACAACGCACCGACATTTACTAATCTTCCTAACGTCACCACCGTCTACGAGAACGCTAATGTTGGCTTTCAAGTATTCTACGTGGACGCAACGGACCCTGATCTATCCCTAAGTGGCTTGGTCACATACACCATTACCGAGGTAAGGTTTGGCCCCTCACCAAAGTGATTTCAAATGCTGTCAGTGTCGGAGCTTGTGATTGGACAAAATGACTACTGTGGGAATTGAACCGATTACCTTCTTTTATTGAAGCAAATGTATTAATCGCTTGACCACTGATGTATTTGCAATGTTTTGCAGGGAATGGACGCGCCTTTCTTCATCAACTTATACAATGGTATTGTCCATGTGACGGGTCCTCTCGACTATGAGACAGACCAAGTCTACAATTTGGCCATCACGGCATCGGTAAGTCATGTTCTTGTGTTGTGTTGTAGTATTTTTTGAAAGTGGTGTATCTTATTTCTAGTAAAAATGTAAACCCCTGATTTTCAAAATGGGAGGCATTTATGCCAAAAGTCAAAAATCAAATCATAAGTCAAGACAGAATTAATACCAGCAACTAGTCTGCTGATTTTGATGGATGTTGAAGGACTACATACTGTTCATAAGATGAAATATGTTTTGCCCTGCACCGACGTATAAACACTGTATACTCAGTGTTTCACCTCCCGAGTGAAAGTTGGAAAAAATCACTCGGGTGGGACTCGAACCCACGTTGACATGCTTTCTAGTGCGGACGTCTTACCACTCGACCACCGAGCTCGGTTGGCTGGTTGGCATCTGATGTACATGTAGCAGCGGGTACCGCAATTAAACTATTCATAACATGAATTTGCGTTGGGGTGATGTAAATCAATATTAGATTTTGCCCTTCACCGACTATATACTGCAAACATCTTCAGTGTTTGATACATGTATTTATGAGAATATTAAAAACGATTCAACTTTTCTTTTAACTCTGCTTTATTAGGACAACAAAGTACCATTTCATGAGGTTGGTATCATTGTCAAGTGTACTCACAAATCATGAGCTTGCCGTGTATGTGGCTGTGTTTTAAAGGGAATATACAACATTTGCTTTTGCTGTAATTTTCAGAAATGGATGAATTTGGGGTTAGTATTTCATAGCAAATATTGTTACACTGAATTGTCGGCCGACTATCATTGGAAATCTGATACAAATTAAATTCAACTTGAAAATGACAGCACACCAGGTGCCATGATTTTACAGGATGCTTTAGACTGTCTTTCACTAACAGTCCAGTAAGGTATTTCATAATAATTTTGTATTTTTGTTTTTGATGTTTGCAAATGTTATGCACACCCTTTAAATGATAATCACCCAAAAAACTGTCCTGTTGGTTTTAATTGAACAGTTCTGAATTCCTTAAAACATCCTTTTTTGGGTTACTTTTCTTATTTATATCCGTTTGTTTATTTGGGTTTTTTGGGCAGAGATTTGTACTTTGCTCCACAGTGCTGTTTTGTTTGTCCGTTTTTTTTTGGGGGGGTCTGACTTAACACTTACTAACAGAGAGTAAGTTTGTTTTCATAGCCATGAGTTAATAAAAAAAAACTGGCGCTTTTGGCTAGAAATGTTGATGCTGTGCTATCCCACTTTCCCCGGGGTCCACTTGTCATTCATGCAATTTCCTATGTACTGAACAGGACCAGGGTACCAACAGCCTGAGCACCACAATGAGGCTGACGATACAAGTTCTGGACGTGCAAGACACGGGACCAATTTTCATCGACACGCCATATGATAGGACAATCAACGAAGGAACGCCATTGGTGAGTCTCATTCCATCCGCTGCCATCTACATACAGTAGATGGCACTATGTGATCTCTCGTGTGAGAAATGCAGCATCCTACGCGTATATGGGTTCTTGCGTGTATGATGCGAATTGCGCATGATGAATTTTTGTGTGAAAGCCATAGTGTCTTTGCATGAGCACTGCGCGTACAGCAGCTGTGATGTCAACCATCAACTCTTTCTTGGGGGGCAATGTTGCAAGGGTGCTTGTGCGGGGAGTCTATTGGCTCTGTGAGCCAACAAAAGAGGGCGCCTCGTTACCACTTTGGAGAGACCTGTGGACAGGCACACAGCGTGTGTGTACTGTACTGGTTTGCATGCAAAGTACGCACGACTTACTTATCCTAAATGTGCCAAAGCTAAGCCATAGCATCTTCCTGTGAGTGTCGGGCGTCGTCAGCGAGCGTTCAAATTTCTCTTTCGCTGGTCTCCCAGAGTAGTACCCCGATAACTATGGATGTTTTCAAGGTACGCAATGGATGGACAGGGAACCAGTCTAGGTCTTCTCCAGCTCTCCTTTTCTGGTTGTTGAAGGGGCACTCTAGCACGGAGCCCATAGGTCCCATTGAAACTTTGGCCGAAGAGGTCCTTATTGACCATAAAATGTAATGAGATAAAGATTAACTGGAAAATACATTGCAAAATTTAGAATGGAGGAGGAAAATATACATTTAGGGATTAAAGAAACAACTGCGACTTGCTGGATTAGTCTACATTTTGGGAACGGTGTTCATTTCTAACAAGTTTTATTGTTGAATCTTTTTTTCTCTTTTATTAGAATACCGTTGTGGTGACAGTAACAGCGGTGGATCAGGATACCGTCAATGCAAATAATATCACCTATACAATCCTCGCAGGTGAGAAACCAGACTATTTTATCAGTTGGGACCTGATTTCATGGCTGTGCTGAACATGTAGCACCTGTAATACATTGTATTACACCAGTAATACATTGTAATACACCTGTAATACATTGTAATACACCTGTAAAACATTGTATTACACCTGTAATACATTGTATTGCACCTGTAATGTATTGTATTACACCTGTAATGCATGGTATTACACCTGTAATGCATTGTATAACACCTGTAATGCATTGTATTACACCTGTAATACATTGTATTACACCTGTAATACATTGCATTGCACCTGTAATACATTGTATTACACCTGTTGTATTTATTCACAGAAGAATGCATACAACTGCAGAGTGCTCGGGTGGTTTGGGGCGCTACAGGAAATAATGGATTAAATTTGTTAACATCTTGAAGATGGCTTGTTTAATTAACCTGTTTTGCATTTAAAAATCAGACTTTAAACAATACTGAAGTAGTCTTTAATTGTACATTTCTCTCTGTTTCTCTGCAGGAAACATGGGCAACTATTTCAGCTTGGATGAGACCACCGGGCAACTCACATTAGTCAGAGAGGTCGACAGTGAAAATCTCAACACACCATCATCAGTGAACATCATTGTCAGGGTAAAAAGGAAAAAGAAGCTCTAGATTAGTTCAGAATAACTTATTTGGTGTTCCTACTCTTCATGCACTCAGCAAGATTTTCTAAGCAGATTTTCTAAGCAGAAATAGTTCAATTGACACTGGTCCCAACTGGTTGAAACCGGTTCTAGCTGGATCTAAACTGGTTTGGGTTGCACTGTTGTTCCTTAACAGGCCATTGAGACGGGTACAAATGGCGGCACATCAGCTGTCAACAATTTCACCATCACGATTAATGATATTGACGATGAGCCACCTTTGTTCAACCAATCAACGTACTCGGTCAGCGTGTCTGAGGCTGAGAACCCAGGCTTTGTGTTGCCAGTTGGAATCCAAGTCAGCGATGGTGAAATTGTAAGTGTTTCACGTTTGCTTTTTGTGAAGATTAACCCAAACAATAAAAAAAAACATCTGGGGGTTTCAAAATAAGTAACATGTTTCTTGGTTGACTCAAATCCTATATGCTAATGAAATATACCGGCAACTGTTTTTATCAATGCCGGGATTGGATCGTAATAATGTGGCGGCAAGCACTCATTTTCTACAAACAACCATTTTGTCATAGTGTCATTTCGTAATGAATATATGAATATTAATCTTCTATGTAATTGTGATGGAATTCCATGGAAATTTTCACGACATGAGTATTTACTATTTCATCAAAAGTCATGAACGGCACTAACATTCCTGTACTACCTTAAAGCAGTATACAATTTCCAAACACATTTATCTATTGAAGTTTAATGATTTTATGTCCGTGTTCCAGACGATTCAAGGCAATTTCCGCATCACCCTCCAAAACAGCAACATCGTGCCATTTTCGGTCTCCCCCTCGTCAGCAGTGGACCAGACCAGAGTCACCGTGACTCTGATTCGTCCGTTGGACTATGAGACCACGAAGAGCTACGACCTAGTGGTAGGTGAAACGTTGACTGTAGGGGCTTGGCAAGAGGGCGTTGTTGGGGGAGGAGAGACTGCCCTCCATTCGTTGTAGGCAACATCATCCTTTTCAGCATAATGGTGTAACTTCTATTATTTTTCAAAAGTGTGTCTAGTCAGTTTCCTGCTTTCGTTGATTTGATGATTTTTACTCTTTTTTCTGACCTCCCAGATTAACGCACAAGATACGGCCACCAGTACTGCTACAGTTGTTGTCACGGTAACAGATGCCAATGACAACGACCCCATCTTCACTCATGGTGAGTATATGACTTGTTGAGCATTTGTTCTTTTCTTTAGTAAAAGTGTACACAGATTGCCGAATCTTGCGATATTCTTGTTCATGTAATAAGAACCCTCCCTTTCAACATTCCTGGAAATTGTTTTAAAAAAAATGTTTTTTTCCCCCCTGCGATTTGTTTTCCTCTTGAAGGCACCCAGACGATAGCCTTGGAGGAAGGCGCACCAATGAACACCATGGTTACCACGGTAACGGTAACCGATGCAGATGAGGGCATCAATGAAGAGACCGAGTTCAGCATCATTGGTGGCAATCAGGAGGTATGGTCAATTGTTGCAAACATTTGAAGAAAATAGGGCATTCCATTAGTTTCATTAAAGTCGGAGACGAGGATATTTGTATAACTCCAATTCATTTCACTGCCACTTTACCACATTTATCGTCTTCTCTCGTAGGGTTTGTTCACTATTAACCCAACCACTGGCGTGGTCACGACAACCTCAGTCATCGACTATGAAAACTCGGCGAGAACATACACACTGACAGTACAGGCACGCAACACCCAGCCTGCGGTATCGCCAGCGTAAGTCTAATAAAAACTGACTTAACATTGAGTTCCATGTGCTATTTCCGAGTTTCATTTTCATCCTGAACTATAGATTCCTTTTCTAAATTTCCATTTTTCTGGCAATACAAAAGGTTTTTTTTTTTCATTTTTGAATGAGACATCGAGGAAAACATTTGGCCCATGTTTTCCACGATTGAATTAATACTTTTACAACTTGGAATTATTGGCTGCCAGATATAGACTGGTTTCCACCCCACAATCAGTATCGATAATGTATGGTCCGGAGTCAGTCTGCTCACAAAGCATATCTGTTTCTACCCTCCGAACCGTCTGAACAAAACCTTGGTTTTTTTCAGAGGGCTGCACTGAGAAGGCAAAAAAAAGAGGGTTTTTTGTTGGAAAAAAATTGAATTTGTTGAAGAGCACAGAGATCTAATCTTTAAGACAAATTCCAATTTGTGTGATTGTCACTTTCCCTGTTTGCTTAACCTTTCATAAAACAAGTTTTTTTTTACACTTTTTGTTCTTTACAAATTTGGCCGTTCTTTTTCCAGGGATGGTGTTAGTGAAGTCACTGTGGTAGTGACCATTACAGATATCAATGACAGCCCGCCGGTATTCCAACAGCCAAACTACTTGATACAGATCATTGAGGTGAGACCTAATTCTACGTCAGAATTTAAAGAGTGCTTTTAAAATTGAGAATACAAAATCAATTGAATATGGATTTTTGGGGTGCTGTTTGGCATATTAAATAATTAGCTATCACAGAATAAAACACCCTTGCAAAGTGACCTCTTTTATTGTACAAAATGGTGAATTTGATACTTGGAGTAACGGAAATTTTTATCTGAGGAAAAGTGTGATGCCCCAGTTTCAAATAAAATCTGTTCTTTTTACTCCCATTTCACACAAAATCAGTTTGTGCTGGAGGTAAGATGAGAGAAATGTATACGTCACCATGTTTGTCGCATCCCTGCCTACCCCCCTCCTAGGATTTGAACAAACCAATTGTCACCTGTATTCTTAGTTAATTAATTAATTATTTTTTTGTAACACAACAAGTTTACAATAATACTTAGCATTAACACCCACCAAACATCCTTATAATTTGTTCATACGACACACGTGTTATGATGTGCAGGGAAAAAGGTATCCGTTGGTTAAATAATTATTTTAACTATTAACTTAAAAGCAAAATATACCCATGCGACAATTAAAATGAACTTAACAATTCACATTGAAACATACCAGTGTTAAACGTCTTGTATTAAACTGTTAACAGTGAAAACATACCATTACCTTTTTTTGTCATGTGGTTCACTGTAAACAGTCTCATGAAGGGATAAACATTATAGGCAGTGAAGAGAGGTCAATAAAGAAAACAGGTCTTAAAATATACTAACTACCCCTCCCTTTTGGTCAATGCCCCTCCTTTCATATCACATGCCCCACCCTTTTGTCAATGCCCCACCCCTTTTTGTCAAGTCTGAGCAAAACACGATATGAATATGCGCATCTTTATTAAGTTGTGAACCAACATCACCAAAATATGCACTGTGCACGTTTTGGACGCCGTGCTTCAACAGCAGAGGGCGCTCTGTAACTTGGCAACAAGATCCCATGTGAAAGACACTTGCACTTCACTGGTCCGCATACACACACGTCATCGTTTGTTTAATGTATGCATACCAGGCAAAGCAGATAGACTGGTTTCCGCATGTTGTTGTGTCTCTGATACATGCATGCCTTTCCCTCCTCACAGCTCTCGGATACCGGTCTGACCATTGGCCGTGTGATAGCTGACGATGCGGACTCTGGAGCCGCTGGCGAGGTGACCTACACCATCCTCAGTGGCAACGACGATGGTAAGCTGACATTGCTGACATCTTAACCCTTAACCTTTAACCTTTCACAGATGATGTATTTGCATAACGGTGGCTTGAGCATACCACATTAAATGTTTAAAAGAAGGTGGGTTTTCACTATCATTCATTGGTAGAAATGAATATTCATTTTATGGAAATGAAGCTATGACATCACAATGAGCCCCTGTGGCCATAGATTAGGGTAAAAAATCTTGGTTGTTTTTACACCGGTATAAAAAATGTCACAGAATTTTGGTGTGTGACTAAAAAGAAACTTTGAATAATTAACATCATTTAGACTAAAAACCTAACTTCTTTTCTTATTAGTCTTCAAACTTGATTTTGAGAGAACTATTTCATTTTTATTTTTCATAATTATAGGAACTTTCTCGGTCAATCCGGGCAATGGTAACATTGTCCTGTTGAAGCCTCTTGACCGCGAGACCGTCCCAATCTACAATATCACCATCCGGGCTCAGGACAATGCAGCGCCCCCACTCAGTGCCACGACATACGTGGTCATCGAGGTGCGCGACTTTAACGACAACGACCCGCAGTGGGTGACGAATCAGTACGCAGCGTCCGTGGTTGAGGGACAACCAGCTGATACATTTGTCATCCAGGTAGAACTCCAGAAAATACATTTTTGTCGTTGATGGAATTTATACCTAAATTTTATAAATCGATTTAAACAATCTTTGGTTACCAGTTCTGACGCTTATGACACTGCTAACACTGGTTCCCTGCAGGTAATGGCCACGGATGCCGACATTGGCTTGAATGCATTGCTGAGGTACGAGTTGGCAGTCCCCAGCCAGTACTTATACATCAACCAGACATCTGGGCAGATTTACACCAGGGTGCCGCTGGATCGAGAACAGACAGAAACGATTGTAGTTAACGTCCTAGCCAGAGACAGTAAGTTTGGAATTTAGTATTTAGCTTTCTTTCGTGATTAACCCAAATGCCTTTAGCACTTTGATTTGGAGCCTTCCTGAATCCTCCAATGCTGGAACCCAGTGGCACACTCTTTATACCTACCAAGTTTCAAGTCATCAAGCCCCATGTAAAGTAATAGGGGCTGGGCTCTACCTTCCTCAATCCTACAAAATTCTCCAAAATCTCTTGGTGGTTTTTGATGGAGGGTCAGGGTTGGTAAAAGTCAATCATAATTTGTTGATTTTGATCTTCGTGAATTTTTGGAAGGTCTCTCTTGAATCAAAAAAATTCCATCTTTTGCAATATACGTCTGTCATGTTTTATGTACTGCCATAATCGTATGAAAATTAAACAATCAAAATCGGCTTCCCTCACCCCCAATTTTTTGTTTACGTTTGTTGATCATTTCTCCTTTTTAGGTGGTAACCCATCGCGCTCCTCAGCCCAGCTTGCTGTAGTCACAGTCACCGTGCTGGATATCAATGACACACCGCCCACGTTCACTGGTGCCCCATTCAGGTTTGAGGTGGCCGAAAATGAACCAGCTGGGACATTTGTGGGAGAGGTCAGTTTTCCTGTTTTCATTTCATTAGAATTAATCAAACGTTTCCCTAGAACTTTACCCTGAACTTTCTTAGTTTCCTCAAATGTAAAAAAAAATGGTGCACTGCGCTCAGTTACATGTGCGTAGATGTTTTCACAGAAAAAGAAACTTGAAATGAATTTTTTTCTTGTAATTATTATTTTTTTGACAGGTGACAGCAAATGACCCAGATACCATTGGCACGTTGGTTTACACCTTCACGTCCCCGCAAACCCAGTTCCTAATCGACCAAGCAAGCGGTCGCATCACAACCATCAACTCGCTAAACCGTGAGCAGCAAGACCGGTACGAGGTGGAAGTTCAAGTCACGGACGGGACGTTTGAAGCCACGGCAGATGTCGTCATTGTGGTGACGGACGTGAACGACAACCAACCAATGTTCAGCCAAGCGATATATCCAGTGACGGTTGTTGAAAATACGCCAGCTGGGATCATACTAAACCTCATGGCTAATGATACAGATATAGGTAAGATTTGAAAAACAAGAAAGTAATTTTTTTTTTGTTAATCATCAAATAAACCACATTCAGGTTCAATGAGAGAAATTTGCTTGAAGGATACCTGAACTTGTGTCCCCTGGAACATCGTGGGGGCACTTTTCAACTGAGCTGTGTATTATTATTAATAGATCACTGTATTTAAATGCAAAAATTCCTTTGTAACTTACAGGCCTTAACAGCGCTATCATCTACCAGTTTGATCAGTCCGGAAACACCCCAATAGGTCCCTTCTTTCTGGATCGGGTTACCGGTGCACTGAGGACTACCAGCCCCCTTGACCGTGAAACCCAGGACTCGTACACTTTGGTCGTCAATGCGATAGATCGAGAAGGGGGGACAGGCAGCTTGCAGGCCGTGGCCACTGTTCTCGTCACGGTGACAGACGTGAACGATAACCGGCCTGTGTTTGATTTCCAGAACTATGCTGACACGGTGCCTGAAGACGCGGCCGAGGGGCAGGAGATTATACAGGTCCGTAGACATTAATCCGTTTGACAAGTTGCTCCGTTGGTAACTACATGTACATTTACTCTCTTTCAAGACAAGAGTCTCAACTCCAAATTCTATTTTATTGCTTCAGAATGGCCATTCACTGGATGTCTTTTTTAATCCCACCTCCCTTTCAGGTTGGAGCCACCGACAGAGACATCGGTGACAACGCCGTCATCTTGTACCGCATCATCCAAGGCAACAATGACAACAACTTCCAGATCGATGCAACTAATGGCATCATCTCACGAGGCCCCACACCACTGGACAGGGAGACCAAGGATTCCTACGTCCTGACCGTGGAGGCTTACAATGATGGTGATCTGCCTCCTAGAAATACTGGTGAGTCTCCCAAATAGCTATATTTTTGAATGAATATTGCCATTTTTCTGTGTACTGTAGAAGCCTGTTCACCAAAGTAGTTTCGTACCTTTGCGTAAATTAAAAAAATATTGAATTCAGTGAATCTAATGTCCTGTATCTTGACTTCACAGCGGCTGTCACCATCACCGTCACCGACGTGAACGACGAGGTGCCGCACTTCACTCAGGATGTCTACCTGAAGCCTGATCTGCTAGAGAATGCCGACGCACGTACCGTGGTGGCAACGGTGTCAGCGAATGACCCGGACTTGGGACAGGGCGGACAGATCCTGTACAGCATCACTGGTGGTGAGTGGCTGCTCTTATTCATGATCAATTGAGGGCGCTATAACAGTGTGTTTGTCTAGGGGTAATTGGATTCTATAAATTGTTATTAAACTCGGTTTGAACTTGGAAGGATTCTTATATTGGGCTGAAGACGAAGTCCAACCCCAAGGTTTAGCCAAGATTTCATAAACTCCCTGTCTTTATAAAAACCATGATAGAAATCCATTGATGAAAATTCTCGCCTCATAAAATTCTAAATTGAGTCTTTTTTGTCATGTCTTTTTTGTTTTTGATTACCAGGCAACGATGGCAACCATTTCATCATCGATTCCGTCACCGGCGTCATCAGGGTACTCGGTTCCCTACCAGACTACAGCATCAAATCAACCTACAATCTGACGGTCACGGCGCGGGACCAGGCCCAGCCTTTCCATACCTCCCAGGCTAGAGTCATGGTCCTGCTGGTCGACGCTCAGGATGACCCACCGGAGTTCACCATGACGCGGTACGAGGTCAACTTGACGGAGAATGTCGGGGAAGGGTTCCCGTTCTTGCAGGTGAAGGTCAACTCTTATACATCTTTTTTGTATTACTTGTACTCATACTTGAGTGCTTTTTGTACTCATTCTCATCAAGAAATACTCACAAGAAAATGTCCTTTATACTCCTACTCATAGCAAAGTAATCAATACTCAGAAATGTACTCGTAGTATTTTCTCATGTATTCATCTTCCATGGTAGAGCACTCATTCTCATGGCAAAGTACTCGTACTCATGGCAAATTATTCAACTACTGATTCTTGTACTGGTATTTGCAAAGTATTCAAATACTCGGATTTGTTCTCATGGCAGGCAAAGTACGATATTACTCATTCTTGTTCTCATTGCAAAATACTAAATATTCATCACAAAGTACTAAAGTACTGATACCCATGGCCAAAACACTCCTGTATCTAGTTTTCTACAAAACGCCCATGATTCACCCTCATTGCTGGTCTGGCGCCCTCGTTCGTTCATGCACATCCGTACTTCATGTACTGAGCATCATTATTGTATTCCATTTTGCAGGTTATGGCCCAAGTACCAGGCAAACCCAACAGCATAGTCACCTATAGTCTGGATTCCAACGTCAACCCATCTATACTCCAACTATTTGACGTGGACCCTATAACGGTAAGCCACGCCCGTATTTGGGGTTTATGAAACTATGGCCTTATTTCCAGGTTAGGTTTCAGGCTTCAGCTTCATGATTTTACGCCCACCCACTCTGGCTCAATGGAGCTCCCATTTCTGCCTCGTAATCACCAAGTCATCTGCGGTGAGGTCAATGTCTGGAGCATTTTCAGTTGGTTCTAGCAGTTTTGGAACCTGAGATGAAGTCAAAGCTGGAGAAAAAGCCATGATTTAGAAAATCATTTCTGATCATAATCATCATAGGAATATTCGAGCATGAGAGTTCGTTTCCATGCAGTCCCATTATTAGGGATAGAGATATTGTTTAAGTCATTGCCCGTTACAACTGTGGGATAAAATGCTGATAATAGATGGATAAGCTTCACTCAGTTAGTCTGGTGTTTTGATCTTTTTTTCTAGGGTTGGCTGACGACTAAAGGAACCATTGACTACGAGACTGGCCTGCCTCTGTACACGTTCACTGTGCTAGGAGTCAATGACGGCACATTGCCTGGATCTGCTGCAGTAAGTATAAACCTACCCATGCGGTGGTGTAACCTACGGGGCACAGGGCACGTGCCTTATTTGTCTGATCAAGTTTAGTTGTAATGTACCCATGAATACTTCTTGTCATAGGCGTGCGAACCAGCGTACACGTAGCCCTTGAAAGTGACCACACATCATCTGTCCGTGACAGATCAAAAACTCAGACTTACGCTCAGACCAGTATGCACAGGTGGTGTGTCAAGCCCACTAGGTCCTTGGAATGTTGTCACAAAGCATCAGGTTGGGTTTTTCTTGATATGTGCGTAGTCACTTACTTTATCTGTAATCTTTACGCTAGGTCTGGGTGTACATCCAAGACGTGAATGACAACGCTCCAGTTTTTGTGAACTACCCTACCAGTGCGGTGACGGTTGATGAAAACAAGGCTGGTGGGTTTGTGGTTGCCACGGTATCAGCCAATGACGTGGACTCGGGCCTCAACGGAAACGTACGAATTCGTGTGATGGATACCTTATCAGTTTGCATTTTCTTCAATTGATTTTTGATACACTTAAGGATTTAAACGAAGAAAATTCTGGTTTATCATGTTTTAATATTTTTTTTATTTTTTATTTTTTTATTCGTAGGTTGTCTATGAGATCACTGGAGGGAATGACGAGGGGCATTTTGACATCATCGCAAACAACGGAGAGGCGTTGATTGTCACTACGACCGAACTGGACAGGGAGACCATTGAGAGCTACATGCTAACCGTGAGTTTATTGACTCTGTGCACGACCATACGAGGGCGCTTTGTTGCCTAGCAATAAGGCACTTACATTTCACTGGTTCACATTGTGATGTCTATGCATTTACACTTGAGAATGTTTACCAGGGAAGACAAGTAGTCCGGTTCCGGGTCCCTCATGATTGACTGTTAGATTGTCAAAGTTCATTTTATTGTCTTGAGATCGGGGAAAATTCTTCATACATATTCAAATTGAACTTTCTTCCAAATGTCTTCTTTTTTTACAGATCACGGCATCAGATCAAGGTGTTCCAGTGATGAATTCCTCCATCTTCATCGATGTGGTTGTAAATGATTTGAACGACAATCCACCAGGCTTCAATCAGACCAGCTACAATGCAACAGTTGAAGAGGTCGGTCAACTTTTAAGAACTCTGGCAAATTTTTCCACGTGTTTTATATTTATCCCATTCTTTGTGAATAAGTTTTGTTCGTCTCACCTTTAGAAAACTATCACCTCAGATGAAACTAATTGCTCTATTCATTTTACTCCCACTAGAATGTCCTTCTCAACCGGCCAATCACGACCGTCCTCATCACCGACTTGGACACCCCTGCCTCCAACAATATAGTGTTCCAGATTGACCCCGCATCCAATCCAAACGGGATATTCCAAATCAACTCTCAGGGGGAGATCACGATCACGAGTCAGTTGGATCGGGAGCTGCAAGCTTTCTATGATCTCATTGTGGTGATGACGGATCCTACATACAACCCTTCATTCATGGTTGGTTTCATTCAACATTTTTTATTTTTTAGAAGACATTTCTTTCCATGTTCCTATTTTTAATAGAAGTACACATTGAGCGCCGTGGTCTTATGGTTATGATATCTGACTCGTATACAACAGTGTGAGTTTGAACCCCTCAAAAGGGATCATAGTGTTTGTTTTCTTGGGCAAGACACTTTACAACAAGTGCCTCTCCACCAAAGAGTTATCTGTTAGGGTAGAGACCAGATTATGCTGCATAAAACTGTTCTCATTGACTGATGAATTGGGGTAATAATTGCGAAGCATTTTAGACATTTGTTTAGAGTACTTTTTAGGAACTAAATGATTAACCAGAGCTATGATTTAAATAAGTATGTAAACTGTGGCTTGACCTTTCGCCCTTTGACCCTCACAGGAGACGACCCACGTCTACGTGACAGTCCTAGACCAGAATGACAATCCACCAATCTTCCCAGACCAGCCTCCGGTCAGCGTAACTGAGGGTCCATCATCCATGGGTGAAATCTTTGTCACTGTCACGGCCAATGACGCCGACGTTGGCAATAACTCCGAGATGGTTTACACCATCACCGGGGGCAACGGGGAGGGCATCTTTGGTATCCATAGCAACAACGTAAGTCCTCAATCCTCAATCCAATTCAAAGTCCGATTTCTGATACAAGATTTGCCTCAAGAGTTTTGAATGCCATTTGGTTGTAATGTGTTTGTGTCTCATTTTTCAGGGTTCAATCTACGTGATCAATGAGCTGGATTGGGAGACAACACAAAGATACGAGCTCATCGTCACGGCAACCGACCAAGCCATGAACAGCAATGACAGAAGATCAGGAACCGTCACTGTAAGTTGCATCATCTTTTGGGAAAAAAAAATTGAATCAAATTTTTGGAGAATATAATGTGGCTTTTCCAGTTTTTGCACCCTGCTATATTATTGATTTTCAAATTCTTCCTTTTCAGGTTGTCATTGATGTTGAAGATATCAACGACACTCCCCCACAGTTTCCCTCGGATTACTTTGGCCCCTACAGCTTCTCTGAGGGCGTACCGGGGACCTACATTGGGACGTTTGTTGCCGTTGACTCAGACAGTGGTGCTGGGGGCGAAGTGACGTACACCATTATCGGCGAATATAGTGGTGAGTTTTCTACAAGTTATTTGAAAGTTCAGGCATACACGTTGCATTTGGTATGAATGAATAGATATCTGTACCACCAAACCCCTGCAATTTTCTTTTTCATGGCAGATTTGTTTGTCATTGACCCAACCACCGGCGTTCTGACCCTGAAACCAACCGCACAGCTGGATTATGAGACTAGCCAAGCGTTCAATATCACCATTGTGGCCACAGACGCTGGGGTACCGTCGCTGAACGGAACAGTAAGTGAAATCATTGCCGGTTTTTGTAAACAGTTGCTACAAATCATTTAGTATTTATATTTTTTTCATACATTGAGGGCCTCTGAATGATTATTGATCTAGAGCTGGAAAATGAAGCCAAGATTTCAAAAAAGCCAGAGTTGCTGTCCACACTATCCAGTCTCAGTTACACATGATATTTTCTCAACACTACAGACCAGTGTCGGCATCATCGTGGTAAGCATCAACGACAACAGCCCCAAATTCCAAGACACCCCCTACCGCACAGGCATCAACGACACCACACCGGTGGACACATGGGTGTACAAAGTGGTGGCCACAGACGATGATTCAGGCCCCGAGGGGAACATCACCTACAGTATCTTAAACGGAAACACTGGGGGAGTGTTCCGAATTGACCCCCTGGTAAGTTTATGTGGATTTTGGATGCTGTCATTCTGTTAATTCAAAACCAGTGTCCACTTATAATTTACAGAAGACAGAAAAGAGCTTGTTCAAAACTTTGACAAGTCTCATTTGAGTGTTTCTCCTTTAGAAAAATAGAAAAGAGATTTCAGTATTTACATTTATTCCTTGTTTTTCCTTAGACTGGTGATGTATACGTCAACAAAACTTTGACCAACGGAGTTTACGTGCTTGTGATCAAAGCACGGGACAATCCCGAGAACCCAGCCAACGCAAGAGAGGTAGGTCTAACTCCTGAAAGAACCCATGCATTCAGTTCTGTAAAAAACCAGGGGAGCGCTTCAATGGCCGTGAATTAATCATCAGGGATATGACGTCAAAGAAATATACTGAATCAAAAAAGCAGCTTGTTTTATCACACTATTTCAATTTTGCCTTCCAACATTCATTCCGCGACTCTTGCAGATTAGAGCAAAACTTTAAGTATCTGGGAGCGACTTGAGGTAAAAAATGCATTTTGTTATCTCTTATTTTAATTTTCTTTGTCTGTTTTTTTTTTTTTAACAGGTGACAGAGACACTGACCATCTTAGTTGCCGATTCCACCAGCATCGTTCCCATCTTCCCTGACGATGGAACCTTCACGGGCAGCGTGCAGGAACACTCCACCGTTGGAACATTTGTCATGGTACGTATCTGCATCAGACTCCATGTGCAAACTCTATAGGGTGCTAATCAGCCTAGCAACGATCAGCCTTGCACTGGAGTTTAGAGCAAGTTCAATCAATGACCAGTGGATAATTTATGAAATTCAAAGCAAACACATATGTTGAAAGTTTTTGAGTGAGTTTTCTTCCCTTCTTTTTACAGACCATTTCTGTTGAGAATGCAGCTGACGTCGGTGATTTGATATACACCATCAGCGGGCCTGACGCTGGCCCCTTCCTTATCGACCCATCAACAGGTAAGCACAATCAAAGAAATTTGTCCTTTGAGTTTAAAATGTGGCCTTATGTTCTCAAGGCTTGTTAGATTTTTGAAATGTTTTGTCCAACATGTTGCTATTGATTCCAAAAATGTTGGGATCATGAAGCCTATTTTAGAGTTTGGAAAACAATCTTGGAGCAGAAGAATGCCTTTTCTCATTGTGACGTTTTCATTTTCCATGATCATATTCCAGGCATCATAACCGTCAACGGTTTGCTGGATGCTGAGATCCAAGATCTCCACGTCTTTGACGTCTCAGCTCTTGACTCGCGAGGCATGAGTGCCAGCGGTAAGGTCTACGTGACCATCCTGAACATCAACGATCATCCACCGCAGCTGGACGAGCTCGTCTTCAATTTCACCGTGCCTGAGGACGCGGGGGATGGTGAGTGATTTCTGATTTCTGACTTGTGATTAAACCAAAGATTCCTCAAAAGCATTGGAGAAACCAAAAACAGTGTAGACAGAAAATAATAAAAAAGGCTTAGGAAAATAACTGTTCTTAAAGATGAGTCCTTATTGTTTGTTAGGCTACTTTGTTGGACATGTCAACGCCACTGATGATGACAACTCAGACACCATGCTCCGCTTCACCATCGAGCGTGGCGCCCAGGACAAATTCACCATCGACCCCACCACGGGAGTCATCACTGTCCTAGTCACATGCCGTGGGGATATCTGCGACCAGCAACCCCTAGACCGTGAAGAGCAAGACGTGTACACATTAACGGTCTCCGTGTCGGACCAGGGTAGCCCGCCGCTCTCAAACAGCGGCGTGGTTTACATCTACGTCACGGACGTCAACGACTACCAACCGACGTTCCCTGCTGATTTCCTTAACGCTGTGGTCAGTGTGTCCGAAGATGTGGCGTTGAATCACACCGTGATAACATTGGAGGCTACTGATATGGATCTCGATGCTATGCTGACTTACAGGTAATTCAATCCTATTCAAAAATTACTTTGTCTTGAGTACACTATGGTTTGAAGAGGGGTTTCACTACAGGGGATATGGCGCTGTGACATCCTTCATTCATTGGTGTTGACAAACGTGTTTGTGTTGGCTAAAGAGACTGTCGTAAACAGCCCTGAAGTAACATTTTTGTTCCTTGTTAATTTCAATCACCGACAGGATCGTATCCATAACTGCCACCAATCTGCAAGGGGAACCGCTGACCAACATCTCGGCCATCGAAAGCTGGTTTGCCGTGGATCCATACACCGGTGTGGTCTACGTCGAGAACAGTTTGGACAGAGAAACGGCCGCTGAAGTCATCCTGAAGATATCGGCCAATGACAGCGCCTCGCTTGATCCTGCGCTCAGTACCAGCAATCCCAATGGTATGTGTGAAAAAGTGTTGTGGGAACCAGTGTAGTGAAGTCAAGTCTGGGCCAAATTACAGGTTGAACTAGTGACAAATTTTGACTTAAAGTCCAAAAACTTTCAGGAAAAGTTCAAGATGGAACTAAAAACTTGAGCTTGCTATTTCATTGAGCTAATTTTTACAGACATTGTATCTTAGAAAACAACATGAAACTTAAGGTAATATTGTTTACTTCTATCTCTGTAGCTATGGTCACCATCCAAATCACTGACGTTAACGACAACGCACCGGTGTACCAACCACCTGGTACCACCTACATCTACGTGACCATTCAGGAGGAATCCAGCATGGGAACCATCATCACCAACGTGAGGGCGATAGACCCCGACAACCCCATCAATGGCGAAGTGACTTATATGTTGATTGGAAACCTCTCCGAGTACGTCACTATTCATCCCGTCACAGGTATAAAACTCCTAACGTTTTCATTGTTGATTTTTTTTTAAGTTGATATAAGTTTCTTGCAAGTATAGATTTTAATTTCAAGTGATTTTCAACCACCTTCTTAATTTGAATCCCTCCCCAGGTCAGATAACAGTCAACCAGATCATAGACAGGGAGCTGTACGATTGGCTGAATTTCACCATCATAGCAACGGACGACGGCACGCCATCTCTCTCAACCCCCATCCCAATCATGATCCAAATCCTGGACATCAACGATCACAATCCAATCTTTGACCAGCCGGACTATACCGCCACTGTCCCCGAGAATTCCGATGGAGTCACATATGTCACGGTTGTCACGGCGACAGACCAGGACTTGGGCCAGTACGGAGAGGTGACGTACACGTTGACTGGCGGGGAGGGACTGTTTACGATCAACTCAACAACGGTAAGTCTGAGATTTTTGTCCTGAAATTTCCTTGACTATTAGAGTTTTCAAAATCGGAATGGTGGGGGGGGGGGGGGGCTGGAGATCATTTAACACTATGTAGTGTACAGGGTGGCCTCTTTTGCCGATAGTTACATATTTTTGCCAGAAAACACTCCAGCCCCACCCCTGCCCCACCCCTACCCCACCCTGCCCCACCCCACTCCACCCTTGCCCCATCCCAAGGACTAACCTTATCCTTACCATTTTACAGGGTGTCATCACCGCACTTCAACCATTGGACCAAGAGGAACAGTCAGTGTACACACTGACGGTGATTGCAGTGGACAATCCTGGTGGCTCACAGACCAATCGAAGACAGGGATCAGCCACGGTAAGGTTGCTTTATCAGCGTTGATAGACTTTCAAGGACAGGATTAGTATTTTCCTTCAATTCTTCTTCTTCTTGTCGTATCGACATCGCATAGCTAAATTTTGTTCAACCAAAGTTGAACACATTCAACAGCAACATCATTATATATACTGCCAGGTCCTGTGCTGTGCATTCGTGCTCCAGTAGTGAACATCTCATCAGGTGATTCATAGTCTGTGGTTCATCGCTGCCACATGAACATTTAAGATCATCAGTTTCCTGGTATCTACATTTGTTGAGCCATGCTTTGCAGCGTCCGACACCACATTTATTGTTTCTGTTTTGTTCCCAGTTTCAACTTCTGATTATCTTTGCTTAGCAGCTTTCTATATGACAAGTATTTGGCATTGAAAGGGTTAAAGGGAATATACAACATTTGCAAACAACGAAAAATAAAACTATCAAGTTTTTGCGAAATACCTTAACAGGATGTTGGTAAATGACAGTCTAAAGCATCCTGTAAAATTATGGCACCTGGTATACTGTCATTTTCAAGAAAAGTGGTATTTTTGTATCAATTTCCAACGCTGATCGGCCGATCAGCGTTGGAAACAACTGGCTTTTTATCAAATACTGGCCCCAATTGACCATTGCACTTGTTTGCAATCGATTACAAACCTATAAACGGGTACGAGCCAGCTAGACTGGTTCCCTGACCTTACAATTCCCCCAATGTATGTAAACTGCTCTGTTTCTTCTTATATGGAGTCAGGGAACCAGACTACAGGAAAATGATCGTTTTTCTTGGTTTTTATAGCATTTTCGAACCCAAAACCTCCAAAAAGTTAGTGTAACTATATTTGCTTTATATTTCCGACCCCCCAATTCCACCCATTTCTGAAAATTACAGCAAAAGCAAATGATGTATATTCCCTTTAAAGAAAAATTGATTGATTTGACGCGATTTTATTTTTGTTTGTCATCAGGTGACAATCACCGTAGGTAATGTCAATGAGTACCCACCGATCACTCAGCCCAACTTTCCGTTTGACATACCGGAGGGTCAACCCGGGGGAACGCTAGTCGGTGTCATAGACGCTACGGACCCTGATGATCCCATGCAGGAACTCAACTTCACTTTCATCTTCGTCGAACCTCCAGGCAAGTTCTCAAGTTCAATGCGGTGCAAGAAAGCATTCTTTTCTGTGGTCATTAGAGAAACATAATGTTTGTGCCAGGTGGCCAAACTTCCTTAATGCTGTTTTGTTTTAGCAGAGAAACAGATTTCAAATTTATTTGGCCAGAGACAGAATCTGCCGGAACTTGCAATACAATAAAGTAAATTTTTCAGACAAATGCTAGAATTAATGCATTTTAAAATTGTGAAATGCTTTAAGGTTGGTACATTTTTCTCTTGTACTTCTTCTAGCTCTATTTAACATATCCCAGTTGATTGTGGCTTTGTGGAGTGTACAGTCGTGACCTACTCAACTACACGTTTAAATTGATATCTTTTTGTTTATGATCTTGTAGATGGTGACGTCCTGTTTTACATCAACCAAACTACTGGAGAGATTTTCACCACCATGCCCCTTGACGCTGACAACGCTACGTACGGAAACACCTTCAATATTACAATATTGGTAAGCCCTACTTAAAATCAAGAAGACGTCAGTTCTACAAATAAAACAATTCTAAATGAAATATTCTCAATAATCAGTGCCGTTGATAAAAATACCTGTAAATTGTAAAACAATTTCCTTATTTCTGAACAGATTTCTGACAACGGTAACCCGCCACTGACTACCACTACAACCACCATCATCACCATTCAGGATACCAACGACAATGATCCGCTGTTCCCTAACGGGCCCTATGACCTCACGACCTCGGAGGCGACGCCAGTGGGTAACCAGGTTACCGTGGTAATAGCAGAGGACATTGATCAGAATGCAGTGCTGACGTACAGTATTGTGGATGGCAACTTGAACGGGACGTTCTTTATCAATCGTAAGTTTGGTTTTCAAGAACTTTTTAATGCAAATTTCTGCCCTTCATTGACTTGTGATATTGACTTGTGCTTGACTTTTGATTGAGTTGTAACTGATTTGTGATTGACTTGTGATAAACATTTGACTGACATGTGACTGACATGTGACTGACATATGACTGACTTGTGATGGACTTGTGATTGACTTGTGACTGACTTGATATCGTTTTGGGATTGACTTGTGACAGTCTTGTCATTGTTCTGTGATTGACTTGTGATTGCCTTGTGATTGACCTGTGATTGACTTGTGATTGACTTGTGACTGACTTCTGATTGACTTCTGATTGTCTTGTGATTGACTTCTGATTGACTTGTGATTCTTTCAGCTACCAACGGAGAGATACTAATCACCAAACCGTTAGACTTTGAGACGCGCACCATGTACAACTTGACAGTGCAAGTCTCAGACCAAGACGGCAGGACTGGTACCACGTACGTAGTCATTCGTATCATGGATGCTAACGATCAGGGACCAGTCTTCCTCAGCCAGCCGTACTTGTTTGATGTCAACGAGAATGTGGATATCGGTAAGAGTTTGAACTTTTCAGGACTTTTCCCACCTTTTTTCTCTTTGTTCATAATTTAAATCAGTTATGGAATATTTTTACTCTGGTAGCTTTCTCAGGAAGTATTACATTACCTATTTAGACTTTGAAAATTTCCCATGAACAAGGTTGTAACCTCCAAATGAAAGAAAGACCACGAAAATTTAAAAGAAAGAAAAGCCCTTAATGTTACTTCAATTTAGCATAAACACTATGATTTGCAAGAAAGGTGCTGTAAAACATGGCCATGTACCTGAATATGTTAAACGACATTATTATGAATTGCGCCCCTTTGTGTTACAAGATGATCTTATTTCCGGAAAATTTCAAGATTTGTTTCTAGCTAAAAACACCATGAAATCATTACTTGTACAAGTGGCCCTCATAGAGCAAAAGGCCTCAATGATGAATCCACCATGTTTTAATTTTTCAGTGGTCTCTTTGTACTTGCAGGAACTGAGATCGGTCTTATCGAGGCAGTCGATGCGGACCCAGACCCCTCCAACTCCCAGCTTACCTACCACATACTGAGCAGTGTCCCTGCCAATGCGCCGTTTGCCATTAATGAAACCACGGGAGTGATCACCAGCAGCGGGGCGCTGGATAGAGAGCTACAGGACAGCTATATGCTGACGGTGGAGGTGCGAAACGTTCGCTTTGTGCCCGGCGGAGAGGATGTCACCTATAAACTGTCGACCCCGGTGAGTAATTTATATGTTGTTCTCAGTTGAGAGCTGAGCAAAAGTGGCTCAATTGAGTAATGAGTATTTTTTTTTTTAACAAATATTAATACTCAATTGAATACTGAGAAATACCCGTTTCATACTCTTTTAGATACTGAGCAATGCTCATGTCAATGGTATGTAATACTCATTTAAAACGAGGAATGCTTGTTTGGGTGATGGGTAATACTCATTTGAGTATGGAGTAATAGAGTGATGAGAAATACTCCATTTAGAAATAAGTAATGGTCTTTGAGTGATAACTAATATGAATTGAGTTGTGAGTAATACTCTTGATTGATGAGAAAACTCATGTGAGTGTTGAGTAATACTCAGTTGAGTTCTAAGTTCTTCTCATCGAAGTGATTGGGAATAATTGTATCCTTTGCTTCAGGTGACAATCACCATCCTAGACCTGAACGACAACATCCCGATCTTCAGCGGTGGTGATAACATCACTCGCACCTTCCCTGAGAACTCGGAGATTAATTTCCCCATCTACCAGCCATCTGCTCAAGACAACGACATTGGAGAAAACGGCCGCGTGACCTACTCGATTGTCTCTGGGAACGTGGAAAGTAAGACTTGAGGATTTTTCATGAGTCATATATGGATTGCATCCTTGATGACTTTTTCAAGAATTGGTAGGGGTGGGTTGTAGGGTTATGCAAAAGCCCATTTGTTGTTTTGTGCAGAATTGTCGTTTCTGTCAGGAAAATCGTGTAATTGTCTAAAAAAAAAAAAAGAGGCCTCCATAAACAGCGCCACCTTGGATCTCACAGTGTCCAGTTCCATCCATCTTGAACAGCGCTCCCTAGCATCAGATGATGTCCAGCCCTCCAGCCCCCCCCCCTTCCTTCCCAGTTTCAAATGTCTATCTCTCTCCATTTAAAAATCTCTGTTATATTTTAACAATCGTAACCACATTTTTTGCGACCTAACTACTTGTTGTCCATTGGCAATATCTGGTCATGCCCACCCCCATACAAATTGGTCTTCCTACATCTGTGTACGTGCCCTTCTATCTACTGACAATGTGAACTTTTTATTCTACTATTTTAGATACTTTCAGCATCGACCCACAGACTGGAGCCATCCTCCTAGCCCGGCAGATCCAGACTTTGACCAACCCCACCTACGCCTTTACCCTAGTGGTGGAAGCGAGGGACAATGGTGACCCGTCCTTATACAGTAACATCACCATCAACGCAGTGGTGGGCGATTACAACGACAATGCGCCGCAGTTTGTCACGCCGATCCAGGGACAGACTTTGTTCTTACCAGAGGTAAGGTTTTTCCACGTCTGAATTACTCGACATTTATAAGCCTGATGGTCAGGGGTAATACTTCTACCATCCTTTTGTTATGGGCCTTATTCATGAGTTGGACATTTTTGTCGAGTTCCCTGAATGTTTTTCATTTATTGTTTTAACTGTTGAATGGGATGGCGCCAGACTACTTATGCAGGCATAATGCAGCCTTATTTTATCGTTATTTTTTTTTTTTTTATCTGGCTTTGAACATTAGGGAAGGTTTAATTACAAATTTGAAATTATTCACTGAAGCAGACTTTGCAGAAGACTGCACACTAAAAATTGATTTAATTATATCTTCTTGTATACGTCTTGACCAATCACATTCTTTCCCTTCCCAGAACGAGCCAATAGGATTCCAGATTGCCCCGGTCCTAGCCGTAGACATTGACAGTGGAGCCAACGGCCAGGTGACCTACGGCTTCCATAATGAGGAGAGCGCCAGGCTTTTCTATTTCCAGCAGGAGGGTGACACCACGTACCTGTATGCCAACTTCTCTGCTGATCGTGAGACCAAAGATCAATACAATGTGAGCAGATTTTTGTAATAGCACACGGAAGAGCATGAGTTTTTTTGCTGGTCTAGAAGGGTCCTCTGACTGACAGACTGACTGACAGACAGACTGACAAAATCATTCAGTAAAAATTGTCTTAAACAATTTTTACAGCTAGAAACCTTGGTGTCATCTTGCTTGCGCACTTGCTTGTGGCTCCATCTTCAAAGGTAAAGACTTATGGAGACAGAAGTTTTTCTGTTGTAGCCCCTCGCCTATGGAACAGTCTAGCCCTGAGATCACAACCTGACAATGACTCTTTCAAATCTTTCTTCAAAACTTACCTCTTCATTCAAGCTAATCATTAATTGTCTCAGACCCCAGCGCAGTGAATAGGTTTATCTAGATGCCAGCGCTTTATAAGTTTTTATTATTATTATTTTTTATCAAACTGAGAATTTGAAGTCCGGTTTGACTAGACTTGTGTCATTCAGCTGTTTCTTCTCTCAAAGAGTGAGACTTTTTTTCAACTCTTCTCTTCATGTTTTGCTTCCAGCTTGTTCTTCTGGCGACGGATGGAGGCACTCCCAACCCCCTACAGACGCCTTTGGAAGTAACTGTAGTCATCCTGGATAAGCAAGACAATGAGCCGTTCTTTGTCAGAGTGGTAAGCACTTACTGGTTTTTCTTAGATAATAATTTTTTTACCAGACATGTAGTTGAGTCGATCACAAGTCCCTACAAGTCCATCACAAGTCCTCCATAGTCCCAATTCAACTCACAAGCTACTCAAATGAGCTTTGACAAAGGCATTCCTTCGTTATTGTTCATCTTCTCTTACTTGTGACTGGACTTGTCTACATTCCTGTTTTTTCCCTGATTCCCTTGAGTTTTATTTATTTTCTTTTGTTTATTTGTTCCTTTCTTTATGCTTTTGTTTTTTGTTTCCTCGTATCTTTCTTTGTTTCTTCATTGAAAGTTGCTGACGTAATTCCTTTGTTTCTTGGAGTCTTGATATGATACTTGAAGAACAATAACAAATATCTAAAACAAATTACTCAATAACTTATGCAATTATCGAGTATTGAATACTTTTGTTGTTTCATTGCCATTTAGGATAACGTCGCCATTGTACAACAACTGAACGTGACTGAGCATTCTAACGTCAATGTGTCAGTCGGGATTGTGACTTTAGCTCAAGATCATGACCTGCCTCCTAATGATGTCATCTACTATTACATCGTCGGTATGTAGCCTTACTTTTGTTGTCAAGGAAATTTTTTACGCTTTTTGAAATAGTCAGATACCCTTTATGAATTCCAAATTTTTTTTTTTTCAGATTTCATACAAGTTTTGGGGGCACTGTGATGGGTGCTTTCTTTTAAATTAGAACATTTTCGGTATAAATGAAACTCATTATCAGAGTTTGTTTGAATATTAGTATGTACTGAATAACTGCAGTGGATGAACACAAAAAAACAAACTCACTGGATTGACCTCATAAAAAAATGAACTCGTTCAAGTTTTTTCCTCAAGCTTCATGTACTGTGAAGCTGACACCTCTGCCAATGACATCACCATTTTGCTCCTAAATTTGTCAAATTAAATTTCCATTAAGCAAAAATGGGAAAGGCTCCCAAAACATGTAAGATGGAAAACAAATAGTTCAACAGGTCAATTTTACACAAAGGTGCATTTCAAGAATTAAAGTGAAAATATAATCGTAAAATGTTATTGCCACGTTTACCAACAGGTGGAAACGACAAAGGCCTGTTTGGAATCAACAGCACGACCGGTGAGATCATCATCCTAGGAGATCTGGACCGTGAGACCATCGCGACCCACAACCTACTCATCAAGGCGACAAACAACGCCAGCTATGTCCCGTCAGGGATCTACGACATCTCCAAGGATGTGTCTCTCAAGGAGGTGCTGATAACAGTTGGGGATATCAACGATAATGGGCCAAAGTTTACTACGGTGCTCTACACGGCCGGTGAGTTCAATGCTGTACAGACTTGTCTATAGGCTCCGTGCATGAACTAGAGAGGGCGCTTTGACCACTTTGCAAGCTCAGAGAACAGGACACACCGTGTGTGCCTACTGGTTTGTGTGAGTGTGGCACAAATTGTGTTTAACTCATTTCATTCTGAATGTACACCAAGCCATAGTATCTTGGCGTGAGCGTCAGGCATCGTCGCCAATGCCTTGAAATGGGCTCTGCCAGTGCTGTCCCCCAACTCTCCCTTTCTTACCGTTGAGGGGGTACTTGCGCACGGAGTCTATAGACCGAGTTATTGATGTTAGCAAATGTGGACCAGACTGGTAGTCAAGTAAAATTATGAAAAACATTTCTCCTGACACTGTAGCATATAAAAGTAGTCGCGTTCTTGTTGCAATTAAACAAACATTCTGTTTGACCCAGTCTACTGAAGTTGATTTTTTCCCATGATACGTCGCAGACAAAGCAGGATTTTCATCACCATACATGTGTTCTGTACTGTGAATCAATTTATTAATCACAGTTGTGATTGTGCGACGTGAAGATTGTTATAAACTCTAACGTAATATCATTGTAATGTTGTGTCCCTTTCCTACCCATAATTCCTTGCAGGCATCCCCCTGGACGCCGAGATCAACACGCAGGTCACCTGCATCAAAGCAACTGACCTGGATCTCGGGGGTGGGGGCGCTATCACCTACGGTATCCAATCAGCTACCTTTGTTCTGGGCCAGGACCAGACGGCCTCTAACGACATCTTCTACATCGATGAGAACTCGGGCTGCATTCGAACCCGGAACCTACTGAACGGAATCACGGCCGGGGGCTACTTTGATCTGACGGTGACGGCTACGGACAAGATCGCTGGGCTGGGTGATACCGCCCTCGTTAGGGTGAGCATATATCATTTAGCACTCGATAAAAAGCCAACAAGGAAAATTCTCACTTTTACTTTTTAATATGCAGTAGAAAAAAGTGTACTCTGCACTTTGTTTTGGTACGTCATTCAGTTGATTGTCTAGATGTGTGACTATTTTGTTGATTTGCATCTTGCAAGAATTAAAAAAGAACCCATGTTGATTTTGATACATGGTTAATCTGTAGACGTCTCCTAATATGCAAAACTTCAATATTTCTCATTCACATTTTGATCACTTCTTTTCTGATTTATGGCGACGTAAATTTAACAACGGGGTTGGCCCATTTTGTTTGTTTGATATTTTCAGATCTTTGTGTTGGATAACAACCAGCAGGTTGTAGTCGTTGTTGATTCAGACATAGACACCGTCACGCAGCTGCAGGACCAACTTGTCCAGTAAGTATTTCAGCTTACGGGGTTTTTATCACCGGACACAGAATAGCTTTATTTTCTAGTCCTTTTCTAGTTCTCAGGTCGTAACAGCTGAGCTGTGGACTACAGGCTCATGCATGATTGAATCTTGACGAGAAGATGTACAGAATTTATTGAAATTTCTTGTATTAAAAAATAATTAGAAATGTGACCAATCAAACATGAACTGTACCAAATTTTGCAATTTTCTTTATCAATTTCAGTAATCTTGTGAGCTGTGAGCTATTTTTCTTTGTTTTGTTCTTCAGGATTATCAGTAACATCACGGGTGGTGTAGTCAACGTGGATTCAATCACATACTACATCGATGCCAACGGTAACACAGTTAGGGATAAGACGATGATCGTACTGCACGTCATAGACCCAGAAACCAACTCGCTAGTCGATGCCAACATTGTGCTGAGGTGAGTGCCAAGTGTCTCGTTATTCCGAACACTTCAATCTTTTCGATAAAGTGTTTTAAAACCACGGCTTTGTTTTCAGCCTCAGGAGATTTAAGTACCTTCACTTGTGAAACACTTGCTCAATAGTGGTCCACCGCTAGGCTACATTTGAGAGTGTTTCATTCGGTTTTGAGTTGTAAAGGTTAGTTAATTATTCAGTGTCTTTCTAGAAAGACAATAATAAATGTATACTTCTTTTTGTTTTTCAGGTTGATCGATGAGAATCGAATGAGTATTCAGGTGTTACTCCAGCGGTATGGCGTTGTCGATGTCTATGTAAGTACAAAATGAAAAGAGAACTGTGTCGTAGCCAGTACTCAACTTTTTTTAATTGTACAGAGCCAAAATTTGAGATCCTATCCAGACCTCTTCAAGGACTCCTGGTAAAAAATTCCAGAAAATGTTATTATAATGTTGTGATCCAAATCGGACAAACATTACCTTCTGGCAACCTTACATTTGAAATCTTGGTTTTGGACGAAATTGATTTTCCAAGATTTCCCAGAACGTTCTACCCGACACATTTTAAGGATTAAAAACTTCAGGACTTTCCAGAACCTAAGAGTCTGAACGGATATACTCTCGAGTACAATTCCACACTTTTAAAAGGACAAAAAAACTAGGTTTTGCAGATCAAACACTAGGACCAAGAAGAATGATTATTGAATAATTTTGCTCTCTTTGCTTTGTTCAGGCTCTGATGGGTGGTGTAGGCGGGGCGGGCTTTGGCATCATAGAGATTGCTCTCCTAGCCATTGCCTTACTGCTCTTCCTAGGAGCTCTCATCTTCATCATCATCTTGTGCTGTCTACAACGGAAGTGAGTACATTTATGTGGACATTCATTTGGGAAAGGGGAATATCTCCCCCCCCCTTGATCCTGGAAGGGGCAGACGTAGATCTCCCCAGATTTTACAGACGGCAGAAAAAACCCAGATATTTAGTCAATTATAACCTCGAAAGAACTTCCTAAAGCCCGGTTCATACTTGGGGCGAAAACAAACGCCAACACGAATTTGTGACGTCAGGGCGGGTTTTCGCGCTGCAAATTTGCAACAGTTTAACAATTTTCAACTCCGGTAAATTTGCAAATACTTCGTGTCGTTCAATTCGCATCGCATTCGCATGATATATGAACCGGCCTTTATGGGAGTATAACCCAAGGTTATGAGAGCGGTACACTGCATTTCTCGTAAACAAGTTTATGCTTTGAAAAAAAATCAACTTTGAACTTTTCTCTCCATAAACAGGTTATTGAAGAAGATTCATGGGAACAGCCCCGCTGTGATCTATGCAACCAGAGCTGATGCTGACGTCAAGGAAACTGCTACCTATCAAGGGTAAGGACGGCCCCCTAACATTATTGACTCCACCCTCAAATCACTGACACCACCCTCATGTTGACTCCGCCTTCATGTTGATTCTACCCTCACATTATTGACTCCTCCCTCATATCATTGACCCCTCCCTCACATCATTGACTCCGCCCTTACATGACTCCTTAGATTATTGAATCTGCCCTCACATTTTTACTCCACCCTCGCATTCATTTACTCCGCCCTGACATTATTGACTCAGCCCTTACATAATTGACTCCGCCCTCACATTAGTAACTCCGCCCTTACATAATTGACTCCACCTTTATTTAATTGACTCCAGCCTTGAATTGTGGACTGTCTGACGTATTGAATTTGCGATTTGAAACTCATTGTCTTCATTTCCGTTGTCATACCTCTACCCAGGTCCAACCCACTTTGGCTGGAGACAGAGGGCGGTCTCCCTGATGATTGGCCAGACAGTATTTCGCTTCTAGGAGGGGGTGCGGCCAGAGAGTACGAATCACAGGTATGGAAAATGTCCCATCATACCAAAATTTTCTCAACCAATCAAGCTACAAGCTAAAACTGCAGAACCGCAAAACTTCAAAGTTCAAACCATTTTAAAGTCTTATTTTTAATAGCTCACAAGCTTTTGTGTAGAGGTTGTTGCCTTAAAACACCTTAAAAATCCATACCTTATAAAAAAAAATAGATGGAAATTTGAGTGAGAGTTTGCACTTCCAAGACATGCTTGTAAAGAATCCAAAATACGGATTACACTGAAAAATATATGATATTGGCCTAAGGGGCCAATATACTTTAAGCAAGTAGATTTTTTTGTAAATAGTGGTTCTTATTTTGATAATTTCAGGAAGCCAGCATGGATTTCTTCTCAGACATCCAGCCTGAGATTGCTCGAGACGCCCTGGTCATGACAGCAATGGTCAGTGATGGTCAGTCAGCCTCCACTCGATCCAAGACGATCTCCAACGGCGGTGTCAGCAGCGGCAGGGTTGGCTCAGATAAAGCCCAGCTGCGCACGGTGTCGTCCACAGGTCCTCTCATCCTGGACAGTGCTAACATGGATGGGTCTGTCAGTACCTTGACCAATCGCATCAACCGCGACGGGTCAGTCTCGGCCAATCTGACCGGTCAGGAGGGCGGGTATTCAGCATCCGGCGCTGCTTACAGCTACTCCTCAGCTAGCTTCAGCGGGGGACCGTCAACCAGCAAGAAGCTGACTAGTGAGAAGGCTCACGAGATCCGCCAGATGCTTGAGGAGGACCAAGGAGTTGAGACCTATCTGGAGGACGATATGTACAGGGATCAGAACACCTTGGCTGCCGCCCGAGCAAGCTACCGGGAGCAGGTGGAGTTTGATAACCAACTCAGTCCGATCACCGAGGAGGATACCGCATCCTCGTGGTCATCCTGGACTCGGGATAGCGAGAGATCTGGGGCTAGGTACGCCGCACTTGGGAGTCTGGATCGCAACCGCACTACAGACCGACCCAGTAAGGACTACGCCGACCCTATGAACAATTTCACAACCTCTACCAGCATCGAGGAGAGCTACTCGCGCTCAGTCAAGAGCCCAAGCAAAACCGAATCGTCATCCTACTCGCGCCGAGCCAACTCCAAGACTTACCCAGCTGGGGTATCCACAAGCATCGGAATGGTAACCCTGACGGAAGAAACTCCAGATATGATCGATGACGAGGAATCAGAGACGTCATCTGTGGGGGGAGCCGGTAAGACCTACACCTACAACATCATGGGAGATAGCAGTGAGGGCGCTCATTCCATGTCCGGTGGCTCGTCAGGGCACAGCGCCCCCAAGAGGGCCACAGAGACCAGCACCATGAACTTTTCGCATGAGGGAGACGACACGGATGAGGTCATAGAGGAACGAGAGGTCCGACGCTCCATGAAAACAACACGGGGTTACACCAACAGCGGATACGACAACTTCATGGATGAAGAATCACGCCTGTAAGATCTTAACAATTCACTGCCTTGTAGCCATCACAAAGAATGCCATTCAGAACTAATTTTAAGCCGTGTTCCAAACAGGATTTGCTGTCAATGGCTATGACTTTTCACTGTAATGTTCCAATGGTAACATCTAAAAAGCCACAGTCATAGAATACCAAATTCTAATATCTTTTTCACGTCTTGCAATGTGTAAAAGTTACATAACTCCAAAACCTAAAATTTAATATCTTGTTTACCTAGGCTACTCAAAGCTTTCTTTATTCAAACTTTTTTGTTTTGTTATACCATTGAGCTATACCATTCATGATCACAAGCCCATTTTGTGTAACAGGTGTGTGTTCCAAAGTGTATGGGATTTTAAGTTTGAGCAATTTTGACAACATGGTATTTTCAAAGACCACGATACTGGCAGTGGAATGTTTATAACTACCAGATTGTATCATCAAGATAGGGGTGACCAAATGAAAAACCTGTCTGATCATTGATTAATAAGATTTTACATGCTTCAATATCTAGCTGTGTGATAGAATATTTCTAATGAGATACCCAGAAAGAAATATCAGTTGTTCAATAGTTGGTGTTTGCTTTTCTTTTGATTACAATTATGGTGCATAATAATGTATTAGTTATCAAGCCTAAGTTGTATTTGTTTATTGTTATAAGCTATGAAGTATTTACATTTATAAATATATAGTAAGCTATTTTATACGTTGCAGTACTTATAAAGTACTAGTATTTGGTGTTGGGTGATATTTGACAGGATTAACAGATGTATATTTGGGATTTTGCTGGCAAATACTTTGTGTATATGACGTTCCTGTAAAATATGAATGTACTATTTGGTATGTCTAGTTTTTATGACTTGAAATTTTCAGTGCAGTATAATTTTTTTTAGTAATATCTGTAATGTATTTATTCAGTTCTTAACGTCGCTTTTAAACTGCAGCAGGGGTAACTTGCTTTTGAGATAGTGGTTTCAATTAAATGCCGTATTTGTGTAAAATTTCATATTAATAGTTTATATTTTTGATGTATAGTTGTGCAAAATATTGCATGATTTTGAAAACCCGCAGGAAGATCTTGTAAGAATTTATTTTGCATGACAATGACTATGAACTGGTAAAATTTGTGATCAGAACCTACTTGATACCACAGTTCATCAGAACCCCATGTCATGGCGCTGCTTAGCTTAACAGTTAGCAGAAAAGTTGCGCTAACTATCGCAGAAAATTGTGCCAACCGTAAGCACAATTTCATGACGTGGAAGGCTAATGGTTGTGCGCATGGAGATTTCTATTGTTACGCCACTGATTTAAGCAACCTTTTCCTCTGAGGTAATTAAAAGGGTCCCTTTCGCTGTGCTTACTGCTTACGGTCTACATGAAATAAACAGAGTCTCTGTTAGCAAAAATCGTGTGCTTAGCAGCGAGGTTATGAAATTGGGCCCAGGTTACACCGGATAACAATGCTAGTGACAGAACATTTCAGTATACATCTGTGGCATAGTTCAGTGATATTGTACTGCAAATTTTGACAGAAAGTTTAACGACAGAACCAAAATGCCATAAATTTCTTCAGTCAATCCGATTCCAGATTTTTCAGATGTCATGACAAAGGCTACGGCATTTTACAACTTTGTGTAACTGCTAATACCATTCAAGAATTGTTTTTGTAAATTTGCAGCTTACTTTGTATTTTTGTTTAAACGAACTTTCATGCTCGATATTTTTGTTTTTGTGCGATATTTAAAATATTGAAATACATTTGTAACCAGACTAGATGTACCTGTGTTTTCTCCCTACCATTTTGTACAAGCTAATGTCACACACTTTTACTACTAGAACAACTCAATTATTTGTATATTTTGTTCAATGCACATTTTAAATGAAAGGTAATTTGTAGAAATGTTGGTCAGAATTGACATGTACATAAAAGTCCTTTTTTTTGGACAAGACCTTTAAGTCATTATTTTCAGATAACCAAGTCTTGTCAAAGCTTAGAAAATAACTGCTTTAAATGTACTGTTTTTAATGCATGATATAATTAAAGTATGGCCAGACATAGGCCAAGAGCTTATCAAGGGATTTTTTGTAGCCAAACTTGCACATTTTGTTGCTATAGAACTTACTGTTTTATTTCTCACCTATTATTATTTGCCGGCTCACAGTGTATGCTGTTTGCAAAGTTCCAAAACAACATTCAAACAAATCAAACATCCAACTTTTACAGGCACTAGACTATCATGTGGCTTCTTGAAGTAGAAAAAAAAATCATGTACGCATATATTGGACAACAGATGGCAGTACTTGAAATAATCACTGAAGCGTGGAAACCCACTCCAACAGCAGACTGCACGTTCAGGTGAGGAAGGCCCTTCAAGCAGGTTGCATCAAGACCCTCACCCTAAGAGGTCTACTACTGTCTTTCACGCATGATGACTGTCAACCAGCATCCCAGAAGGTTTACCCCTTGCATTTTTTTCAATTTTGGCCCAACAAATAAAATTGCTTCAAAATTTGCTAGAAAGATGCCTGAAGGGCCCTAGAACACATTCCGAATCGATTTCTGGACAATTGTGCTATTAAAGGGGAAATTCCGTCGAAAATTTCAGGTAAAATCACTCAAAATATTAACTTCTTTTTCTCCAAAAATGGATGATTTTTGCCCAAATCTTCAAAATTCTGCGTATTAGAGTATTGATTGATGTTCCTCTTACATCCAGATGAATTCCTGCCTTGTTTTGAGAAAACTCAATTTTTGGCCAATTTTGACAAAAAATGTAAGGTTAACCCCTTGCATTTTTTGTCAATTTTGGCCAAAAAATGAAATTGCGTGAAAGCTGCTAGAAAGATGCCTGAAGGGCCCTAGAACGCATTCCAAATCGATTTCTGGACAAGTGTGCTATTAAAGGGGAAATTCCGTCGAAAATTTAAGGTAAAATCACTCAAAGTATTAATTTTTTTCTCCAAAAATGGATGATTTTTGCCCAAATCTTCAAAATTCTCCGTATTAGAGTATTGATTGATGTTCCTCTTGCATCCAGATGAATTCCTGCGTGGTTTCACGCAATTTCATTTTTTGGCCAATTTTGACCAAAAATGTAAGGTTAACCCTTTGCATTTTTTTTTCAATTTTGGCCAAAAAATGAAATTGCGTGAAAGTTGCTAGAAAGGTGCCTGAAGGGCCCTAGAACGCATTCCAAATCGATTTCTGGACAATTGTGCTATTACAGGGGAAATTCCGTCGAAAATGTAAGGTAAAATCACTCAAAATATGAATTTCTTTTTCTCCAAAAATGGATAATTTTTGCCCAGATCTTCAAAATTCTGCGTATTAGAGTATTGACTGATGTTCCTCTTGCATCCAGATGAATTTCTGCCTTGTTTCAAGAAAACCCAATTTTTGGCCAATTTTGACTAAAAATGTAAGGTTAACCCCTTGCATTGTTTTCAATTTTGGCCAAAAAATGAAATTGCGTGAAAGTTGCTAGAAAGATGCCTGAAGGGCCCTAGAATACATTCCAAATCGATTTCTGGACAATTGTGCTATTACAGGGGAAATTCCGTCGAAAATTTAAGGTAAAATCACTCAAAATATTAATTTCTTTTTCTCCAAAAATGGATGATTTTTGCCCAAATCTTCAAAATTCTGCGTATGAGGGTATTGATTGATGTTCCTATTGCATCCAGATGAATTACTGCCTTGTTTCAAGAAAACCCAATTTTTGGCCGATTTTGACTAAAATTGTAAGGTTAACCCCTTACATTTTTTGTCAATTTTTGCCAAAAAATGAAATTGCGTGAAAGCTGCTAGAAAGATGCCTGAAGGGCCATAGAACGCATTCCAAATCGATTTCTGGACAAGTGTGCTATTAAAGGGGAAATTCCGTCGAAAATTTAAGGTAAAATCACTCAAAGTATTAATTTTTTTTCCTCCAAAAATGGACGATTTTTGCCCAAATCTTCAAAAATTCTGCGTATTAGAGTATTGATTGATGTTCCTCATGCATCCAGATGAATTCCTGCGTGGTTTTGAGTAAACTCAATTTTTGGCCAATTTTGACCAAAAATGTAAGGTTAACCCCTTGCATTTTTTGTCAATTTTGGCCAAAAAATGAAATTGCGTGAAAGTTGCTAGAAAGGTGCCTGAAGGGCCCTAGAATACATTCCAAATCGATTTCTGGACAATTGTGCTTTTTGAGGGAACATTCCGTCGAAAATGTAAGGTAAAATCACTCAAAATATTAATTTATTTTTCTCCAAAAATGGATGATTTTTGCCCAAATCTTCAAAATTCTGCGTATGAGGGTATTGATTGGTGTTCCTCTTGCATCCAAATGAATTTCTGTCTTGTTTTGAGAAAACTAAATTTTGGCCAATTTTGACTAAAATTGTAAGGTTAACCCCTTACATTTTTTGTCAATTTTGGCCAAAAAATGAAATTGCGTGAAAGTTGCAAGAAAGATGCCTGAAGGGCTCTAATACACATTCCAAATCGATTTCTGGACAAGTGTGCTATTAAAGGGGAAATTCCGTCGAAAATTTAAGGTAAAATCACTCAAAATATTAATTTCTTTTTCTCCAAAATTGGATATTTGCCCAATTCTTCAAAAATCCTGCGTATTAGAGTATTGATTGATGTTCCTTTTGCATCTAGATGAATTTCTGCCTTGTTTTGAGAAAACTCAATTTTTGGCCAATTTTGACTAAAATTGTAAGGTTAACCCCTTGCATTTTTTTCAATTTTGGCCAAAAAATGAAATTGCTTGAAATAAGCTAGAAAGATGCCTAAAGGGCCTAGAACACATTCCAAATCGATTTCTGGACAATTGTGCTACTAAAGGGGAAATTCCGTCGAAAATTTAAGGTAAAATCACTCAAAATATTAATTTCTTTTTCTCCAAAAATGGATGATTTTTGTCCAAATCTTCAAAATCCTGCGTATTAGAGTATTGATTGATGTTCCTCTTGCATCCAGATGAATTTCTGCCTCGTTTTGAGAAAAACACAATTTTTGGCCAATTTTGACTAAAAATGTCAGGCTAACCCCTTGCATTTTTTTCAATTTTGGCCAAAAAATGAAATTGCTTGAAATAAGCTAGAAAGATGCCTAAAGGGCCCTAGAATACATTTCAAATCGATTTCTGGACAATTGTGCTACTAAAGGGGAAATTCCGTCGAAAATGTAAGGTAAAATCACTCAAAATATTAATTTCTTTTTCTCCAAAAATGGATGATTTTTGCCCAAATCTTCAAAATTCTGCGTATGAGGGTATTGATTGGTGTCCCTCTTGCATCCAAATGAATTTCTGTCTTGTTTTGAGAAAACTCAATTTTTGGCAAATTTTGACTAAAAATGTAAGGCTAACCCCTTGCATTTTTGTCAATTTTGGCCAAAAAATGAAATTGCTTGAAAGTTGTTAGAAAGATGCCTGAAGGGCCCTAGAACACATTTCAAATTGATTTCTGGACAATTGTGCTATTAAAGGGGAAATTCCGTCGAAAATTTAAGGTAAAATCACTCAAAATATTAATTTCTTTTTCTCCAAAATTGGATGATTTTTGCCCAATTCTTCAAAATTCTGCGTATTAGAGTATTGATTGATGTTCCTCTTGCATCCAGATGAATTCCTGCCTTGTTTTGAGAAAACTCAATTTTTGGCCAATTTTGACAAAAAATGTAAGGTTAACCCCTTGCATTTTTTGTCAATTTTGGCCAAAAAAATGAAATTGCGTGAAAGCTGCTAGAAAGATGCCTGAAGGGCCATAGAACGCATTCCAAATCGATTTCTGGACAAGTGTGCTATTAAAGGGGAAATTCCGTCGAAAATTTAAGGTAAAATCACTCAAAGTATTAATTTTTTTTCTCCAAAAATGGACGATTTTTGCCCAAATCTTCAAAAATTCTGCGTATTAGAGTATTGATTGATGTTCCTCATGCATCCAGATGAATTCCTGCGTGGTTTTGAGTAAACTCAATTTTTGGCCAATTTTGACCAAAAATGTAAGGTTAACCCCTTGCATTTTTGTCAATTTTGGCCAAAAAATGAAATTGCGTGAAAGTTGCTAGAAAGGTGCCTGAAGGGCCCTAGAATACATTCCAAATCGATTTCTGGACAATTGTGCTTTTTGAGGGAACATTCCGTCGAAAATGTAAGGTAAAATCACTCAAAATATTAATTTATTTTTCTCCAAAAATGGATGATTTTTGCCCAAATCTTCAAAATTCTGCGTATGAGGGTATTGATTGGTGTTCCTCTTGCATCCAGATGAATTACTGCCTTGTTTCAAGAAAACCCAATTTTTGGCCGATTTTGACTAAAATTGTAAGGTTAACCCCTTACATTTTTTGTCAATTTTGGCCAAAAAATGAAATTGCGTGAAAGCTGCTAGAAAGATGCCTGAAGGGCCATAGAACGCATTCCAAATCGATTTCTGGACAAGTGTGCTATTAAAGGGGAAATTCCGTCGAAAATTTAAGGTAAAATCACTCAAAATATTAATTTCTTTTTCTCCAAAATTGGATGATTTTTGCCCAATTCTTCAAAATTCTGCGTATTAGAGTATTGATTGATGTTCCTCTTCCATCCAGATGAATTCCTGCCTTGTTTTGAGAAAACTCAATTTTTGGCCAATTTTGACAAAAAATGTAAGGTTAACCCCTTGCATTTTTTGTCAATTTTGGCCAAAAAATGAAATTGCGTGAAAGCTGCTAGAAAGATGCCTGAAGGGCCCTAGAACGCATTCCAAATCGATTTCTGGACAAGTGTGCTATTAAAGGGGAAATTCCGTCGAAAATTTAAGGTAAAATCACTCAAAGTATTAATTTTTTTCTCCAAAAATGGATGATTTTTGCCCAAATCTTCAAAATTCTGCGTATTAGAGTATTGATTGATGTTCCTCTTGCATCCAGATGAATTCCTGCGTGGTTTCACGCAATTTCATTTTTTGGCCAATTTTGACCAAAAATGTAAGGTTAACCCCTTGCATTTTTTTTTCAATTTTGGCCAAAAAATGAAATTGCGTGAAAGTTGCTAGAAAGGTGCCTGAAGGGCCCTAGAACGCATTCCAAATCGATTTCTGGA